TTTCCAATTGGTCGGGAGTCGCATCGACCGGTCTGTCACGAGGGGCTCTGAAGTGCGAGTAGCAATGATGTGTCCAACGAGGATTGGGCGGGGTTTAGCTTCTCCTTCTGCGAGGATAGGAAGAGTGAAGAGGCCCAAACTGAGCTCGGGGCATCTGGTGAGACGGTAAACGAACTATCAAAATCAGCAACAAAGTCTCTATCCGTCTGAAGTTGCCTCGAATTCATATCGAATTGACATGATCCAAAGGTTGAATTGGTACTCCATTTTGGTGTAATGGGACTCTAACAGGACGCGAATAGCCATACCTTATCGTGGGAGCAACGCTCCTGCTCGGGGAAAGCTTCCTCTACTCTCACACAATCTTCCACATTGGATGCGGAAAGCAATTGAACGAAAGGATGCAGCTCATCCAGCTTTGTGCGGTTGTGGGAGGGTGGGCGGCGGAACCAGTATGGGAAATCGGTTGCGTCGCCATCCTGATCAGCCGCAGCATAATCCTCATCGATCTCGTCGTCGTCGTCGTCGTCATCATCATCAATCGGAAAACCATTGGCTAGTGCAATTCCAGCACGGCTCATGATACGAGACAAGTCGGCGTTGTTAGGGTTTCCGAGAGACAAGTCGTCCGCATTGGACAGCGGCCTCAGCCCGTTGTCCTGGCCAGACATATGCTCGGAAAGGTATTCACTATGGTCTGACATTGCGAGGGACTGAGAAGTGGACTGGGGTATCGAGGGTCAGAGCGGCTGGGATGGAAATTTCTGGGGGTGAGACCAGGCTAGGGTGCCACGATCAATTGGAGTGCAGGGGGGACCCGGCTTGGTGGCGTAGATGAGGGATTGTGAATCTAGAACAGTGGGGATTAATCTCATGCAGGTGATTGGGACTAATATCGAGTCGAGCAGACAATGCCAATTTTAACAGTACATATGTAAATTGACATCTCCTGGTCAAGAGTGCTTCCAGCTTTCCAGGGTTGGAAAATGTGGGCAATTCATGAGAATTTGCAAACACTGTGCGCAGGGATGTTGCGGGATTGGATTAAAGGGGGGAGCGGGCGCACTTACTTTCAATATTTGATGATATTTAAGAACTCTTCAGTGGTCAGAGACGTGTTTCACACAAAGTATTCTCTTCGGGACGTGGAGTAGGAGGAGGAACTTTTGCAGTGGCGGGGGTCCAGCCGATAAAGTACAGGAACTTATCAGTACTGTCCTTTCGCCCGCACTTTAACGTATATTACAAGTTATCCCCCGGTACTGTTACATTTGCTCCAAAGCGGTCTAAGGAGTGAATTTCCTCGGATTCTAGAACCCTTAGAACGATATGCAGCTACATCGTCTTGGCTTTCCCTTTTAACGCTAGGGAGAGCTTTTATTTTACGGTTTTTTTTTACTTTCTCTTGAGTCCAGGGTTGAGATTAATTTAACAATTTTACTATATAAGTTCTTGATGCTATATAGTATCATCATCGACATCTTTGGATAGATCCATGCGATCACGTTGGGTATAATATGATCTAACCTAGCTTCATAATTCCTCAGTAGATGAAAGCCCTAAACTCCTAAACCCCTTGGGCTCGGCTATAGGCCATTGATCGTGAAATGTCAAAATATATGTACATATATTTCTAACAATATGGCAGAATGCAAGGCAAATGTGCACACCGAATTCCCACTCATTCACAGACTTGAGAGATTTACCTCTTCAAATTTAGTGGGCATTCTAGTCTTGCAAAAGGCATGGGGTGTTATCATGTATTTTCAAATTTCAATGCCACAAAGAAAGGCCACATATTTGGTTGGTACTAAAATAGTTCTCAGTTCTTAGCTCCTTTTATGTATTGAGGACCAAAATTCTCCAGATATCAATATCCGTCAATATCACTATATGATTAATTCTACATGATCTAGAAGTGTAAAGCGCACCTTGGAAAACAACGCTTATATAAGGGTTAATGCTAAGTAAGTCGAACGTATTTACAATACTAAATCTTTCTGTATTCTTCCTAACTGGTTCAAGGGATGAAAAATTTGAAGTTATGACTATATTCTGTTTATGTACCTTTTGTATGTAGTTGATATACAAAAGATACCTAGCCTTTACGATTTGCTATCCGGCGAAGCCCACCAACACCGGGTGTGTAGGTGTTGGTGGGGTTGCCACGATTATGCTTGGAGTGAAAGCCAAGAAAGGGATAGGTTGTATTTCTCAATTTTACTATTATAAGGTAGTAGATGGCAAACGGGCTTCCACAAATGGCCGCAAGTGCGGCCGTTTTAGGCCGTCGATTTGCCAAACTTCATGCCACTCACTCTTAACTACCTCAGACCACGGCCACGTAATTACCGCTTGGCGTAGCAACAAACACCCATCAGTTTTCTAGCGTTCCCTGAGGGTGGCACCTACATCTTTTGTCTCCACACTTGATACTCAGGCTGCGGTTCTCGTTCAGGAGCATGATCAAGGCCGCTTCCCATCGTTCCTAGAAGCGCCCCTTTTCACCAAGGTACGGAAAAGCTGTGCTCGGTGGAAGGCCTTATATATTGGGGCCTTCCCTTAGGATCTTGTCGGAATTTTGAAGTTTGATACTTATTCCAAACTAGTTTGCCAGCCTTCCTTTTTCTTCGCTGGCTCCCTTTTGTTAAGAGAAATTATCACCACTTCCTCATTACCACAGCATGACTCGCTCCCGGCGAAAGGCCAACTGGCCCCTATATGAAATAAACATCCTAGCCCTGACAGCTCCGGCGATAGGGGCTATTATTTATATAACACGGGTCCCACAGAGCCTGATTGCGAAGACGATTAGATGAAGGATACCGGTGATATCGCGCAGCTCTTTGCAGACAATGAGCATTTACCAGAATACTATCTACAGCAACTTGAGCAGTTCGACGAGTCCGTTTATACCTATTCGAGTATTTGATTGGTGATTTACTGACTCATGTGAGCGCAGGTGCTGCGCCCTCTTGCAACTGTCCAATGACAAAAGTCCCGCACTGATGATCGTCTTAGGCTCATACTTGAGCTTGGTAGCCTATAACTTGCAGCCTAGGCGTAACATCAGAGTGGGTCGAACGAGTCGCAGCGTATGGGGGCGGGTCCATTAGCACCTAATTGTTGCCATTAGTCTATCCGGTCCTCTTCCACTATGCATATGTAGGGGCCAGCACGTATTGACATCGGCTAATGGTGAAAATATCGTAGTCATTGTGCGAAATGGGGTCTTAATAACGTTATCTTAACGACACTGTCAAAAATTAAACTAGTTACTGATATAGACTTCTTCTCCTCTCCCTACCAATGACAGCAACCTCCGGCCTTACTAGGTAGCCCAGTGCTGGGTTTCACGTGTGCGGGTTTTGGTTGATTCCGAGAAGCTGTGGTTGTGCTGAAGGGAACGGGCGGAATGGGTATCAAAAATCGATAGCATGGGCTACTACAGTATAGCCAAACAATGGCCGATGCTTCTGTTATAGTTATTGGTGCCATTAAGGGCATCCAATTACAATATTTCTATATTCGTGCACTTCGTTGTGAGTGGCCATGCTGCCATGTTGATGAAATATATATCGTTATGCTGTTTAAGTATAATTCGTTATAAACCACCCCTCTCTCTAATTCCGAGTACTTCTTTGCATTGCACAGCTCCTAGTGTTGTAGTTATTCCACAGCCTCCCTCTTTCGAACGCTGATTTATATCCTATCCTTGTTTTTGAGCGTGTTCGTGCGTAACACCTTCATGTTGTTTTGTTGAGCTCGAAGAAGGCAAAATGGAATGGCCGCCCCTCTTAGGCTTATTATGGCGATTTGGAATTATAAATTATGTGAGTAACGTAACTTGTGATGGTGGTTTAGTGAAGGTATGTACCAAAGCAATTTGAGGCTGCAGGCAAGTTTACACATAGGTTAGTATCGTCAAGGCTAACGAAATAAGAAACAACCCTATTAAGCCAATGAACGCCACCCATAAGGATCGTGAGTGCCTGGCAGCAGTGAGGAGCGGATAATGCAAGGTTAACTTGAATGTACTTATTTCGATATGCCATGGCCTCATGCATATTATCTACGCTCTAATAACTTAGGCGTGAATGGCTCGAGCTGAGCCCAGTAAAAGCGAGGATCATAAATGAAGAAAATAAAGCTCTGCGATACTCCTATCATTTATTGGCAATAAATTACACAAAAAAGGAAAGCAGCTACTTAAACGTACCGAAAAAGCCATGGAAAATAATATAATGGCAACTGTTCCTATAAACAATAAGGCAGATGCGATATAGGCTAACCAGTGTTGCAAAGTAGAAACACCTAGATACTGACAGAGGTCAGTGTTGCTCTTCTTTTATTTTCACTATTCCCACCTTATTTAAAACGAGTAAAAGAAGCACACTATCAACTTCCAGCTGTAGCATCCGCTAAGACAGATCTGAAATGTAATTAACAAGGATATTGATTTCAGTAAAGCAAGCAACTTACGGTATTTTAGGTTTACTGCTAATAATGCTAGTGAAATAGAAGCGAATGATCTCAGAAACACGAAACTACCTATCACAGCTTGACTGGAGATGAGTGGTTCCTTGCTCAGCCTTTATAAGCTCATAGCGTCGATCGACAAACATGCAGGATTAATAAATCTTCCGGTATGCCGGTCTTCATACTCTAAGCTTAGACATTCTCTAAAACTGTGGCCTATAATACTTTCAATCTCCCAACTTTCCAATTTTTAAAAAATAAACCTTGACATCCAATTACAAAATCAGTCATGGCTGCTATCATCAAGAAATCAAACTCCGTTACTAAAGATCTGGATGCCTTGAACTTAGCGATGCGTGATGTCTCTTTGTCCGGGGCCGACCTGCAAACGTTAGAAACGGCCGCTGCAAACCTCAATGACATGGCCCTTGGATCCCCCGGGCTAGCAACATACTATATATAAGTTTGATTCAGACTTTCGATGTTTTTGGTATATTAAAGCAATTCGAGTCATTTCCAAATCAGATGGGATTTGCAACCCCAGAAACAGCCTCTTGGATAAAAGGGTGCCACCTCAAAGGCAGGACAGCCGCAATAGAAGCAATCAGCTTGGCAGGCCTACCTCCAAAGTACCAGCACTCCTCCATATGCTTCAAAATCACACAGTAATACGCAAGGAGGATCAATGCCCCAGGGTGTTTCGAGGAAAGCAATTCAAAAAACTCATCTTCCACCCGAACAGGCCAAAGACCCAGAATATTCCACGTGCTAACATGAAGATCGTCCTTGGTATGCCCTAAATACGCAAATGCTTTGGCGAGTGCAGTTGCGGCATGCCGGTATATGACGATGCTTTGATCAGACCATGATTTGTCCTGGGGAATGATGGACAGGAAATGATCCAAATATGGCAAGTTCCCGGTTGGAATCTCGAGTTCTGTTTCGTATGCTTCTGCTAAAAGGCTAACTGGTCCACTCTCAATTCGGTCCCAGACGCTCATTAACATCACACAACCGGTGCGAAAAAAATGGAGCCATTGGGGGAGTACAAGGCTTTGGCGGTGGCCTGCGCCAGTGTTCTCAACAAGCAGTAGTGAACTATTGGAATTTTCGAGATCCGATGCAAACGAGTAAACTACTAGCAGGTGTGCAAATGTCACTATTGCATCGCAGTTGTGTTCTGTGGGGTGCTCGATTGCGTGGCTAAATAGCGGAAGGGCTGATTCTTGATGAACACAAGCACGAAGGATATAGGCTTGGCTCTGTATTGGGTACAAGTGAGCCATATGAAGAGCTGTGCAGGCCAGAATTCCATGGAGAAGAAAAACATGTTCTTCGGCGAGATTTGCCATAGCGCTGAGCCATACTTTCTCAGTGTTCTTGTCCAGAAAAGTTCTGTATGACGATAGAAAGTAGTGTTCCACCATGAGAGAGTCAATTGGATCTAGCCGATATTTTTCTCTCAGCTTCAAAATGTAGAGAGAAATCGCAGGATTAGCGAATTCACTAGGTCCAGAAATGCTCGATTGATCCGCGCTGCTAGTCAACCCAGACATGAGATTTGGAACCGCCTGTCCGGTAAAGTAGCGAAGCATATTTCCTCGAAAAAAGGTTTGCAGAGGGGCAGAGCTCCATCCATGGCCGAGTCCTCCCTTGCAGCCATGTTTTGCTGGCCAGTGGGATTCCATCCGCTTTATTGATACACAGAGATAGTTGCACCCAGGAGCCTTGCAGCACCAGCCTTCCTCCAGAGGTAGGTAGGGTAGTGGAAAATCCTGATGCAGCGGGGCAATTACTTCTTCTGGGTTCTTTAACTTGAGATTGCTCGTGTATAAAGTGTACGGTCTTCGTTGGTCGAGACGCATTCGGTGGATTTCTTTTAAGTGGCGTGTGATAGCTCCTGGTTGGATCGCATAGCGGCAAGCTGTGCAGATAAGCACCCGGTAGACGTGAGAGTAATGAAATAGCTTCTTTGGTGGAAGACAAGCCGACATATCCTCCTCTAGCAGTCTATTATAAGAACAGGGCTCCCTCGCACTAACGACCATCGCGATAAAAATGTATTTTATAAAAGAGGAAGTGAGGTAAAGCAGTGTTTGTTATCCGGCCAAGTAGAAAAGGATTTAGGAAACGGATGAGGTCGTGGTTCAAAACATCGAATATTCATCAACCAATCAGATCTTGTAATTTCGACGGTGTCGTTCTGCGCTAACTCAATATAGGTCTTCACATTCAATTTCCACCAATCGGTTTTCGGGATCTACTTAAATAGTATTAGAATGCATGTCAAGACTATCTCTCTTCTTTAAGTCCCCTAAATCCATCGGGACAACAATCTTACCGACTCATATGGGCCGTGCATCGTCATTATTTCAAAATCGAAATGTATAAATATCACTCCATTTCCTTGGTGTCTTCCAAAATTTACCGTTTACGTTACAAACGCAAATTCATAATGGCTTCGTACACACAGTGTGTACTCATTACTGGTGGTACCTCTGGTCTGGGCTACCACTGTGCTCTAGAGATCGCTCGCCAACATCCAGAGTACAGGGTTATCATTGCATGCCGGTCCGACCCATATCAAGTAACAAAGGAGATGAATACGCTTCTCCATCAAACCAACGTGACTTGGATACGACTTGATCTATCATGTCTTGAGACTGTTCGCAACTTCGCAGCACAATGGAAATCGCACAAGTACCCTCCGATTCAATCTCTGGTCTGCAACGCAGCCCTACAGTTCCCAGGCGCGGCTGAATACACAGTCGACGGCTACGAAAAGACATTTGCAGTCAGCCATATTGGTCATGCCCTCTTGTTCTCCCTCCTTCGACCATATCTGGCAGATAAAGCTCGAGTTGTGATTGTTTCTAGTGGAGTCCACTACGCCGAGCAGAAAACCGGAATGCCAAAGCCAAACTACATCTCAGCCGAAGAACTCGCTCACCCGCCTGCATCAATCTCAAAGGCAACTGGCCGCTTGCACTATTGCAATACCAAACTGGCAAATGTTCTATATATGTATGCCTTGCACAGGCGGTTCCTATCAATCAACAAGAAGAACGGGAAGCACTGGACTGTCACTGCCTTTGACCCTGGCCTGATGCCCGGAACGGGGCTTGCGCGGGATGGTTCGACAGTGGAACAGTTCCTTTGGAATCGTGTTTTACCACACGTTATTCCAGTTTTGAAAGTGCTCATTTCGCCAAACATTCATACCGCCAAGGACTCGGGGGCTTCGTTGGCCCGATTGGCGGTTTGTGAGGATGTTGATGGGGTTAGTGGCCGGTATTTTGAGGGTAGACGAGAGGTTGAATCTAGCAATGCGAGTTTTCACAAGGGTAATCAGGAAGATCTTTGGGAGTGGACCCTAAAGACTATGGCGAGGAATGAAGATGAGGAGCGTAACATGTCTCTTTCTGATCTTCTTTAGATATTTATGTACGAGGTACCTAGCTGTTAATCTTCCTTCAATTCGCTCCCGAGGTCTAAAAGCTTGGTCAAAAATACATGCCCATTTTCTCCTTTGCTGCTTTATCAACTACCCATCATATATAGTCACAGGAAGTTAGCTACTAAGCCAAGGCGCAGCTCCACCCTAAACATCGTCATCCGGGGCATTGCAGTGGCGAAGGAGGTCCGAAGGACGAGATCGAGCTAGTTTCGTGACATGCAGCCCCTATCACTCTCTTGGAGAGGAAATACGGGCGATAAGACGAACAACTGGAGGCTGTATCATCCCAGAACGCCTGTCCCTGAGCGACTAGATCGCGTTGCAGCCCGCGGTGGCTGGACTAGCCTGGGCGGCGGATCGAGCGGTATCTCCGGTGAAATGAAAGGGCAGTGCATCCGGCTGAAGGTCGATGGGTTGGAGGTCAGTGGGGCGAGCAGAAAGGAGACCGGGTGGGCAAGGAGTGAAAGTGCGTGGGAGACTTGAAAGGGCAAGTGGTCTTTTATAGAGAGACGAACGGACGCGCCGGGAGATAAAAGCGGCCACAGAGGCGCTAAGTCCGGTCGGGCGACCGTAGTGGGCGCCATGCCGAAAGGGCAGGCAGGGGCAGGGCGGAGCCGGGCAGGCGGCCGGGGGCGGCGGAAAAACGATGCAATAGAAGCATTTGTGGCCCCTCGCTTGCCGTCTTGTAGAATACTACTCCGTATTTATAACTGGGTAATGGTTGATTATATGTTGTATATAAAAGTACTCTGCAGACCGGGCTTTCCCACCAACTATCTTAGCCCTAACTGCGTTTGACACACAATCTAGTTCCTTTGGATCTCATCTCCAATAACACCCCTATACGAAGTGTAGTGTAGAGATAGTAGAGTTATAGATGTCGGCCCAACGCCCGACTAGAAAAAAGTTGGGTCGGGTTCGAATCCCATGGGAATGGACTTGATATGAAGAGACCTATAAAATGGACATAAACAGCCTGGTAAGGACTGGACCATACAGGGTAGGCCACAATACGCCGCTGAAGTAGCGAATGAAAGGATGAAAGAAGTGCACTATTTTACGTACGATGCAAAACAAATGGAGAGAAGACTCAGAAATTGTACTCATATGAGGTACTTATTTAGACGTAGAATTAACATCGGACAATATATGTACAATGATGCAGGAGTATAGAGCAGTGGACACCTTGAATGCCTCTCTTATCAATCTCGGGATCTACAGGCGGTGAGCTATAACCGAGGATGCGTCATATTATTTTCTTTTTTGGTTTGATCTTGACTCATTGTTCTCTTTCCTCCTATATTGTATGTGCCCTGTTGATCAGTGGTGAAACCACTGCTTTGAGGCTCTTGCATTGGCATCGACTCCTGGGGCGAGCAATTGATCCCAAAAATATACACCCAACCATGAGCTCCCGAACGTTGAACTGGTCTCGAACGGCCAAATCATCGTTGGTAAAGGTAATAAAACCCGATATACCCCGCTGATACTGAGCATTGACTGACTAGTTGAAGCAACATCTAGTTCGCCCTAGTGAACCCATTGCGGCGCGCCCGGCACAGGCGCTGAATGTCCGAGCCCAGCAAATCGCAGAATTCTCGGGCAGCAGCGAAAACCAAGATCGCCTCGGCCACCGCGCAAAAGAGAAATTGCTCGATAGGGTAGGTGGCAGATGAGATTTTCTCTGTATCATATGCTAACGGCTGTGTGTTGGCTTCAGGAATTCTTTCTCAGCCTCCTGAGCTCCGCGTCGACAAAGCGCGAGGCCAAGTCCTACCTAGCTCGGCTAAAAGCCAGCCCCGCCAAATCCAGCCAAGAGCCTACCCCCGAGTTCTTGAAGGACTCTATATCAGCATCTTTGCCCTCTGGTGTAAACCTGGGCTCGTTCTATGGTGCTTCTAGGGCGGTGTACGACAGCCCTGTCTTCCGCCAGGATACAACTCCCACTCCGCGCACACTGGATACACCCGAAAGGCTGCACTTGGCCCTGATCAAAATCGCCACCCCGCAATTACTCGATGATTCCGTGATTAATGGAGTGGCTAAGACCCTGTCGCAGCTCGTCCGCCTGGGCATGGCATGCTGCGTGGTTGTCGATCCCGGAAAGATGGACGGCCCTGCTGTGCGACAAACAGCCATTGAGCAGGCAAACCGGATATCGGCGGCAGTCGATGAGCTGCCCGATTCGAAATCCTTTAGATTAGACTCGACGTTATCTATATCCGAACGGGAGTCTGGTCAACTCAGGGTGCTATCGCGAAAAGTGCTTTTGAGCGCCCTTCGGGATGGTCATGTGGTACTTGTTCCGCCGATCGCCTATATGGAGGAAAATCCACGAGCTGTTACAGTTTCAGCAAACGATGCTGCCATCGCATTGACGAAAGAATTTGCGGGATTGTCTTCAAATCCAGACCCGGACGAGGATCCAGTAGTCACTGTCGAGAGAATCAGTGCTCTACAAAAAGAGGTCTCACTGGACCGTGTCATTGTTCTCGATCCTCTTGGGGGAATTCCGGCTTTCAAGGGACCTCAATCATCGCATGTTTTCATCAACATGGAGCAAGAGTTTGATCAAATCAAAGATGAACTCTCCCAGGCACGAAACTCTGTTTCTGGGAACAATGATACCTCACAACAGGTAACTACTGAAGCCACCTACCCAATCTCGGAAAGCAACCCGTTCTCAAAGTTTGTCAATCGTGATGTTGTCTCGCCTGCGCAACCTGCTACATCCGGCCAATCGCTGGGTGCCGATGCGATGGAGGAGGTGCTAGATGGCCACCTAGAGAATCTCCGATTAGCCCAACAAGCATTAGCAATGCTACCATCAGCCTCTTCGGGAATTATCACCTCCCCACAAGAAGTCTCCTACTCAGCCCGCTCACCGCAAGAGGCTGCTTCAGACCTATCAGCCGTCGGAACTCGTCGACAGCGCAACCCATTGATCCACCACCTTCTCACCGACAAGCCTCTATTATCATCCTCTCTACCCCCCGGTCGGCGCGGAGTTTCCAAAGGCAGCAAATCCAGCGCATTCAGCCCACTCATCTCCCACACGACCTTTGTCAAACGTGGAATGCCTCTCACAATCCTCCCCAACCCCTACGCAAAACCCTGGGCAGCCCATATCCAACCACGACTGGGACTACACGACCCTTCCCTCGATCTCCCCCGTCTAGTCACCCTAATCGAAGACTCCTTTGACCGCAAACTCGACGTCCAAGACTACCTCGACCGGGTGAACAGCCGTATTGCCGGCGTCATCGTCGCCGGCGAGTACGAAGGCGGCGCAATCCTGACCTGGGAAATGCCGCCGGGCGTACCAGACGACGGAAGCGAAGCCAGTGCCGCCCGCATGGTGCCGTATCTGGATAAATTCGCCGTGCTCAAGCGTAGCCAGGGTGCGGGCGGTGTCGCGGACATTGTGTTCAATGCGATGGTGCGCACATGTTTCCCCAATGGAGTCTGCTGGCGTAGTCGCATAGATAACCCTGTAAATAAATGGTACTTCGAGCGGTCGTTAGGTACTTGGAAGCTGGCTGATAGTAACTGGGCTATGTTCTGGACGACGCCTGGGCTTGTGGAGGATACCCAACGCTTCCAGGATTATGAGGCTGTTTGTCGGTCTATTCAGCCTAGTTGGGCCGATAAGAAAAGTGTCATTGACTGACGTATCTATGAATGTACAAAGAAATGAACATTGAACATTGATGTCATGTAACAGTATTGTGCACTGTCTCGTTTAGCATAGGCGTATGCTGTGAATTGTGTATTGGGTTTCGAAGGTCACATTCAAGATGCCCAAGGATCTGATAGAACCGCTTTTTCCTTTGCTAATCAATATTGATACCTCGTAGAAGGTAGGCTATACGGACCCGAAGGTGGTATCTGGGTCCATAAAAAACATATATACATTCTTATGAACAGCATATTCTCAAGGCCTAACACCCTTGTTCTTTCTTGAAAAATAGGTAGACAATGACATCTAAAATTGGAATGTGCGGCTGATTCTCCACTAAACTTAAATTAGTGGGGCTCTAAGATTCTGAGGAAAGTTGGTGTCTTGTGTTTAACGCCACAAATAGCTAACTATATACTACTGTAGTATGTAGTTTGTTCGTAGTATAATTCTTCTTCTCTTTCCATCTATCTCACATATATATTTACTGCCTACGCTTACTGGCACCATTACTATCGGCCCAACACATCAACCTCGACGGTATGGAGGTAATCGAAGGTAGTCTCTACTAGGATCAACTTGATTGGGAACTTCATGCCTATCATACACTATTTAGCTCGACCTTGAAGAAAGTTGACTCCATCGAATATGAAATCTTCAGCACAAAACTACAAAGTCTCAGTCTCCTCAACATCACGACCGTGGAAAGCTGTGTCGATATCGGTGACAGGGCCGAAGGATCGCACTTACCTTGACCTCACAAGTCTAGAATCAGTAGGCGGCAGCTTTACCCTTGGGCTTGCTAATCTTATCACATTCCGCCATGCAGGACTGCGCAATGTGACTTCTATATATCTCTCTTCGATGTAAATTGGTTCGTTTGAAAGTTTGTCTGGCAGCCCTGTTAATATGAGCAAATTTCGTAAAAATGGCCATAAAAAACCTCATACTCAATTATGGCGTCCCAGACTTCAAGCGTAACGGGCGGCTGGACTTACTTAAAGTCGACTCGCTGCTGTTGCGAAACGGAACTACTATCGGTCATCTAGAGCTCCCGATCGATAACTTGCGGTATCTAGAGGTGGGACAATTCAACAAGAACGAAACAATTAGAGATATTACTCTTCCTCTAAGTGATGTCAGTTGGACAAGCCGCTTTGAGCTCTGAATCCGCGGGTGTCCCGATCTGAACCTTACCTCAATATATACCAATGACCACAATGGCCGTCCCGTCCAAACCTAGTACTGACCAACAAATGTTTTTTGAAAAGTGAAGTACTGTGTCTATGGCACACAAAAGTGGCTGCATTGAGCGAAGAAAAATATATCTGGGTCACATGCCATCGGATGTCAGCCATAGTCCCTCAGTATGACTATGTTACAATAACTGAAGGTTGAAGTCGAAGTATTAAAAAAAGCCCTTGATAAGGGCCTATTAGTAATCAAATCTCACCTGACCTCGGGACTACCCGACCCCCCTATTTCCGGTCCATGTCCACCGGGGATTGATATGGTCCATGACATCTTCAGCCCATGAAAGTTGAGGTTCCAATGCGTCTGTGATTAACATCAAACTCGGTATATAATCAGGAGAGACTATCATTTGAAGAGAAATCCCTTTGTTTAAGTTTCTTTAAGAAGATGGGTGCAACTAGAGGTGCCAAGGGGTCTGCGGCTCAGAACGTCATGATAAATTCCCTCGACTCTTATAATATCCGGGTGGTGACATCTACCTCCTGCGATAAGTACCCAGGTCAGTACATTTCTCTTTAGAGTGAACATTGCAAGTTCTGAATGCCTTCATCTGCCCTCCTTGCCCTCACATGCCTGTTTGCTACTCCATTGAACCCGTGTCGCGCGAGACTCGAGCTGATTAGAAGCCCCCACCAGCCAAGCATCATGCGCGCAACGTCGCCCGGAAGCTTGGAGCTTCAACTGGCTTGATTTTCCTTTCCGGACAGCCTACCATTAATCTGCGCGATTCCGATCAATCGCGCCCATTTCGTCAACGACGATACTTCTACTACCTAAGCGGAGTCGACGAGCCCGACTGCTCCCTGACGTACGATATTGAAAAAGACCTGTTAACTCTTTATGTACCGGATTTCGACCTCCACCGTGCTATCTGGATGGGACCGACCCTCTCACGGGAGGACGCACAAGACCGATATGATGTGGACCATGTGCGGTATCACACCTCGCTCAAATATGAGCTACAGGTTTGGCTGGACGGGCGAAAGCAGGGCAGCGAGCTGTACTTAATCCATGACTCAGAGAAGCCCGAGCATCTACCAAAGGACCTGCCTGTGGATTTGGAACAGCTCGGACCTGCTATGGACACAGCCCGAGGCGTCAAGGACGAATATGAAATTCGGATGATCCGCCAGGCCAACAAAGTCTCGGGGCTTGCCCATCGGAAAATCCTAGAGAATATCCAGACTATGTCCAACGAGTCGCAGATTGAAGGGTCATTTTTGAACACCTGTATCTCGAACGGCGCCCGGAACCAGGCATACCAGATTATTGCAGCATCGGGGCCTAACGCAGCTGTCCTGCACTACGACCGCAATAATGAAACTCTCCACAAGAAACCGCTCGTCTGTCTCGATGCCGGCGCAGAATGGAACTGCTATGCAAGTGACGTGACGCGAACCTTCCCGCTTACCGGCGAGTGGCCCAGCGACTACGTGCGGGATATCTATAAGCTGGTAGAGCGCATGCAAGAGGAGTGTATCCGGTTGATCCGGAAAGGGGCGCGCTATCTGTCTCTCCACGATCTAGCCCACGACATCGCGATCGAGGGTCTCCTGGCTCTGGGTGTGTTCAAGAACGGCACGAATCTCGAGATCCGCCAATCTGGCGCATCGAAAGTCTTCTTCCCACACGGCCTGGGTCATCATGTCGGTCTTGAAGTCCATGATGTGTCAGAACGGTCAATCATGGCTCTTCACCGGGGTTTCGATCAGCTCCAGTATCGCCCGATCTTGAACTCTACATGTCTTTCGCCGTGCACTCTCTCCGCCCCGCTGCTGGAAGAAGGAATGGTTGTGACCGTTGAGCCCGGCCTTTATTTCTCTCCTCTGGCTATGGCCAACGCGCGCCGCCAGCCGTATGCCCGGTACATTGATTTCGAAGTTGCGGAGAAATATGTTCATATTGGTGGAGTGCGCATTGAAGATGATATTCTTGTGACTGCTACTGGGTACGAGAATCTCACCACAGCACCAAAGGGCGAGGAAATGCTTGCCATTATTAGAGGATCTACATAGTGTGGAATTTAGTATGACAATAACATGAAGACACCGTTCGTATCAGATTCTGCAACATCCAACACTATTAGTAAAGCCAGCTGAGACGGGCCAGATATACATCACCAGGGATTGTAAATTCGGACCTCGGAATCCTGCCGGCACGCGCTCACACAAGTTACTTGAACATTCAAAGCTGGAACGCTACTTTGTACAACCCCAAGGACGCAGTTCTCTGCGGTTGTATCTCGCCAACGTATACCTATCTATATGGCCTAGTTTCCTGAATTCCCGGATTTCCCGACTTTCATCGGGTCGGCTCGTATTCCGGCAACTTCTCGGACCCGACAGCGATTTACCTCGCCCTTATACATCTGCTTGTATTATTATTTTCGTTTTATACGGGGGCTCCATAATAAATACTAATTTATGAAAAAGGCGGGTGATATGCCCCATAAGTGGAGAAGACAACATCATAAGTGTATTACCCAAGAGACAGTTGAGTCATCCGCTTTGATTAATAATGTGTAAATGTCTGTTGTCTATTCACGAGTAACAGCGAGCAATTCAAAAGATGAGCTTCGAACTTGTCTAGGTATAAAAGAAACGCTCATAAAAAACAATCCCAAGACTGGGAAACAAACAATGAATAGTCTTTGTCGCCCGCATTTATGTACACACCCCTCTCAGGTCGTCGGTTTCGGGTTTCAGTTCGCCTTTTGATCTCGCAGGGTCCGTAGATCGATCTGGCTCAGTAGTCGGTGGTGTTCCTTTTTCAAGGCTTTGAACTCGTCGTCTAATTGATGGTGCCATGGGTATAAGACGAAGACTTGGAATGCCAGTGCTGAAGAGGCAACTCCGAAGTTGATGAGCGAGATTCCGCGCGTGATCCACATGGCGAGAAGACTGAATGATTAGTATTTGGGCTGAAAATGAGGAATAACAGACTCACGATGAGCTGAGGAGAGAGTATTATGTATTATTGTTAGAAAGTGGGTATAACACACCTAAGATGGACTGTAGAAGAGGCAGGGGTGTGAAGAGAATATAGGTGAAAGGAAAGAAGTCAAATTTGACGTGGCTATTAAAAGAATTTGATTTCGGTAACCGCGAATCAATACCGAATATACTTCGAATCGAGAAAATGTACCTCGGACCCGTGGACGTTATTATCTTTCGGAGATTGATCGTATCAGTCGGATCCGACGCGATAAGAACCGAACCCTTCCAAGGGTCCCTTCAGCCCCAACCTTGAACTTCCCAAACACTTTAAACTTTAAATTTGCTGTGAGAACTCTTTCCTTACCAGAAAGAAAGTCATAGTGAGTGATTCCACCTTCATCAACAAAGAAAGTACTACATATACTGACTGTTATCATAGATCAACCAATTCTGCCATCCTCAAGACACCGCCCAAGCCACAAACACAAGTACATCCAAATGGAATCCAACTACACACAGAGCAAACCGCAGCAGCTGCTCGGTTGGGTAAGGGAGCAGAAATACAAGCTTGCTGGCGCAACTTTCGTTGCCAGCATGGTTGGTTCCTTTATCCTGGTCGGTCGCAACCCGCACCTGACGGGTAAACAAAAGCTTGTGCAGGCTCGCGTGTATGCACAAGGTCTGACGCTGGCGGTCATTGTTTCATTGGCTGCATTGGACATGTCAGACCGCCGAAGGCCATGATCAACCCATTTGCTCAGTGGAAGGAAGTTGTCAAGCAGTTCGATTCAAAGAACTCAGGCCAGGAATTTCCGAGCCATCATTCGATCGAGACGGGGAATATGTGTAGATATGTTGATTTGTATTATATATTACAGCCTAGATTATAGAGCGGTTAGGATATAGATTCTTGCTAGAAATTTAGAGCATATATTACTGGGCGACTTTCGACGTGCTAAGACGGGGCTATTTTGAAGAAAGAGTGAATCCCATAGGGTAAAGTGACGGAGACAAAGTGCTCTGGAAATTAGTCTCTAACCGGAATAGGTCTCACATATAAGGAGGACTCCGTATCTCATATGTACAAAACTCAGTTGCTCAAGCTCCTAGAAGGTGGAGACAGCTAGACAGCCTATTCCAGACCGGGGCATAATGGCAAGGTCATGTAGAACAAGCCCCCTTTGAAGGAGGAAGGAGATACACCAGGGTAGACCTCTCAATAACTCGCAAATGGGGCCAAGCCCCCGGCCCACAGCCCATTAATACCAACCTGTATATTCAATTTCATACAAAATCACCCTAAAAGGATCCAACTTAACCACGAATTCGCACTTGGGGGGATTACTGAGTATTAGTATGAAGAGATATATATATTGGGTCTATAACCAGGTATTAATTGTAGTAACTAGCACTAATGGTACCTCTACTTACTATATAATTCCCTAATAAAAATAAGTACCCCTTATAAAAATAAAGCTTCATAAAAATCAACTTTACATCTTGTGAGTTAATTTATAAGCTTATAAGAAGGTTTCTGTATAGCCTCATGTATTGCTCAGATGGTAGTTTGAATACCCAAGAAAAACCAGAGAAAAATGCATTAATTATACAGCTACGATAAATTGGCACGTTTATATTGTTTGGGGCCCATTATGGCCCCGAATGGGGTTTACGGGCTTTCATTCCGGGCCCACGACCCACCAATGGGCCCGAAGGTAGGGCCCAAAACCCAGCCGATTTGGTGGGTTGGGCTGGGCTGGGCTATGGGCTTTGTGGGCTATCAAGAGGTCTACACCAGGGGATCGATTTTAGTCACAAAAGTCTATTAAGAGATGTAATTTAGAAAGGTCGGCTAGTGGTTACCATCTACTTATCAAGTCCGTCTCCTCTCAAACAAGCGCATGTGTTCCATTCCAAGGATACATGAAAGTACCAAGAAATACCGTTGATCTTAAATCTTGACGAGAATGAGAGGGTGCGTTTAAGTGGCCAATTGGTGCCAAAAACAAACACGGCATGTTCTTCTTACCAAAGTGAGATAGATCCTCGAAGTTCGAGCAACATATTGAGAAGCATCCAGCAACTGGGACATAGGACATCACTAAATGAATTAGAAGAAACACGCGGGGGGTTCTTACAAGATGCCTGGATAACACGACTGTGTATATAGTGAGATCTAGGCCTACCATTCAAAATCAAGTAGCTTTGCCCTCGTCAGCTTGAAGACATCAACGATTGGTAAGAAGATAAAGAGAGCAAATACTACCCCATGCGCAGGGGACAAACACCTCCAGAATGACCCCATAGAGGGCAAGTAAGGTCCCACACTCTGTTATTTATTCCGTCTCATTATTGATCACTGTCTGCATGCTTTTAACAATCTTCTGCTCCGCTTTACCCCCCCAAGTATACGAAGCAGCCCTCTCCTTTGCTTTTTCAGTCCATCGATCGCGAGGAATGAAGGATCTATGTAATCAGAAAGGGTAGTTATTACCAAAACTTTGGCTGGGTCTCTCACAGTTTGCCACTTCGTTGGCTTGCAAGGTATACCTGATGAGGAAGGTGCAAAACATCCTCCTGGCTGAGTGGCTCGGTGACAACCAAATCAAGAATAAACCATCTTTTGAGAGGTTCCAGTGAGTCAAAGTCAGCAGGAATATGGATGTGGTCGTAGCCCGCCGGGTGAAGGGTAGAATTGAATGCACGGTTTAAGATACTTTCACAGAACTCGTTCCCAATTTTGACATGGCGCCGTTGGGGAAAACCATCTATATCGGTAACACAAGCGTAAATGACTATTCTGGTGGGATGAAAGTCCATATTGATAGTGAATAATAACAAGGAGAGAAGTTGCGCCGTTCGAGTGAATGCTGCGCGTTAAACGAATTGGTCACGAGATTGGGCCAAGGATCTCGGCTGTGGATTAATAAAATAACCGAAAGCTTACACTGTGACTTCATGCATCCTTGGGATATTGGCAGGAGCGATGTAGTTACTACACTAACAGCAACCACGTTGTTCCAATCTAGAAGTGAGTCGGAGAAAACGTCAACATTCTTTTAGACCTGCTCAAGTGCAGCAACTACAGCACGGGAGCTGTGAGCTTTCTAGTCTTTGTCTTTCAATAATAGCAAGTACCTGCTTCGAGGTCGGGATGCCCTGAAGAGTATACATCGATGTAGCTGCTCAAATGGAGGTGGATCGGCAAACCGTGAATAAGCGATGCCGATGATTGGGTTTATGTCATCGGCGCCGATGTCGGAGTTGGTGGGGTCGAACACTGCAATTCACCCACCCGCCTTTATATTCTGAAGCTCAACCTGGACAATTGAGTCAATAATTTCTCTTCTCGTTACTACATAATGTCTTCCTTCAATATCGTTGTCTTTGGTGGTGACCACTGTGGTCCTGAGGTATGTCATTGGGAGCTTCTGTGGGGAAATTGAATATAGGACTGACATTGAGGAACAGGTGACTGCTGAGGCCGTCAAGGTAAAATTCCACGCTGGAATTGCACTGAATACACATACTGATTGAATTTCAGATCCTCCGCGTCATTGAGAAGTCCCGTGGTGTTACTTTCAACCTGCAGGATCACCTGCTCGGTGGTGTGAGTATACTCTATCCACGCGACAAAAGCCCAATGACTAACAATTGCAGGCCTCTATCGATGCTACCGGTTCGCCCTTGACCGATGAGGCTCTGAACGCCGCCAAGAATGCCGATGCCGTTCTTCTCGGTGCCATTGGAGGTCCCGTACGTCTATCTCTTCAGCCCCCCCCCCCCAATCTCCCCCCCCTCCCCGCACAAACCCCAAGAACAATCCTACTCACACATTGCGTCCGACAGAAATGGGGCACCGGCGCCGTCCGCCCCGAACAGGGTATCCTCAAGCTGCGCAAGGAGATGGGCACATTCGGCAACTTGCGTCCCTGCAACTTCGCGGCGCCCTCGCTGGTCGAGAGCTCCCCGCTCAAGGCGGACATCTGCCGCGGAGTCGACTTCAACATCATTCGTGAGCTAACGGGCGGTATCTACTTCGGCGAGCGTGTGGAGGACGATGGTTCCGGATACGCCATGGACACTGAACCCTACTCCCGCCACGAGATCGAGCGCATCATCCGTCTCGCCGCCAACCTCGCTCTGCAGCACAACCCTCCCCTGCCCGTCTGGAGTTTGGACAAGGCCAATGTCCTTGCTACCAGTCGTCTCTGGCGTAAGGTCGTTACCGAGGTTATGGAGAAGGAGTACCCCCAGGTCTCCATTGGTCACCACCTCATTGACTCGGCTGCCATGCTGATGATCAAGGATCCCCGTAAGCTGAACGGTATTGTTGTTACTAGCAACCTGTTCGGTGATATCATTAGCGATGAGGCTAGTGTTATCCCCGGTTCCCTGGGTCTGCTTCCCAGTGCCAGTTTGAGCGGTATTCCTGATGGCAAGAGCCGTGTCAACGGTATCTACGAGCCTATTCACGGTATGTCTTCTGTTCTCTTATTCCTTTCTGCCAAATCTTGTGTTCCAGTCATGGCTAATTGGCACTCATAGGCTCTGCCCCCGATATTGCTGGCAAGGGCATCGTTAACCCCGTCGCTACTATCCTGTCTGTGGCCATGATGATGCAATACTCCTTCAACATGATCGACGTCGCTCGCGTGATTGAGCAGGCTGTGAGCAACGTCATCGAAGCTGGTGTTCGCACCGGCGACATTGGCGGCACAGCCAAGACCACCGAGGTCGGCGATGCCGTCGCCGCCGAGCTGGAGAAGCTGCTTAAGTAGATACAAAAGCAGCCTCTTCGATGTTTCTATATGAGATATGACTAGCATATAAAACTAAAAATTTGAATACCCGTTTTAAGATGCATCATGTATTTCACTGGCGCAAAAATGCCTAATAATATCACTCGCCAACCCAAACCCATGCTAAAAAAATTGGAACTGGGTATCATGAAGACATTGAAACTCCGATAATAAACCTCCGTTGGCATTTTGCAAGCCAATCAACGCCGGTATTTTTGGTCCTTGTAAGAAGCTCGTGCTTAGCGAATCACTGGCTCACCCATCCAATCTGGCTCGTCTAGACCAGTAGTAGTGAGTCCAGTATCAGCATCTTCACTTGCAGTACGTCCCCGAAGATCATGAGCCCCACGCAAGGACGGACGACGGCGCCGAGGATCAGCAGAAGCCGAGGGAGCAGCGGCCATCCGACGACGACTATCATCACAAGCAAACACCTGGAATCCACGAACATGAGTGTCCTTGCCGTTCTGATGGTTCTCCATAATACGCATCTGGATAACCATAGCTTTCAGCACATTCCCAGAATAGGGATCATCCTCATCATCCTGACTATCAGGTTCATCAACCTCATAAAACGGATCACACTCATCATCATGCTCATGGTCAGGGTCATCACAGTTCCGGTACACAATTGTCCGTCGACGCATACTCGTTGATCGGCGTGTCGACTTCCCAGGCTCGTTACGCACCCACCCACCGTTTCTACCGCCAACGCCCTCGAGTGGCACATCGACCCAGCCGCATGGTCCATCGCCTTCCCAAGTTGCGAACTCGATGAGGTCGTTGCCGCCCATTCCAGCTGCGAAAACCATCTTCGTGGGCGTGTAGCTTTCGTCGAGCTCGAAATCGAGATAGACGCGGATACGTACGACGGCTACCAGTTTGAAGAAGTGGAGCGTTAAAGTGTGCGGTTGTGGTCCGTCGGATTGCCAGTATTGGGCCGGGGAAGGGTTGCGGAGGGCTGCAACGCCGCAGCCCGGCTTGGAGGTGGAGACGGTCCAGGAAGCGAGCGATGAGATCTCGCGCAGGTTGGGTGGTAAGGGGGAGGGAGATTTTTCTGTTGCACGAGGACATTAGCTTGCATTCTTGACGCGCATGCCATGAGAAAAGTGGGAGCGGGAAATTAGTACCTCGATCGTGCATCTCATGGTCGGGGTCTTCTTCGTCCTCGAATTGGTCCTCGACTTCTTCCTCCAGTTCTTCGCCATCGATATCGGAGTCATCAAATTGCCCTTCAATGACATTACCATTATCGAAGGAATCATCAAAGTCGAGTGGTCCGTCGTTCCCAAGCTCTTGCATGCTGTGTCCGCGCGGGTCAAAATCATCGTCAAAGTCGTCGTCATCCATCATTTGCGGTGGTGGTTGCTCCACCCTTGGTCTTCCAAATATTGTAAATGGATTTATCGGTGCCGCTGGATGTCCTGCCACAGCGACCTGGTCAGGTGTGAGAGCATTTGGACCGGTGGAGGGGGGTTGGTGTTGATGGGTTGGGTTGGTAGGAGTGTGACGCGTTGGCGGGGTCTGGAACTGTGCTCGGAGGTTTCCTGGGGCATTTCCCTCTTGATTGGGTATTATATCGCGTGGGTTTGGCTGTCGGCGCAAGTGAGGCATGGTTGTTCCATAAGTTGCAGGAGTCGATGTTTACGCGCAGATCGAGGGGAGCTCCATTTCCTTTTCCGGCTAGCGCCAATTGGAAGCTATGAGGCATTCCAAGCGATGGTAAATAACTTGGCCTATTTAATTTCATCTAATCATTTGAACACCAAGGAATATGCCATAGCTCAGATGGCTTTAGCACTGAACTCCTTGGAGCTTCCAGACGTCACTACATTTCAAGGCATTTGTATTATATATATGTACCATGGATTTTAGGTCGCATCTATACTGCTGGGCCTCACGCCTATATATCTTCTTCCTAGCCCTGTCTTTTTAGCTCTCAATTTAATATATTGACCAAGCCACTAATTTCAATGAGGCTTAGATGTATACGGGCATTTGCTCCGTAGGAAGCTCCCATACAGCTAATAGAACGGCGGCAGGGAGTCCAATACCAAGGGCAATGAAGCCAAGGATGCTTGACCTCCATCCATAGCCTAGTGAAGAGTACCTATTATATGATTAGACTATATAAAAGAAAAAAAGGCTGATTGACAAAATTGAGTTATATGTAGGGTGCGAACATCAGAAATGTAAACCCCGCAAGACATCTAATGGTGGAAACAGCTGCTAGTCCACTCGCCGCGTACCGTCAGCATGTATCAATGACATAGGCGTTTACAGATATCGTGCATGCAAGTGCCCTAGTACTAAATATGGAGGCTCTAATGTTAGGCGTTAAAACCATGCCGGCCGCATAAAGCCCCCTGGCTCCTAGCGTTTATGTTGATTTGATATACCTGAGTATTTATGTGGTGGAATACCTTGGGTTTGATTATTTGCGCAGTCTGAGGGGGCTTCAACGCCTGGGATTTGCATAGTGCGAATGTGAGAATGAATAGCTTCAATCATGGGGGATTTCGTTTATAGTATGCGGTATAGAGTAGTCATTCTCGGCCTTCTAGCTAGAGATCAAAGGGAACACCAAAAAAACAAAATAAAGATACCTGGAGAATTATTCTTAGTTCTATCTGTATTGCAACCTTAACCTCCTCAGGCTATATGAATACTCTAGTTACCAAATCCACAACGTTCTAGTACGCCAATACGATACTAGGCCTCAGGGTCTACTTAATATTCAACTAAGGATCGTCATACGACACGGATTATAAACCGAAGACAGTTCCACCGGTAGTAGCTTATTGTGACAAAGTAATATCCATTATGGCTCGCATTATTCACAGGTGCCAAGTTCCTTCCGTTGCCGTTCATCTACCGGTGTAGGATTTCGTAGTAAAGCGACACATCTAGCAGCAGCACTCACAGCACTCGAAGCAAGCGATACCCGCGCATCTATTATAAAAGCGTCAGCTAGTCTTCCTTATTCTGCTTAGTTAAGGCTCTGAAGTAATGTCGGAAGACTTACATTCCGCAGCAAATATCACCACCTTCACCACCACCGCGAAGTTCCATCTTCATGGATTCGGAGCTCTAAAGGGTTAGTTGGGATCCCAATAAGTAATATTCGGAGAGCATACAGGCTGCTGGGAGACATTGTTGGAAGACATGGTCTCGGCGTTAGATGGCTGTTCCATGGTCATAGTGGCCGCATCCCAGGTAGACTCCTGGGCTGGCTTGGACTCGTTAGAAGACTTAAACCAGCCGAACATTTTTGTGGTTGATTAGTATCTTTGAGGGAGAAGAGAAAAGGTACAGGAAGAGGGAGGTGAAAGATAAAGGGGAAATAAATAAGCCGCGGCCAGCTGTGTGTTTCTACTGAAACGAAAAGTCGTACTTACTATGTAATATTCAAACTCTTTTTCAGTACAGCCCAGCAGGCAGCCATATTATGGGCTTGTGGAGCATGGGGATATCTTATGTGCCTCTCTAGACAAGAGTACAAGAGTACAAGAGTACAAGAGTACAAGAGTCTATATTTGGGAGAGTTGAATAAAAAGAATCAAGTGACTTATTATGCGATGTCTTCTGCATTTTATGTAGAAACCTGAAACCTGACAGAAAAAGCAAAACGCAAGTCCTGAAGCAATGAAATGGAGCCAAGCTTTTAGTCAAGCTTTGAGAGGTCTTGGCACGTTTTCCCTTTCAGCCTTGTTTTGTGACGTCGCGTAGAGTATCCTTAGTGACTATAATATTTAGCATTCATTTCAGCATTAGTTAAGGGAACTCACCGTTTGACATCTCCGTAGCCACCAGCAGCGACCTTGAATTGGGCTTTCACCTGGAAGATAAATAACATCAAAGTCCCGTTGACTTTTGAGATCTTACACGAAAAGAAGCATTTCATCAAAAGAGAGCTCTTTAGTATGAGACATCACTGTTACAATTCGGGCAATCTCAGGTATACCCAAAGCCTGACTTCGTGTGCTGATATCATTTCCCGAATTCATTGCCTCGCCTTTACCCCTGTTAAGGATTCTTTAGTCTCGTTTCTCTCGCACCTAGCGGGCCCGATATTCTTTCAGTTCAAAAATGCAGTGCTGAAGTAAGGTTTTTCAGTGGTTAGCTTTCTCCACGGTTATGGACTTCTTGTCGGCATTTAGGTTATAAGTAGCTCAATCCGACTTCTAATCTCCAAGATTTCTGTGTTCTCCAGGATGCACTCCTTAATATCCGCTGGCAGCTCACCTAGTAATCCCAGTTCGTAGAATCTCTTAAACCCCCTAAAAGTACTCGATGTGATCTGATTGATCTTCTTCTAAAATGATTAAAACTGTATTAACCGAAGAACAATGCTGTAAATAGTCCTTAGGGTACGCTCCTAGGCCTTTATGGCCGTAAACTTACGAAACTAACGCAGACTCATGTTTTTCTATATTAGATCATAGCGAATCAATTCTCGATATGTCATAATCCTCAGATTTCTTTACCTCGATCCTTTTCCTAAGATGTTTTTTCGAATCTCGTGGATATTTGGCGTCTTACTACAGCTAGTAGCGGTAAATATCGCCTATAAGCATTTGCTAAATAAGTCCTTGGCCAAGGGGATGTCTTAGGTCCTTCGGCTATAACGTTTCGGAGGACAGGTTTGTACAGGTATTGAATATTCATCATTCTGGCGGAACGCAATCGGCCTATCGAAAGATCGAATTGCGCCAGATAATCCACTGTAGTCACCTAGAAAATGGCACCATACTTAAGCATAAGGATCAGAAGGATATAGCTAGATGCAAATTTCAGTCTCTTCATATCACGAATACCAATCCCAAATCTGCAAAATCTGCAAATGAGCTCCTATTGTAAACATTACAGGGTATTCTGCGAAAGCTGGATTATTGATTGCTTTTTAAGCCACGCTTGATTGACTCTCCATACTACTTCAAAGGAAAGGTGCCATGGAGGATGGGAACAGAAAGGAAAGCTCCGATTCTCGCTCTAGTGAAGAGATATAAGTGGAGAGCTAGCAAAATGATGACTTATAGCCGTTTTCTACATCTAACCAGGAAACATAACCTGAAAGAAGATAATAAATCTACCTTCTACCATGCAGCTCATTATATAGCTTCATGGGGACAAAGAGAGAGCCCTAACACGCTGCAAGCACGCAGGTAACCAATGCCTTGCTTCCTTAGTAATAGTAATTACACGCATTACGTAGTAACGGTGCTCACTACGAAGGCATAGCGCTCAGGGTCACATGCGCTCATTTTAATCTAGCCTGCGAATTTAGGTCGTCGGATTCTGTGATAAAAAAGCTTGTGTCTAGGATTGCAGGTTATGTAGTGAAAGACGTATGCTTTAGTTACATAATAATTATGAGAGAGAAGTGAGACGTACTAGGTTTAGTGTAAAAAATAGGACTAGAAACCCTAATAGTGTATAGTAGGTAGAGTTAATATATAATTAATGCATAGAAGTAAACCACCTTGAAATATGGCGATAGACAACTTTGTATGATATACAAAGCTTCGTTTTATGGACTCACCGAGCCGATTTCGTGCTGGGATGGGTTGATGATTTGCAATATACCGTACTCCGTATAGAGAGATGTAAAAGGCGGTCTAAATTCAGGCCAAATACAAGCATTGGGGCATCAAATGGGTGTATACGACCCCCAGCTCAATACCCCTTGGAGTGAATCTGATATACAAGATCCCTCCCACCTTTTTGTTTCCTTAGCTGTTCAATTGTGCAATTCTCTTTGCTTGGAGATCACGTATTGTAAAATCACAAGATCATATTGAGATATGCATAGTCTCGGCCAACACGCCGACAGTGGGTCAACGGGGACTTTATAAAGAGGGGTTGGTCCCCATAATTCTCTTACCTCAACCACAACACAAAATATACAAGATGTCTATGAGCATTGAAGACTGCGCTCAAAGCCGAGATGGCTTCCCTCGTCCATTCCCAGATACGCCTTCAAATGTGTTGGAGCAGTTCAAGATGAACGGAAGGGTGGTTGTCGTTACGGGGGCTGCCGATGGACTTGGTCATGCGATAGCACAAGCTATGGCCGAAGCTGGCGCTCATGTTGCCTTATGGTATAATTCGTAGGTATCCTTTATTCAATATCTGTCTTAGATGGAATTAGTATTAACCACATAAACAGAAATGACGTCGCTATTGAAAAAGCCCAGGTCCTGGCAAAGGATCATGCTGTAAAGGCTTTGGCTTACAAGGTCGATGGTGAGCGGACAGTTGGAGCTTCATGTCCACAAAGAAAAGTGGCAAAATGCTAAGGTTTGATCTGCAGTGTCGGAATCCTCTCAAGTATCCGAGACGATTGCAAAGGTCGTGGACGATTTCGGCAAGATTGATGTGTTCATTGCCAATGCAGGTCAGTTCCCGCGGCACCTTGACATAAAGTAGACAGCTGATTTAGAGAAGGTATGGCGATCTCCAAGCCTATCTTGGAACAGACTCTAGATGAGTACCGGAAGCAGATGTCCGTGAATGGTATGAATATGTCCCTTCAGCGAGATAACGAATTGTGGTGTTAACCGATAATTAGTTGATGGTATTGTGTATTGTTCTAAATATGCTGGCGAGGTATTCGCACGGCAAGGTCATGGCAATCTCATCATTACCTCGAGTATGAGCGGACACATTGTCAACGTTCCTACTGACCAGCCTGTCTACAACGCGACCAAAGCGTACGTCACCCACTTTGGAAAATCACTTGCTCGCGAGTGGCGGGATTTCGCGCGAGTCAACATCGTCTCGCCAGGTTTCTTCGATACAAAGATGGGAGCCGGGCCCTCGGCCCTCCAAGAGGCATACCGCATGTCGTCACTTGGAAGGCAAGGCCACGTGAAGGAAATCAAGGGCTTGTATCTGTACCTTGCCAGTGATGCATCTACCTTTATGACCGGAAGTGATGTACTTATCGACGGGGGATATGTCCTGCCATGAAGAGATGAGGTCTAGACGCTGAGATCAAATTTGCAGAGAATATCATAATTTGGACATATGCAATTTAGATGACACCAACAAACGAGACAATATCTCGCCAAAGGCAATTTCGATATCGGGCTAAAACTTCAAATGTGACTCCGCGCCCGAAGGCGTTTTTGCCCCGCTATGTCAAGCCGCAGGGTCTTTTTGTTCAGGTACGATTTTGATACCTTTCCATCGAGATAGCGAGTATACGGGGTACTGAGCGTAGTGCACTACATATAGCGAAGTACATGGATCAATCGAACCTTGTCGTCGAACGAACGTGCTCAAAAGTCAAACTATTTCCCCAAACTTGGAAATAAAACTCCGAGTTCCGAGCCAACAACGGGCCATGCCCATGAGAACAGTGGAGTAGCATGAGTCAACGACTCACAATGAGCGACGGCCGGAGAGGCCGACAATACCGGGTACGATCTCCAAGGGTACTTTTGCCTCCAATATCGTTCAAGAATGGGGGTTGTCGGACCCGGGCAACATCTTGGCGTGGTCATTTGAATAGGCGTCAAAATAAATAGAAAGCAGGCTAATCAGTGACAGGGATGTATGTCGTCGTCAGCTACAGGAATATCATATCAAGTGATGAAGCCACTTTTCTAATCGAAACACGGCAGACGAGACAAACGGTGAAAACCTGCTTTGGGGTTGGTGTTATGTGATTGGCTGGTGTAGCGGCCCGGTTGGAGATTCAATTCCCTCAGTACACACAATAGTAGAGAGATTCAGTGTATGTTTGTAGATAGACTAGAAAATAGGAAATAGAAGAAAAGGAAGTAAGAAAGATCAAGAGAAAACATTTGAAAGACAGAACCTTGAAATTTACGAGAATACAGAATACAATACGTATTGAAATCGGTTTTCCCCACGTTCTCTATCACGGAAGTGACTTCATGCGATTTCAACTGCCCCTCCTTTCCCTCTTCACCTTTTTTTTTTCATTTTCGCTTTTTGCTTCTGTTTCTGTTTAACTTAGCGCCATCCGGTGCAGCAAGGTCCAAAACGGCATAATCACAGTAATCACACTGGCCATTGGTGTCAGCTCAACCTCGTCCCCGATAACCTTCACTCGCCATGGCTGAAGAACGAGATTTCGCTGCTGAGGCACTCGCGCCTGAAGTAGATGCTCCCTCTTCCAGCGGTCCCGCTCCTCCGTTTCCCCGACAGGCCTCAGATTCCGTCATCCCCCCTTCCGCGAATCTTCAGGACCCGGCTTATCTGCCTCATCCACACACCTGGGCCAGATCAATGCTGCGCGCCGCGGTGGGCCTTCACCACACCAACAACCCTTGATGAGCTCGCAAGGATCCGGCGGTTTAAACCCAGACCTCATGGCAAAAATGAAGGCATTCTCGTTATCCCGCCAAGGTGCCCCGGTGCCACAAGCTGCTTCGACGGGGCACCTCCCCATGGCCCAAGGAAACGGTGCAGGTGCCGCACTTGCTGCCGGTGTACCCCAGAGTGCCGCACGGCCCAGTCCTCCAAATTGGTCATCTTCCCCTGCCATCCCCGCCACTAGCTCTAATCCTTTGTCGCCTCGGCCGGGGGGCTGGCGAAGCGCGTAAAGCCGAGTCTCAAGTTATCGGATATCACAGGTTCGCCCAATCCTGCAGCAGGTGCGGATCAAAAACAGGGCGAACAAAATGGGGAGACTGCCTTCAGCAAATACTCCGAGTTTATCGACACGAAAGAGGGCACTTTGAACTTCAAAAACAAAGCTGTTCTGCACGGAGGTGGTGTCGAATTTTCGTCAGGTCACAGCTTTAAGATCTCTCTGGATGAAGTCGATCGCTTGGAGGAGTTGGGTAAGGGTAATTATGGAACGGTCTATAAAGTTCGACACTCTCGCCCGCATCTACGAAAACCCGGTATGGGGTTGGGTGGCATTGTCAGCCGGCCTCCAGGCCATGATGACACGAGTTCGGAATCCGGGAATCAACTCTCGGGCGTGGTCATGGCCATGAAGGAGATTCGCTTGGAATTGGACGAAGCCAAGTTTGCACAAATCATCATGGAGTTGGACATTCTACACCGCTGTGTCTCTCCGTTCATCATCGATTTCTATGGTGCCTTTTTCCAGGAAGGTGCAGTGTATATGTGTGTCGAGTTCATGGACGGCGGATCGATCGACAAGCTCTACGAAGGTGGTCTTCCCGAAAACGTTCTGCGGAAGGTGGCTCTGTCCACCATCATGGGATTGAAATCACTGAAGGAGGACCACAATATTATTCACCGCGATGTGAAGCCTACCAACATCCTTGTCAACAGCAAGGGCCAAGTCAAGATCTGTGACTTTGGTGTTAGCGGAAATCTGGTCTCTAGTATTGCGAAGACCAACATTGGTTGTCAGAGTTATATGGCACCTGAACGAATCGCGGGAGGCGGAATGCAACAGTCAGGAGCGCCGAGTGCCGGCACCTACAGCGTGCAGAGCGATGTCTGGAGTTTAGGCTTGTCCATCATCGAATGCGCTATGGGCCGATACCCATACCCACCGGAAACATTCAACAACATTTTCAGCCAGTTACACGTGAGTACCTTGACAGCAGTTTTCCGAGTTCAACATTCTAATATCCTTCATTTTAGGCTATCGTCCACGGAGATCCCCCAACACTACCCGAAGGATTCTCCGAAGAAGCGCACGCATTCGTCCGGGCCTGTCTCGACAAGAACCCGAAAAACCGACCAACTTACGACATGCTAATCCGACACCCCTGGTTAGCACCCCTTATGCAGCCACCTACCGAGTCTGGTGATGACAGCGCCCCACTGCCCGAGGAGTCCGGTGGCGATGCCGCTTCATCCACTATCACAGAGGACAAGGAAGTGGCCGAGTGGGTGAACAAGCAACTCAAACTCAAGGAAGAGGGCCTGCTACATGTTTCCGACAAACCGGCACTTCACGCCGTGGCGCTGGATAAGGTCGGCACAGCTCCTTCCGAGGGTGATCCTCACGCTCCGTTGCAAAATGACTGAGCTTGTCACCGGCTATTCGGAATTTTGCATGCTCCTTTTCTCCGGGGGGCACTTTCACGGCGCAGGCGCCGTTTATCACGACTTGCATCCCTATTGATTCCACCATGCCAATATGCCAATATTCTGGTCTTTGGAGTCCATTGGAACGTGGTCAGACCGTCGCCATGGTCATTACCCGCGTGTGATTTGAAACTATTTCAACAAATCATCCATCTGGATCTACAAGAATTTGGTTTATTGAACTAAACTGGGGATAATTTACTGCGCCCAGCCTTACATATCAGGCGCAAGGAACTCATTTTCATATATGTCACCCGATGATTCCGAATTTCCTGCATTCGAACTGTGATTTCCTTCTGTGTCTCCTATGCAAGCGCTATACTTGGCCTTGTAGGCATTCTGGATTGGGTATCATTTTCGTAGATGCAGTCACTGTAGTCTATTAACCTTTCAATTGAAACAATCTTTATTTTAATTTGCTAGTAAGCTAAAGCTATTCATGCGGACATATTAAAAGCCATGTTGAATACAGAACATAAATATACCCCGTGGTTCTCACTGTTGAAACTGGAAAAGAACCACACTCATCCTCTCTCACCACTCAAGCCTCTCCCCAAATCTCATCCGCAATCTCCCTCACCAGACTCAACTTCTTCTTCTGGTGCTCACCAAGAAGAGGATACCCACTCTCATGAGTACTAAATCCACACTGGGGACTGACACAAATCCTCTTGAGCGCCTCCTCCCTAGTCTCCCCAGACCCTTCAGCAACAAAATCAGCAGCCGAATAAATCCTCTGCTTCATAACCTCCTTGTCCTCCAAATCCCGCACCTTGGTACTAATAACCCCGACAACAACATTCTTCCCCTTGGGCAAAAACTTCAACGGCTCAAACCCCCCAGCCCGCTCAGTGTCATACTCCAAATAGAAAGTGTCAACGTCCAAATCCTCAAACAACTTCTTCGCAATGATATCATAAGACCCCTCAGAAAAATGCCGTCCCCCAATAAAATTCCCCCGACAAAGATGAATCCCCGTATGCATATCATCAGGCAATCCAACAAAACAATCATTGTAAAGCTTAATATAAGCGTCCAACAAATCATCCACAGTCCCTTCATTATCGGCATCATCCGCCCATCCCTCCCGGAACGATGTCGAGCAGAAATACGCCATCCCGGGGTCATCGAATTGCACGTTTCGCAGACCGGCTGCATACAGCGACGCAAGCTCGGCGCGATACACTTTCGCAACGTCGGCGAAGTACTCCGCGTCATTGGAATAGGCGTCAGGGGTGTATGCACGTCCTTGCTTGTATCTCATGTGGAACCAGGCGGGAGTGATCATCGTCAGTTTGATATTGTGCCATTCGCTCTGTGGCAGCGACGCCTGGACTAGACGCAGCTCGTGCAGGTTGGATTGGGAGGCTGAGACGCTGTGGGAGAGCTTGCTCCCTGCGATAACAGAGTCACCCGGCATTACTTTTCTGTCTTTTTCGATCAGGCTTACCACGTCTGGGTGGTAGAGTCTGAACATTGAGGATTCGGCGTCTTGGAGGCGGATTGTTCCTGGTGTTTGTCAGTTGGGTTTTCTTTGGTTGCGGCTGTGGTTGTTTGTATATAAATAACAGAGATAGCGGGAACAAGTCTATCAACTTACCCTGGAACTCATCCCACATCAATCCCCAGAATCGGGTGCGGTTGAACTCGCCAGAAGTAACGGCCTTGAACTCGAGGTCTCGCTGCATCTTGACGACATCGCAGATGGCTTCTTGTTCGATGGTGGGCAGCCCGGCAGCTTCGGCGGAGATTCCGGTGGCAACCTTCTCACGAACTTCGAGGAGGTTGTCTGGACGTAGTAGTGAGCCCATGTGCTCGGCCCGGAATGGCGGGCCGCTGCTAAGCTTGTGTGGCATGGTGTATGTAGTTTGGGTAAAAGACTGTCCTTTCGATTATGGAGGAGTTGCTTGATACAGTGATTATTCAAGAGAAATTTCAGCTCTCATGAAGGGGGGCATCCCCATCTCTTCATCTCGGGGCTTCTCCATGTGGGGATTCTATATGCGGGGCTGATGGGGCTCTTAAAACACTGTGGTCTCTCTTTTCACATTCTCTAAATACAGGGAGCACGGGCTGTCATCTGTCGGCTCGATATGTAGATACTAGATCTTCTTATGATTTAATCCTTGGAGCAACAACCTTCAATTTGAACATCGGCATGTCGACGCCTCAATACCTCAACAGGCTAAAAAAGCCCCACATACGCCTATAAAGTTAGCAGAAGATATTTCTTGCAGATAACTCTATGCATGCAACACAGCCAAATATAAAGTCTAAAAAATATGGCATTGTTAAATATTCCATCCAGATTCTGCATTCGCGCATAGTGCAAGTTGAACACCAACCGTCCAAATACACACGTGATATCCCAATAGCGTAAAAAAACATATTACTACGATATCCAGGTTAAAAAAGCCCCACATCCTATCTCCATAACGAAGGACCTGTAAGGAAAAAAAAAATAGGTAGCTTCTCTTTGATTGAGCGTGTCATCCTTAGTGCAGGGGCCATGCTAATCTTCTCTGTATATTTTCATTTGACCATATGCCCCGAAGGGCGAAAGAACATCCTTAAAGTTCCATATAGCCCCTGTTTGCGGGCAGAATTGTACCGCCTACTGATTTGGTCTGCGTAGACATGTATGGTTGCCAGAGTTAGCATGTTTGGGCTCGGTACAGCGAATTGCCTGCTTGCTCAGTGTAGGTGATATGACAATTAGCTCATGTTCAGACAAAAAAGAGCGGGAGATGATGAGATGAAAACGGACGAATATAATCCAACATTGCGGGGCTCTCCTTGTGTGTGGGATTACTCATCCTATGGTGGGGTCATTTCAATGGACATATGTGAATTACAATTGTCAATTGTAAGAACCAGGATGGCTTCTAGATTTGGTATCATGGCCTCTTCAATCGTCATGAATAAGATGAAGGTTGTTGAATGACTTCCATCAAACTCCCAAGCCCTAAGTTCGACTTCGGCGCCAGGCTACCATTGATAATGTGGGGTGTGGTTTGCCCTATCTCTTTGTTTCTTTAGTTAAAAGTTGATTCTAGTTATATACATCTCGCTGATTCTTTCCTTTGTACGTGGCATACTTGCCGAATAGAAGGAAGGATATGGAACTTATTCTTCTGGTGATACACTACATTTTCTTACTTTCCAGGTAGTAGCCTATGGCTGTTTGGCTCCTGAAGATTAAAATCAAAGACCTGCCGTAAGGTATAAATATCGAGATGTTCTAGACTATTATTCAACATATCTCTTCTATTCTCGAACAGCATTACAGTATTACCGCATAGTCACAAGCTCCTCGGCGCTGGTAGGGTGGATAGCAACACAGCTATCAAAGTCCTGCTTGGTAGCACCCATCTTGACAGCGACACCGAAGCCCTGAAGCATCTCACCGACGCCAAGACCAAGGATGTGCAGACCGACAACCTTCTCCTGGGGACCGGCGCAGATGATCTTCATCTCGGTGGGGTTCTTAGCCTTCTCCTCGGGGGACAAGCCGACATCGTAGAACATAGCAGTGAACTTGGTGTGGTAGACCTTGATCTTGTCGTCGCCGTAGCGCTGGCGGGCCTCGGGCTCGGTGAGACCAACGCAGCCGACCTCGGGGTGAGAAAAGACGACGGTAGGAATGTTCTCGTAGGAAATCTTGGAGTGCTTCAGCTCGGGAGGGCCGAAAAGGCGGCTGCCGAGTTGGCGACCGGCAGCAATAGCGACTACGGGGTTGAGTTAGTGTATTTCTTTAGTCTTTGTCCGGCCTCCCGCAGCCCGAGATCGCAATTCCCGGGGACACGAAAAGTGGAGATCACGACTTACCAGGAGTCAGTTCAGCTTGTCCGGTCACGTCACCAAGAGCGTAGACGCCCTCGACGGAGGTGTTCTGGTACTCGTCAACCACGACGTGGCCGCCAGCATTCAGCTTAACACCAGGGATATCCAAGTTCAGGTCTTCGATCTCGGGGACACGGCCAATAGCCCAGAGGAGCTCGTTGACCTCGAGCTCAGAGCCGTCATGGCCGATGAGCTTAAGCAGGCGATCCTTGCCCTTACCATCGCGGATGAGTTGCACCTCCTTAAAACCGCCGTGGTTACGGTGGATGTTAACACCGGCGGCCTCGTAGCGATTAGTCATAGTCTTCTGGATCATAGGGTCGAACTTGCGTAGGAAGTTCTCGCCGCGGATAAACATGTGGGTCTCAACATCCACAGCATTCATGACACCAGCAAGCTCAACAGCGATGTAGCCAGCACCGACAACGGCAATCTTCGGGGGAAGCTCTTCTAACTCGAAGAATCCGTCACTGGTGATACCGTGCTCGGCGCCAGGCACGGCGGGGAGACTAGGCCGGCCACCGGTCGCCAACAGGATATGGGGTGCAGTGTAACGAGCGGTGCCAGATCCGTCGGCCAGCTTGACCTCAATGGTGTGGGGCTCGACAAAGCCAGCGCGACCATGGACGAGGTCGATTCCTTCGCGACCCCAGTTATTCTCGTAGGCGCCGTTCAAGCGCTTGATGACAGCATCACGGGTGTTCTTGAATTGATTGTAATCCTTAGTGATGTTATCGGGAATATCGTAGCCGTAGTTCTTTGCAATGTGCAGTGTCTCGTTGATGGTTGCAAAATTCCATGTCATCTTCTTAGGGACACATCTAAATGTTGTCAGAACAAGTGTGCAATCATAATAATTTTACACCTTATACTCACCCCACGTTGACACAGGTGCCGCCAGATCGCCCGCTTTCCACGATTAGGGTCTTCTTGCCATACCAACCCGCTGCGCGGCGCGCGCTTCCACTGCCACCACTACCACCGCCGAGGACGATGTAGTCATACTGCTGAGTCTCGATGGGAGCCATATTGGATGATTGCTGGTTCTTGGGGGCAGATGATGAAGAAAAGTGCCGAGAAATTGTAGAGAGACGGGAGTGGGGAGCAATTGAGTCCGCAGGGGTGGAGCGGGGAGAGTTGATGGTCGCCAGAGTTCGATTGGTAAAACGACCAGGACGAATTTGCCCGACAGAAGACCGGGTCACTGATGAAGAGGCTCGAAAGCTAATCCGGGATGATTGGATCGAGCGGGAGAGCATGGAGAGTCAGGGAGAGGGGAAGGGAAATTATATACAAGCTGAGGTGGCGGTATCAGGGTTCGTTCATGCACCTACGTTATTCCGTCACTACCGGCGATTTCTCAGCAGTGATTACGTGATCCGATCTAGAGCCCGAAGTCCGGACGACGACCTAGTGAATATAAACTTGATACTTTGGTTTACTATTACTTTTCAGATCTATGGTTTGTTTACATTGTTGATATGTAAGATTATTGAATTCGAAGACAGTATGTATGGGTATAGGAAATTTAGGAAAGAGAGACAGGGAGTGACCGGCACTCCAGAATCAAACTCGCGGCAGTACAAAAGGAAATGATATCAATCAAACAACTCATAACTCAAAAGGCCAGGGTTGAAGCACTGCAATAAGTCAAAACTTAGTTAAAACCAATGAAGGCCAATGAATGTTGAAAGATATTTCAGATAGAAAAGGGCACCAGCCCTATCAATCTGAATATGTTGGTCGGAGTATGACAGTAACAGGGAAGAGGGTATCAAAAATGCGATGGATGGAGGGGAAAAAAAGAAGCCATCAAGTCCGAGTATATGTATATCTTGACTCCATGTCACAATACGCAGTCGGGGTGATATAGTAGTCTCTTGGGCGAAGGACTAGATAGCAGTTGAGGGCGTGGAAAGACGAAGTATGGCGCAATGGGAGTGTCTGGATATTGGCATGGAGTGAGGTCGACAGGGTATCGTTTGATACCTTGCATATTATTCAATCCACACATGGTCATACGATCCTCCTGGTCACATTCTGCTTGCGATGGAGGGGCAATCTTCAGTGTTGAAGGTAGCGTGGGGACCGAGTATTGACTCGAGGTTGTGTTACGAGACGAGAAAACGAAGTAAGAATGTTTCGGAAGGAGGCGACGCATCCCAGACTCCAGAATCCAGGACCACGGCGAGGGATCCTTTCATCTTCGTCTGGGTGCTGTTGGGCAGAACGCTATCGCAGGATGACTAGTGGGTATAGGCGATAACGGCAAAAGAGATGAGGCAGAAGCAGAGAGGGATGTAGACAGAGCGCTCCATATCGGCTGGTGTTGAGGAGTTGCGTTTCATGGTTTTCAAAGGTGTATAATAGCACAGTGGAGTGGCGATGTGTCTAAAAGATCTAAAAGTGAGGGGGTCCAGGAGTATGAGAGAGCCTGGGGAGGGCGGTGTGGTTATCTTATCTGCTTAGGTAACCGTGTTGGGGCCTCAACAAAACATCACCTGACTCAACATCGGACCAGGGTGAAGATGATGTTTAGAGTGGAGCAGGGTATGAAGACACACTTGGATACAAGCGCATTATGACTTGCCAAGATGAGAAATTAGCCTCGACATTTTGATGTCCGTAATCTCAAGTGAATAAATATCGAATATATATTACACTTCGTTTGATGGTAGATGAAGATGTGGGCGCAATCTGCTATAATGTAGACCTAGGAGACAACAGGAGATGTAAACCGGTCAAGGTGTAAAAATAATTACACCAATCAAGTAATGTTAGAAAAAGGACCCCCAAACTTCATATCCCCGCGCCAAAAATGCTAGACATAGTCAACTTTGATAAATGCAGCCACATCAATCGGAGACGACTCCAAGCATCTCCTCTGTGTTCCTGCGAAACAGACGCTCAGCTAGCCCCAGTTTGGTCGCACATAATTCCAAGCAACATTCAGTGAATGGACTGATATCAACACTGGAGAATCGAGTGTGCGGCCAATCAGTAGCATATATTACTCGATCAGGTGCAACAGACAAGAACTCACGTGCCATAGCCTGAAGATCACGCATTTGATGGTCTTTGCTGAGCCGATACGGCGCAGACACCTTAACATATGTTTTCCCAGAGCGAAGCAGAGATATCAAAGACGAGAACCCTGGAAGGGTGTAGGCATTGAAAGCCGCGCCATCATTTTCCCACAACGCGAGATCGGGGCTGCCAAAATGATCGATACAGATGCGCACGCCTAGTCGTGGGAGGATCGACTCAACCATCGAAACCATCTTGAGGGGAAGATATATCTCGATGATCCAGTTGCGAGGCCGGGCAAGCTCAGCATGCTGGAGTAAGGTCTCTTCCAGCTCGGTCTTATCCATCACTTTCCCTACAGACTGAAGGTTGATTCTCAATCCGCGGACTCCAAGGGTATGCCATTCGTCTAAAGTCTCTGGTTTAATGGTAGCAGGGTCAACGACGACGACTCCCCGGCCGCGCGAGGGCCCAAGTCTTCGCAAGGCATCCAATAAACATGAATTGTCCGTGCCATATACTGACGGTTGCACAAATACAAGATTCTCAACACCCAGTCTGAACTCAAAGGCGAGAGCTTCATGTAACGTATGCGGTGTGGGTTGGTATACTGCTGTTGGAGAGACAGGATATCGCTCAGGTTCCACAACGTGCATGTGACTATCCCAGGACTTTGGAGGGAGTCTCTGCTTCAGCGATACACTTGCGGTCGAGACATGTGTTGAACGCCGTTGCTCTAAACGGGTATCAAGCGATATGGATAGAGACCCGCGCAGTATATTCGGTTTCGACTGAGCAGCGGTCAGTATCCCGAATAGATTGTAAGCAAATAGGAACGATGGGGGATTTCCGATAATAAACGAGTAGGCACAAGTATATATATAAAAAAAAGCCAAAATGAAGCCCCGAGAAGATACTCACAGAAGAGCAGCTCCAGCTAGAGGATGTCAACCTACGATAGAACCTAAGAGGAACCATACCAGTTTCACCACTAAATATCCGCGAATGCCGATTCAAGTACCTACAATGCAGGGTTTTTTTTCTTCAAATAAAAGCATCCATCGGCCGTATTCGAACGGCACTATATGTACGGGGTGCAATGTACAGGTCTTGTACGACCCACCTTCAGCACACATGCTTGTGATCAGGTGCAGGAAAAATTCGAGCTCGGAAGTTGTCCGTCAAGGACTCCCTTCCAACCCCTAAGCAGTCATCCGGGCCTGTCAAATGCGGTAATGAGCCGTCAAGCGGAGCCAAAAAGTGGATAGCTGCGGCGCGATCCGACATTGAAATATAGAGTCACTTGGAAGTCATTGTAATGTGAGAAAGCAATAAAGCAATATGCGGAATCATTTATGTATATTACAGTAACTGGTGCTCAAGTCCTTGTAAGACATGGTGGAAAATGTGTAGGGCAATACAAAGCTCGGACGTTGACCGAACCACTTAGCTCGGACGCCGAGCACCCGGTCGTCTCCTGTCCACTCCCTCACTTCATTTCCCCCGGATTTATTGCTATACGCCCCCACAGCTCGTTTATATTAGGGGCCATGCGATGGATCACGCCACGATGGTCGACCAATCCCTACTGCGCCATGGTGATTGTTGTCATTGCCTGTGGCGGGATTCCGAAAGGTATGATCCCCCCCTCCCACTAGACTAGCTTGTCGGACAGCGATCTGCGACACTATACCTACATAGGTAGTGACATCGCTAATTGCGCATTCTCCTCATTAGGATATGACGAGGGTGGTTATAGTGCCAGCGTCTCCCTCCCCTCCTTCAAGTCCGAATACAAGCTCGTTGAACAATGGGGGGTCGACGATACCGAGCTAGCTAATCGGAAAGCGAACATCAGCTCCTTCAACGTCCTAGGTGCAGCACTTGGTGCCCTGATAGCCCTCGACCTCAACGATCGACTGGGACGCTTGGTGGCGTGGCGCCTCGCGTGCATCGTGTGGGCAACGGGGTCATTGATCCAAATATTCGCATCCGGTATATACGGACTGCTCTTGTTCAGTCGCATATGGGGCGGGTTAGGCGCGGGTGCTCTAACCGTGACTGCACCACTGTATTTAACCGAAATCGCCCCTGCGAAGACGCGAGGTCTAGTGGTGGGGGTATACATGGTAGTCTTACTGGCCTTTCTGGCCGTAGGTAAGCTTTGGCCCTCTACTCCGTAGTCCGTACACATCGTACATTGTACGCATATTCATCCCCCAATCAGACCAGCTAACACTATGTTTCAGGTTTCTTTATCAACTATGGCGCCAGGGTCCACATGGCGATTACGCGAACCCAATACCGCCTAGTTCAGGCTGTGCCTTTAATCCCTGTCGGTATCGCATATGGTCTGTCGTACCTTTGTCCCGAGACTCCTCGGTATCTCGTTTCAAAGCAGCTCCATCAGGATGCGCTAGAGGCTCTGACACGGTTACGTGGCAAGCCAATCGATGATCCTGAAATCACAAAGGAGTTCGCGACTATCGATGCACGAGAGCGGGAGCGAGCAACAGACCTAGCGTCTGTCTCTCATTGGACTATATTCAAAGAGACCCAGACGAACCCGAATTACCGACAGCGCTTCTGGCTGGTAATGACTATGCAAACTATCGCTCAGTGGACTGGCGGCAACGGCATCACATACTACGTAACGACCATATTCGAGGTACGTCAACTTCAAGCATCTGCATCAAGTAACAAACCACTAACATATAAAGCAGTACGCGGGTGTAGGAGGCGACACAGCGTCCCTAGTCTCATCAGGCGCTTACGGGATCGTCAAGCTAATTTTCACAATGGCCTTCACATGGGGTCTAATCGACCTCCTCGGTCGACGTCGCTGCACACTCGCCGGACTGAGTCTACAGCTAGGGGCGCACATCTATATGGGTATATACATGGGTCTGCGTCCAGGCTCAGCAGACAACAAAAACGCCTCCAACGCAGCCATCGCATCCGTCTTCGTTTACGCTGTCGGCTGGTCTATCGGCCTCTGCACTGTGCCTTACCTGTACGGCACGGAGATTTTCCCAACACGCATCCGCAACCTCAGTTATGCGATTAGTATGGGGCTTCACTGGTTCTTCCAGTTTGCTGTTGTGCGAGTTACCCCTAATATGTTCGTCTCGCTTGATGTCTGGGGTGCTTATCTCTTTTGGGCGCTTATTTGCTTTTCTGGGCTGGTTATCCTTGGAATTTGGATGCCTGAGACGAAAGGTGTGCCTATTGAGCGGATGGGGGATTTGTTTGATGGGCCGTGGTATTTGCGGTGGCGGGCTAAGCCGAGGGCGTGGGATGTTACTTGGTCCACTGATATGGCGCATAATGTCGAGTTGAAGGATGCTCGTGCCTTGAAGTTTAGTGGTTCTGTTATTTAATGATACCCCATTTTGTTATTATTGGCCCATGTTTTGACTTTTGTGGCGCTTCGATTCTGTCCATATTGCGATTCCAAGATATATCCCATCTGTTTTGCATATAACTACAACTTCTTTCCACCTCACAGTATCTCGTTTCGGAACAATAATTGAAACATAATAGTTACTGGTTTTTCTCTACGGTAAAGCTCACAAATTACCTACACGGACGTACATCTGGGAATACATGTTATATTCTAATAGGTTGCTGTATTGAATATGTATTTGGGAATCATGAAAACAAAACCAAGTGGGTGGGCAAAAGACGGGGAAAAAAACATCGTCCAAGTAACGCTATATAAGATCATTGAGAAGGTCCACCCCAGCCCTGCTCGAAGCCAGGCGTCATATTCGTCGTAATCGGCTGCGCATACGAGAATGCCTCATAAACCTCCGGCGTGATTTCGTAGGAACCGGGGTCATCCATCGTCATGACGGCGTTTGGCATCCCACCTAACAAATGTGTAGGCGGCATTTGAGGCATTTCACCGGTATGCGGAATGTTGAAACCTGCTGGGTGCTGGAAGGTATTGTATGGTCCCATGAGGGGCGGGTGTTCAGGGCCGGTGGTTTGGACTTGCGTGGCTATCGATGCTTGTGGTTGGTGGTGATGCTGACCTGGTGAGACGTGGCGGGATGGGTTGCTGCCTATTGATGGGGATTGGCTGTGGTGGGAGTGGTGGGGATGAGGATGGGGTTGGGGTGGGGAGTGGTGATGTTGAGGGTGGTGTTCCTGTTCAGTCTCGGGAATGGGTGCGGGCATTGGTCCGTGGATGTTGATTTGGAGTTTTTGGAGCTCTTGGGAGATGAGACTGAGTGCTGTTGTAATAACAGGATTGGCGGCTTTGACTCTCTCAAGGGCAAAAATGCAGAACTTGAGTTTGTCTAGTGTTCCCGGTGCGGCGTATTTCAGGGCTTGGATCTCCAGTAGGAAAATCGATGCGGCTGTGTAGATGCTGTATGCTAGAGAGAGGACGACGTGGCTGTCGCCGAATGTTCGGCGGTATAGATCGAAGAGGGATAGGATTGATGTTGCTGATGCCATGCATTGTACAAGATGGGTCGAGTCGTGTGCCTCGGGGCGCGCTTTGAGCAGCTCTCGAGAACAAAGAATTGGTCGGTGGAGAAGGATGTTGATAGTATGGTATAAACAGCTAGAAAGAGTCCAGTTAGCACTGTGTTCCAGTGTACGCAGGATTGAGCACATACTTCAAAATGACGATATGGCTTGGTGGTGAGTATGGAGGAAGGTCTACCGCCGTCAATTTCAAGTAGTCCGGTAGCTCATCCCACCAGTCACTCAGATTCTTAGCCTGCTCCTGAACACAATCAAAGAACTCCGAGTCCGTGCTTCGGCGGATTGGGTCGTATATATGGATCAGAATCTGGTTCAAGACTTCCGCCAGGCCGCACATCTTCATGAAACATGACGTTGAATGCGCCTGCGTCGGCGGATAATGAGCACCGTCGGTGAAGCTCACCCCATGAGGTGTCCATATTTCGATCTCAGCGGTGTCATCGAGAATCATGCGTGGTGGGCTAACGCGAGAGTGCTGCATCGTGGGCGCCCGGCCAAAGTACAATGAAACCACCTTATCCCAGAAATAACAACTCCAGAATAGACGGTTCCGTATTTCAATATCCTCATCACTCAGTTGAGCGGATCCTGAATATTTCCGGCTGTCGATGGATATCCCCAAGTCGTCCAACAGTCGGAAGGCCATACCACTGTATAGCCAAGCCTGCGTCCGATTTCCACGGCCGCATTCCTGGGCACTGAGAAGGAGTAATGTCTGAATAGTAGGGATGCCTGCATAGCCAACTTTGAGAGAGTCGAATACCCCAGTCAATGCGCGATGGGAGAATTGTGCACCGCCGTCATAAGAGTCCAGAAGTGGGCCAATCTGAGGCTCTGATTTGCACCAGCGCACTGAGTGTGAAAGAATGGCATTTAATAAGACGTCGGAGTAATAAGTACCATTAATTTTCATATCACCTATTGAAGGTTAGTGTCATATATCTGAAAATAGCAAGGTCGAACAGACGTGTAAATGCAGGACGGTAGACGAAATTCCACAGCGGCTGGATCCAGCACCAATGCGAGTCGAGAAGATACTGGAAGGGCTCCTGCGAGACTGTATCAGCATCCCTATCCCTCAAACAATCCACCCAGGACACATACCGGCATAGAAGCCATTTGCTCAAAAGCCCTTTCCCGCCATGCGCTATTAACAAGCCGCTCTTTGCGACCCTCCAATTCCTGCGCGTAATGTGCCGTCGATGCGGCTTCACTCACTACCCCACTAGGCAGCTGGAACAAACTAGTCGGCCCATGAAATGACACGCGACCGTCATTTTCCACATTAAGACCATCGAATGCTTGACTGAGATCTTCAGCACCGGGATCGACCTTTATCTTCGTTCCGCTCGAACTAGACTCAGCCGATGAGGGCGATCTCGTCTTCCGCGCCTCTTCCCCCTCCCCACGCTTCAACAAAGCTTCCTCCAACTGCGCAACTCTAGCCTCTAGCTGTTTTGTGTATGATAACGTCGGGGCTCTTGGAGAAAGATGTGTCAGCGACCGAATGGAATAAAAGAGGGGTGGATCGACCCACAAGCTATACACACACTGCTCGCTGCGCGCGGCGCATCGCGAACATGACGGACTACCTCCGTTACATTTAACCTGGCGAACAGTTAGCTCGGTTATCTCGGGGTACTCGGTCTTCGTCCGAGGGATCCGCGGTCACCTTGCGTTTGCGACAGGCCTCGCATGAGAAGGCGCTCTTCCGGGGGAGACTGGTCTTGGGAGGCTCGGCCATTCCAGTACCTTTTCAAGGTCCCGATTCGTTAAGATATATTACCCCCAAAATATCAAAATATAAAGAGGAATAAAAATAGGAGAGAAGATTTTTGGCCCCACGGGCATTAAGCTTTTTGAGAAATAGATAGTATTGACGTCGAATCAGCTTGAGGTCAAGTTGGAGTAAGGCGAAGGCTGGAGCTCATTGGTCGGAGATTTGGAGATTTGGAGAGAATCTATATCCACAAGTATAGGATATACGTTAAAAGGTTATAGGTTATGGGTTATATAGAAAGAGTAAAAGGCAATTAGATGTGCTTTGCTATTTGCATGGTATTCAATTGTATACATTCCCTTATTTGTTTCCTTTCTTGAAACCCGACTTGCCCTTGCCATTAGCCTTCTTGGGGTTCTTAGCAGATTCCGCATCACCCTTGCCCTTCTTCCACCCGATATTACCATCGTGTCTCATCTGCGCATCATCGAGACGCTTCTTGTCCTTGTTGCTGAGCTTGACATTGCTCTTCTTGGTATTGGGACCGTTCAACTCGACGTTACCCAGCTTGCGAGCAACCTTCTTTTCCTTCTCGGTCTCGAACCACGTCCGCTTCGGCCGCGACATGATCTCGTTTCCGTGCTTCATGAGGTTCTCACCCTTGGTGAATTGCATCTCGGCTTGAGAGAATTGCTTCTCGGTCTTCTCCTCTTGCAAGATCTCAGCAACCTCGTCGGCCAATTCCTCGGCCTTTTGCGCCCAGCTGTCTGCAACAGATTGCTCGATCACACGACTGACGATCTTGGCGCCTTGGGCCTTGCCGGCGCGGACGGCAAGCTTGACAACCTTGCGGTCGGGCTCGGCGGCAATTGTGCATGCACGACCGGAGCGGCCAGCACGGGCTGTACGTCCAACACGATGCAGGTAGATCTCGTGGCTCTGGGGTGCCTCGTAGTTAATGACGGTCTCAACACCCTTGATATCCAGACCACGAGATGCAACGTCGGTGGCGAGAAGGAAGGCGACCTTGCCATCACGGAAGTTTTCGACGGATTTGATACGCTGTATGAAAAGTTAGTGTTGTACATACAACAGTACATGAATTGTTTGAACATACCTGTTCTTGGCTCAGACTACCGTGTAGCTCTGCTGCCTTTAAGCCCAATAGGCCGAAAATGATACGAACGCGGTGAGCTTCCTTCTTCTGTCGGAAGAAGATGATGACACGCTTGTTGTATGCTTCTTTACACAGGTACAGGAGGTAACCGAGACGCTTGTCCTCCCGCCCAGGGCGGAGACGCACGAACTCTTGGACAAGGGTGGATACAGTGTTCTTCTTGGCATCGACCATCAAGCGCATTGGGCGGTTCATACCAACACGAATGAGCTTGTCGATTGAGTCTGTCATGGTCGCAGAGAACAGCATAGTCTGGCGAGATTTGGGAATCGTGGTGAGAATCTCGTTCAACTCATCGGCGAAACCGTCCTCAAGCATACGATCGGCCTCATCAAGAACCAGAATCTCAAGGGTATCGACTGTGAAACTGGGCGAGTTGCGCATGTGATCAATGAAACGACCGGGGGTAGCAATAATGACATCGGGGCGCTTCTTGAGCACGTTCTCCTGCTCGCGAAGACTGAAACCACCAACCAATTGACAGAATGTGACGTCTGTGTATGTGGCCAGTTTGACGGAGACGTTGTAACACTGAACAGCCAACTCACGAGTGGGCATCAGAACCACAACACGACTTGTAGGGACCTTGCGGGGACGGAAGAGAAGACGCTCGAGGATAGGAACAATGAAGGCAGCGGTCTTTCCGGAACCAGTCACGGCACTACCGACGATATCCTTGCCCAGCAGAGCAACGGGAATCGCCTTGCGCTGGATAGGAGTGGGGTCTGTGAATCCAACTGCGGCGAGACCACGAAGGATGGGACGGGAAAGATTGAATTCTTGGAAAGTCATCTTGGCCATGCTGGCCTTGGTGTCAACCTTTTCTTCGGGGGCAAAGAATGCTTTGCGCTTCTCTGCTTCCTCCTCGTCCACCTCGCTCTCTACATCAGACTCCACATCTGAGTCCCTGTCATCGGGGTGACCAACGGGTGTGGCGACAGAGTCGTTGTCGGATGCAGCATCGTCATCGGAATCCTCATCCTTATCCTCATCGTCCTCGCTTTCACCCCCAGAGCCAGGCTCGGGGCCCTCGGCATCACTCTCCTCCTCGCCATCTGCGCCCATGCCGAAGGCATCCTCAGCCATGAGCTCATCGTCCTCGAAGTCAACAGGCATTTCGTCGCCTGATGCAGCCTCGTCTTCGGATGCGCTGACGCTCTCTTCCTTCTGGACGGGGTTCTTCTTTTGCTTCCGAGCAGCAGCCTCATCTTTCTTGGCCTGCCTCCGCTCGATGATATCGTCAATATCAACGGCCTTCTTGTCGCCAGAGCGCTTCTTCTCGTTGTCATCAATACCCCAGCCATCGAAGCCTTCAGTGACACCTTGGTTCGCGACACCGCCGACATCGAACTCGAACTCGGGGTCCAAGACGCCGTCGTCTTCTGTGGCATCCGCTGCAGCAGCATCGTCGTCCTCCTCCTCTTCCGATTCGGGTTCGGGTGCGGGCTCGGCGTTCTTTTTGTTCTTCTTGGCGTTTTTCAATTGCTGCTTTTCTTGCTGCTTCTGTTTCTTGTTCTTGGGCTTGACGCCTTCGACCTCGCGCTTGCGCTTTTTGTTGTCTGTTGCTGGCGCATTATCATCCTGCATCTCGTTGTCGTCATCCTCTTCCTCGAAACGGGTTTCGATCTCGTCGTCGGAGAGCGTGAACACGAAATCATCGTCTTTGGCGGAACTCCGCTTCGTCGATTGAGGAGCCATTTTGGAGGCTGACACAAATTCCAGTGTATATTTGGTAGCTGAATATCTTCCACACACTCTCAAACAGTCTCAGTAGAAAGTTCAAGACCCCCGAACACTGTGCAAGCAACTCAATCTCGCCGAGAAGAAATGGATCAACATGCAAAAAAAAAGTTCCCCGGGCGGTGACAAGAAAATTTCAGATGACATAATCAATCCGCTTCGAGCCCGATTGTCAGCTCTACTTCACTGAATACCTCACCATCCCAGGTTTTATATGTGCAAGAGTCATTTTCACAAATTAAGCATCTTCTTTTCTTCCGTCGTCTGCCTAACTATAAAGGAAATATCCCCAAAGAGCCATCTAAGCAAACTACCTGAGAAGATCACTGAAAACACCACTGAAAACACCACTCGAAAGTCATCATAAGGGCGCATAAGCGGCAACTATTCGTGTAGGTTACAATTAAGAAAGAATTAACATAACCATACATTTTCAATCAACTACCTATCTAGTTAGACATTCCTCGTCTGCTCAATATCCCCCGTATGCTCTTCAACATATCGCCTTTTTTTTTCTGGTGAGACATCCAGGACACAACATCCTGGGTACAGACAGACCATCTCATCTGTCTGGCACATTAGTCTCATTATGTTTTCAACTTTTTTCTTCTTCTTTTTTTGTTTTCTTCCAGACCGTCGTTCTCCCGATTTTCCGAACATGATATTCGTCCACGGTCTCCACATCACTCATTCGCAGGCGCATCAGAGGTAATGAGTATGGGAGACTGAGCACCATTTCCCTGGGGCTTAGCTCGAGCCTGAGGTCTGTTATCAACCCCATCGCTCACATGTGAGGCCCGGATGCGATGAGCCATGTAACGAAGGTCAAAACTAGGAATATGTGTCAGTGAGAGAGTGAAAAGAAAAGACAGGCCCTACCTCTTGCCAGTCTTCACTCTTGCATTCTCGAATACGCACTTGTTCTCGAAGCCAAAGTCCTTATCCAACCACTTCTAGATCCAGGCATGCTCCTCATGGGTCTCTTGGGATGTTGCAATGGCACAAATCAGTGTTGTGAGTTGGCGGCCATAGCCCGGTCCATACTGCACTGTGCCAGTTTGGTCAAACTCATAATCGGTGCTTTTTCCAGAGTTCACATCAAAGCAATATAGGACCATATCAACAAGTGCCCGCCCAATGTGCTGATTCTTGCTGCCCTCTCGAATGAAGACATGCAGCTCACCCATATTCATGTCAGCGCTCTTGCCGTGGCGATGGAATTCGACATAAGCGTAGCCAACCACGGGGTGGATCTGATTGCAGCACAACTGCTTCGGCGGACGTTGGGCAGCGACGACGAAGGGGAAGTGGTTATCTCGGCAAAATTGAAGAAACTCCTCGAAGCCCTTCGCATCCATAGGTCGGGTTCCGCTGCTCAAAGCTGAGTTTTGTGCATACCAGTTCATGATTTCAAGGATAGAAGAAGCATCACACTGCTCTGCAGGACGTAGGTAGACGCCAGGTGGGACAACTTTTGAATCTGGTGGTAATTCTAGCCAAGCACGGTAAGCTGCGGTGCGACTCAGGTGCTCTTGCTGTTCCTGTTCCTTCTTCTTTCGTCTTTTGTTGACCTCCCCCAAGTTGTACACATAGCCTTCTGACGTCTCGTGCCAATGCAGGCGTGTCGGCTCATCTTTCATGTCCCTCGGGGCGGGGATATGCTTGGTGTCAGGCAGAAACATAGAAGACTGTCCGTCGGGCATCGCGGTTCCATCAAAGAAAGCAGCATGATAGATGTCAACTTGGCATCCGGCCGGAAGCTGATCCCACCAGTTGCGAAACTGGTTTCTGACAACCGCGTTGGGAAGATCGAACGATGAAATTCTGTGTTTGAGTTCGTGCCAATGATCATTTTGTCCTTCGAGGTCCAAAGTGCAGTCACCAGCAAGAGATTTCTCGGGCTCGTACATAGCGCTGTGGGATTCCGATGTGAACGTGAGGGTCCCATCATGGATGCTTGGGAAGATACGGCGAGATTTTCCATATGCCTTGGCTTGAATCTTGTGCCGAGCATTCCAATGGGCCCTAGACATCACATTGTTGGATCCTTTGACTGTCTTTTCGCTGTCTTCGTATGCATTGTCAGGAATAAAGTCGGGTGGGTCAGATGTTGCCCATGGCTCAGGTTCCTGGACACCTTCGGCAATTCTGGGATGTGCGAGCAATTGATAGACCTTGCTGCTCATATCGACTCCAGGTCCATCCCTGGCTGCGGGGAGCATCTCAGGGCAAGAGTGACTCTCGTTTTCCATGCCAAACAGAGGATGCTGCATGGGATTGTTCTTTCTCCTCTGTTTGTCAAATTGTTTGGTCAAATCCCAAGTTTGTGTCCAGCTCAGATTCTCTATGCTCTGTATCAGCTTGTTTCGTTCCATCTCGTTCATGGATTCGAAAATATGAAGCATGGCTGAACTAGAGCTAGTTGGGAGCACTGTCGGATTTGGCTTTTCGAAATTCTTGGGTGGCTTTCGGTGGGTATCATTCCTGCCAGAGAGTGGCACAGGTAATTCGACTTCTTCTGCCATTTTTATTCGACTTGGATCACACGGAATTAAATAAGGGCTTCTAGTAGATTTCTTCATGTCAGCTGGGATGCTTGAGCATCAATGTTATGATGTATCTTTGGTCTGTTCTGGGTCACCGCTCGCTTTTCTTCACTAGCATGTGATGGTGGTGAGCGAGGAAGCAAAGCAGTTGGGAAGACCTGGTCACCCACTTGGGGCAGTGCTTGCAAATGTGTCACTGGGGGCGGGGAGGGGGTTTTGTGCTTGTTGCTCAAAGGATGCGTATAAATGCTAGGTAACACGCGTACCTGAATGATTGGATGCGTTGCAGTCAGTCCACTGGGGAGACTGGACTGTAGAGCACGTTCTGTTTCGCGATACGCGACACGTTGAGTGAGAGAAAAAAACGAACGAAATTATGAAAGGGAGAGATGATGACGAAAGGAAGAAAGAGAGGGGGGGGGGATGATATGGAGGGAGAGACAGAGAGGGAGAGGACCATAAAGGGTGGAGGACTGGGAAGCCTCGAACGTTCAAAGTCGAACTTCAGCTAACCTTCACAAAGTCCTGTTATCCGATTGTATATATGATGTTTCTACTCATCCGAAGAGTTAGTGCTTCTAATAAGACTTCATTTCAGTTACTTCGTAATCGTAAGAGTTGATATCTGAATAGACCTTCCAAGGTCTAGATGAAGTCGACACACATGATACAAAATTTCAACGTGACAGCATGAGCTACGGTCTATTCTTTGCAGTATATATATCTGAAAGTTTAAATTCGGATAAAGTGATTTAAATCCTGGGATTCCATGAATTGTAAACTTGTATTGGGTACGGAGTATACAACTTGCTACTAGTGCGGTGACCAGGAGTTTGACGTAGTGTTGGAAATTCAAGCTATCCAAATTTAGGGGAAAGTACATCGGCGTGACATTCACATAAGCATATTTGAACTGAAAATCATGTTATAGTAATGGGGAGAAATATAATATCGGAAGATCCATATCCATTAGATACGGTCAAACCCCCATTTTGAGCCTACGCAGCATTTTTCCCTTTCCAACTCCCCCCAAAATACCTCGAGCAGGATATTTTCGCAACCATGCTGTCCATACTCCGAAAAGCCAGATTAAAGGATAAAGAAATGCGTATATTGATGCTGTATGGACACCGAGCTGTCGTTTAGACCGAGATGCTAATGATTGTAGGGGTCTTGATAATGCCGGGAAGACGACCATCGTCAAGCGAATTATGAAAGAGGATGTCACGACAGTCAGCCCGACTTTAGGATTTATCATCAAGACAATTGACTTTATGGGGTAATTTTCCTTATTTATTAATATCTCGAGCTCTGCTAACTCGGCTCAGATACAAACTCAACATCTGTGAGCCAACCGAGATCACTGAGACAGCACCGTACTGACCGCACTAGGGGATGTCGGAGGACAAAAAACACTCCGATCCTACTGGAAAAACTATTTTGAAAAGACCGACACACTAGTCTGGGTTGTCGATGCCACGGATCGACTCCGGGTTGACGATTGTCGACAGGAGCTGTCGGGTCTGCTTCTTGAAGAGGTACGGATGACGTCTCCACCCGCTCAAACTTGAGAACGTCAACTAAACCGATTCTACCAGCGTCTTACCGGAGCTAGTCTGCTGGTATTTTTGAATAAGACAGATGTGGAACATTGCATGAGCGAGCAGGAAGTTCGAGAAGTAGGTTCAAGTCTAGAATTTGGTGAAGTTGGTGGATTTGGCTAATGTTTCTGCAGCGTCTCGATTTGGATTCAATCAAAACACACAAGTGGACTATCTTGCCCTGCAGTGCAATGACGGGCATGAATCTGAATGAAGGTCTAGAATGGGTGGTACAAGATGCCAAGGATCGCTTGTTCCTTTACTAGCACAACCCGCTCATCGGAGATCGGCCTATGTTCGTATCCTTATATTTAAAATTTTAGATGGATCACCTCTACTCAAGACTTCCGATCAACGACTATAACTAACGTGCCATCCGGGTTTAAACTTTGCTTCCAAAAACCATGCCGTGCATTTTATGCATACCCTTTATACTATATTAGAGGGCACGGAAATGTTCCAAGTTGCAGAAGGCTCCGATAGGTGACAAAGAGTTAAGAGTTTTCTCAATATACATGCAAGGCACAAACTGATATATCCACCCACGAAAACAGCCGAGCCCCTGAAAACCAGAAAAAGCTGGAAAAGCCAACCCCCAAGGGCACCATGGAACCAAACTGCGGGGCGAAACCTGTTAAAGCTGAACTCCACAGCAAACAAACAAGGTGGTATCTAGATATTAGAGAGAGCGAGAGAAAATAGTATAGTATATGCTGTAGTATAGTATAGTAAACAGAAATAGAAATAGATTAAAATGATTTAAAAAAAAAAGCGAGGTGTGTGAACCAATGAATTTGTTGATCATCGCAAGTCCCGATTTAATTTAAACAGGGCGGAGAACACAACTCTTCTTCTCTCTCTTTCCCCCTCATTCGTTTCATTCTAGCGTGCATGAACGCCCGTCTAGATCATGACTGTTCCTAACGAGAGTTCCGAGGATGTCACTGATTTCCTTCAGCGCATCCGGGAACTAGGTGAGCGTCGCGACAAGGAAGATGACGAGCGCACCAAGAAACTGGAGGAGGAGATTATGCAGGGGCGGAAAGAAAGGCAAGCCCGAAGAGCTGGTACGCACTCTTCCCCTTGATGCAGACAACGTCTGCGGTCATAGCCTTTGCTGCACAATGTGCTGATACCGGATGACTCAAAAAACAGAGCGTGCACGATCACTGGCCCTTACCGACGATTCATCTGTCCTTAATGTCGCGCGGCTGAGCACTTCATCAACCAGTCCTCGGTCCATCGACCCCCCGGAACACCTCGAGCCAACACTGCAAACCCCGCAAACAACAGGACCTGAGCCTTCGACCTCGAGCGCCGGGGATTCGAGTCAAGAGACGGAGGTTTCTGACAAGCGGCGCGGATCGGTGCCGGATCTTGGAATGGATTCTCCCTCGCGGACACGGCCCCCCTTGTCCCGCAGCCGGGCGGGGACTTTGTCGTGGCAGCAACGCCCGTCCTCACGGGATTTCGGCATGTCACCCTCGACATCCCCAACTCGCTCCCCAACACGCGCAAGCCACTTGAGAAATTTGTCTACGGCCTCGGATGAGAATACACTATCTCGACTCCAATTTGGGTTCCCGAGGCCCTCCAAGGAGGCTCCTGTGCTCCCTCCATCCCCGGATCACGGGGCTGGATCGTTATCATACGGTGGGAAGGAGGAACAGACAGATAGCCACACAGATGTGGGCGCGGGACATCAGGAGCCGGAAGTGGAAGAATCAAGTACTGAACTAGATAAACTTGAGGCAGTAGAAGAGAGGTCATTGTCGCCTCCGAGAACCGGGTCTCGCGATAGCAACATGAGCCATCGCTTCTCGGTATCGTCGGTTTCAGCCACTGGGCTGGGGTCACCAGTGCACCTGACAGAGACTCCGAAGCTCGAGCCTCGACAGAATGATTCCTTTGAGGAATCCGTGCCGTCTCCAACCCAACGGCGTATGTCACCAGAGCGAAGCCGGTCGACCTCGCCCACCAAGGGTCTGGGAGGCTTTGTTCAGAGTGCTATGATGAGAAGATCAGATAGTGTGTCAAAAAGGTGGAGTGCGCAAATCCCACAGGGACTTGGGCGGTCAAATTCCATTGTGTCAAATCGCAGCAGTGTGGCAGGTCCAAGTTTGAGTGAAACCCCTCCACCTCTTGGGCGAGTTGCGCGTGAACCTTCAACTCTCCTGCGACCAGGCTCCAGCCACAGTGAGGCACACACCGAAACAACCGAACGACCAACCACTGCAAACGATAGAGACAGTGTGAATTTTGATAGCCCAGGAAAATCATTCCGACCTTCTCACTCGCGTTCTGCTAGCTCTGCTACCGCAGACGGCAGTGAAAGTTCGTTTGTCTCGAAAACTATGGACCCCAGGCGCTGGAGCCCCAACAAGGCTTCTTGGTTGGAAAGTGCCCTTAACCGACCGGAGCTACCACGACAAACGTCCAGACCACCGTCACAGCCCAACTGGGCCAAAGATCGACAGTCGCGAGGTAGCGTGGATTTGGGAAGAGCCAACAATTTTAAGGAAGTCACTCCTCTCGGTTTGATGCGAACACCCCCGCCAGGAACTCAAACCAAACTACCTGGCTCTGGTCCATCACTTCCTACAAGTCCTATTAAGGATGGTGCTCCTGAGTCTCCATTAGGATTCCCTCTGAAGAAAGTTGGTGTTCCATCACTTCCCACAAGCCCTGTTAAGGATGTTGTCCCCGAGTCTCCATTGGGATTCCCTCTGAAGAAAGTTGGTGCCTCTGGTCCATCGCTTCCTACTAGCCCCACCAAGGATGCTGTTTCTGAGTCTCCATCTGGGTTCCCCCTCAAAAAGCCAAGCGTCTCAGGTTCATCACTCCACAGGAACTCTGTCACGGAGCCTCCGGTGGAATTCCCACTCAAGCGGCCCAGTGTCTCTGGTCCCTCGGTTCCTGGAAGCCTTGCCAAGGAGACCGTTCCTGAATCTCCGGAGTTCTCCAAGAGACCCAGCATTTCTAGTTCCTCGATACCTGGAACCCCTGAAGCCAAACTGAAGGAGATAGCGCCAGTATCTCCGTTGGTTTTCGGTAGCCCTGGTGCCAAACAAACACAAGAGGAAACCCCAGCTTCTCCAACGCCCGTGGAAGAGGCCCTCGATGCCCTATCAGGCGGCGCACCGGCGGAGAAACCTAAGACTGGCTCTCCCGCTGAAGTGGAGAGTGAATCGCAAGAACTACCGGCACCTGAAGAGTCTGAGGTCACCGCTGAGTCTCAATCGACTCCCATTCGCAGGGCCCCGCCCGACTCGTTAAGCCCCAAACCAAACTTCTCCGTCTCGACTTCCTCGCGCGGGCCCATTTCACCCAAGCCAAAGCCACAATCTCCTGTGGTGGACTTCCGAGCAAACCTACGGAAACGAGAAGTCGTGAAAGATAACGGGGACAACAAAGAACCAGAATTCAAAAATGTATTTGGGCGCCTCAAAAAGACCGAAACTCGCAACTACGTCGCACCTGACGAACTCAAGGGCAATATCCTACGAGGCAAAGCTGCCTTGAACAACACCGGCGGCCCAAAAAAGACCGAGCGAGTCGATGAATTTAGGAAGAGCCTGGTGTCCCGCAAAGATGAAATGAAAGCCGGCGGAGGCTCCATTAGACGGAATACCGCTGGAGAGCAGGATGCGCCAAAACCGGCCGAGGTCGTACCAGAAGCAATTGCTATGCGACAGAATATGACGCGGGCTAATAGCATCAAGCAACCACTTGTGGACGAGCCGATGTCGCCTGCTAAAAGCTTGGGTTCTCGACTTTCGCAGGACAGACCGGCATTGTCATCCCCGAGTTCATCTTTCAAAGGCACTAGTCCATCGCGAGTTTTCCAGGAACAACAACCATTGTCGCCATCTAATGCCAAGGATGAGCCGGGCTGGCCCTTGAAAGACACGAGTTCCTCGCGAGCATCTCAAGAATCGCAGCCATTGTCACCTTTCCCTGCTGATGATCCCATTGATGAGCCAGAGGAAACAATCCCGGCGGCGAGCGACTACAAGCAAACTCCCAAGCTAGTATCTTCACCAAGCCATGAGGAAACCCGCGAAGTCGTGGCACCAATCGAGCCCAGCGTAGTGAAGATGCAGGAGCCTTCAGTCAAGACGCTTCGGCCAGTTCGTCAATGGCCACCGGCACCTGCTGCAGAGGCTACTGTGACTCCGAGTCCGGCAGCTAAAAGCAAATTGGCAGGTCGAATCAACCCTGCGCTAGCTGGCCTGCTTTCTCGTGGCGCGCCTGTCGGCGACGGACTGAAGAAGCAGCTGCCAACCCCTGTTACAGCCCAGAGTGAGCCTACTTCGCCCGCTGCGCCTCTCACACACGCCACAAAGGGTCGTGCCAGAGGCCCAAAGAGACGACCCCCCCAGACCATTGATGTCTCGACCCCATCCCCTCGGGATGATACTATGGAGGTTGGTGCCATTTCATCCTCTGAAGCCACCCCGTCACAGACTCCTATAATCCCCGTTGAATCCTTGGAGATCGATTCGGAGCACCTGTCGCAGCCTGATGAAGACCCAGTTCCTGACATCCAAGACTCCCGTTCAGACAGCCCAGTCACCGAGCAACTTCCGGAGGTGACCACTCCTCCCCAGGACACCCTCGAACGCGATACGCCTCGAAGCGGACTCCCGCAAGCACTTCAGACCCGTTCCCTAACAACGGACTTCAACATTTTCCCCTCCCCTAATCTTGGGGCGACACCCAGGGACCCCGTAAGCCCTGGAGAGGTGAGTCCATCTAGCGCACCACCCGTCCCACCGAAGTCCGATTCGCCCACCTTCCCCTTGCCTGTAACACCAACGCCACAATGGGGCCAGCAAAACCGGGTTGCGTCCTCATCGCCATCTCCTCTCCGAACGAGTTACAATGAGAACCAGATGGATTCGCGTATGAGTCAGCAGAAGAGCATCCCCTCAGTCGGTGTTACCGTCGAGTCAGCACGCAGTTCCGTCTCACAGCCCATGAGCCATCCCTCCCCGCCAGTGCCCCCTAAAGACGGTAATGTGATGCTTCACAAGCCCACCGATCCGCGCAGACTTTCAAGAAAGATGTCTGCCCCATCACTGGTTGCGCAAGCTAGTGAGGCACGCGAGGTTATTGCGGGCTTCTTCAAGACATTCCCCAACGCTCGAAACAGGATGGACATTGATCCGCAGCTGATGCTGATGCGTAAACCGGACGATGTCAAGATCAGAACCGTGAAGCTCCAGATCTGGGAGCTCACCGGTGATGGGAGGCGTCAGGAACTTCCTTCCCACCAGGAGTACATTCTATACCAAGGCAGCATGTATCTCTGCGTGCACATATTCGAGACTGGACGAAGCAGCACTTCGGAGGTATACCTCTGGCGTGGTGACGATGTCCCTGAATCCTCGGTGGAGGATGAACAGCCGTTCGCGCGCAAAGTCGCTCGCGAGAATAGCTCCAAGTTGCAAGTCATTCGACAAGGGAATGAACCCAAACGGTTCATCCAAGCCCTCGGCGGCATTATGATCACGCGGCGTGGATCCAGCTCTCGCCACAATTCCTCGGCTCTCTACATGCTTTGCGGCCGGAAACACTTGGGCGAGATGACCTTCGATGAGGTGGATTACTCGCTGCGCAATCTCTGCTCTGGTTTCCCTTACGTTGTCTCAGCCCCCTTTGGCAAGCTCTACCTCTGGAAGGGCAAAGGCAGTGGCCCCGAAGAAACCGGTGCAGCCCGACTTATCGGCATGGACCTTGGCCTGACCGGAGAGTTTGAAGAAGTCACCGAGGGTGAAGAGCCCGAAGATTTCTTCGACATTTTCGCAGGCCCCAGGGAGGCCGCGCCGCAAATGTGTCAAGATCACTGGCAACTCAAGCCGAAGTACAACCACTTCCGCACGCGACTCCTCCGGGTCGACCACGAACCAAACCAGCCAACTCGGTTCTGGAATCTCCGCCGTCCGGGCTCAGGTTCACCGGTGGTCAAGGCCAACGATTGCATTCAGGAAATCGAGCCATTCTGCTATCGAGACATCACCGACAAAGACGTTTACGTTCTGGACACCTTCTTTGAGATCTACGTGTAAGTACTACCTTCTCAAAACGTCCTACATTCGACTGAGACTAATTTCCACAGTATTATCGGCGATCAAGCCTCGCAGAAGTCTGCCGAGTTCGCCTCGGCAGTGGTCTTCGCGCACGAGTATGGTATCCTCGCCACTTCCCTCCAGGACCGACCATTTATTCCCAAAAGTTACGTGGCCCTTGGCGGCGTCTCCGACCGCTGCCAAAGCGCATTCCGAAAATGGAACCCGCGCACTCAGCATGCGCCTTTCGTGTTCTCCCTCGATGTTGTTATTGAGGCGATTCGATCTCCAGAGGAGAATGAGTGAGATGTGTTTTCTTGTATGTGATTTTTTTTTAAGGGCTTCTGCTTTTGAATTTGTGCATGTTTATGTACAGAGCATTTCGGAATCCTTTGTACTTGTGCCATATTGCCATAGAGGGAACTGGAGCATCTGGGGATGTAGAGTGGATTTCGCATTTTGAGGGTGTATTTAGGCATATTCAATTCAAGTTTCATAAGTTTTATTCTTATCTTTTTATAAATCACATGAAATATCGGACATTTAGGGTAATTTAGGGTAGTATAGAAGATTACGGGAACGGAGGACGGAGATAAAAAAATAATCATCCGATGGATGTCGCCATCTGGTTGAATTTCTCCCTTTCTTCTCTCCCCAATGGCAATGTAAAAAGCAAGCCATGGACCCCTCCATTCTTCGTGAGCTCTCGAAGCTCGATCCCGCGGTACCGTTCCGCTCATCAACCGATCATCTACATCATACATGGGCCAAGACATTTTTCTCCCGCCCAGAGTTGTACATCCGCCCACAAACTATTCCAGAAATCCAACAACTGGTAACTCTCGCCCGTCGCTGTCGCCGTCGCATCGTAACAGTCGGTAGCGGCCACTCGCCCTCCGATTTAACCTGCACCTCATCCTGGCTCGTCAACCTCGACGACTTCAATCGCATCCTCCACGTTGACCCGTCAACCGGCTCCGTAACCGTCGAAGCAGGCATCCGATTACGGGATCTGGGCGCAGAACTGGAGAAACATGGTCTGACACTCGAAAACCTGGGCAGCATCGACAGCCAGTCCATAGCAGGCGTCATCGCCACCGGTACCCACGGCAGCTCCCTACGCCACGGCCTGGTATCGGAATGCATCGAATCGCTAGGCCTGGTCCTCGCCAATGGCCAGTTGGTCCGCTGTAGCGCGACAAACAACCCGGACCTGTTCCGCGCGGGCCTGGTATCGCTCGGAGCGCTCGGAATCGTCGTCGAGGTCACCTTCAAGGCAGCGCACACATTCAAAATCGCCTGGCGCCAGGAGCGCTATGCCCTATCTCGCGTGCTGGACGAATGGTTCACCGGTCTGTGGACTAAGCATGAGTTCGTGCGTGTTTGGTGGCTGCCGTATGAGAAAAGCGCTATTGTCTGGCGCGCTGATAAAACAGATCTCCCACTGCGCGCGCCCCCGAAAAGCTTCTACGGTGACTCCCTAGGCTACCACATCTACCATAATCTCCTCGCGCTGTCTTCATACTTCCCGCGCATCCTGCCCTGGGTCGAATGGTTCGTCTTTGGTATGCAGTACGGCTTCCGCGCTGGATCGACCATCACCGAGGCCGTTGAGCCCGCCCGAGAGGGATTATTGATGAACTGTCTGTATTCGCAGTTTGTGAACGAATGGGCTCTCCCGCTGGAAAAGGGACCCGAGACTATCGGTCGGCTTTCCGCCTGGTTGAATGGCGACACTGAAACCGCGCGCATCCCCTTCTCACCCAAGGGCCTGTATGTACACTGTCCGGTCGAAGTGCGAGTCTCCGATACCTCACTGAACACCAGACCCCGCCCATTCCTGGACCCGACGTGTCCCGACGGCCCGACGCTCTACCTCAATGCAACGCTTTACCGTCCATACCTCCGCGACCCGCCGTGCAGAGAACGCTACTACGAAGCCTTTGAATGGCTGATGCGGGAGATGGGCGCGAAGCCGCACTGGGCGAAGAATTTCAACACATTAAGCCCGAACGAGCTGGGAACATCGTACGGGTCCGACATGGAGTCGTGGATGAAAGTACGTTCAGAAGTCGACCCGGACGGGATGTTCGTGGGCGAATGGCATCGGCGTCACCTGCCCCTGGAACTCGGGCAGGGGAGTGAAACACCCGACGAGAAACTGCCTCTCCTCGAGCGCGAGCAAGAACGTCGCAAGGTGGATATTAGCGGCGTTGGGGATGGCGTTGAATGGGTAGGGGATCGCCGATGGCAGGTTCAGGTTCGGGCTCGACCCTCGTTTGATACGTTGGATATGGCGAAGAGCGCGTGCCCGTTACCGCCAGATCACTCTCCTAGTACGGCGACCAGCGAGGAGAGCTTTGATTTGCTTGCCAGGGGTGAAGCGAGCATCTTGCTCCCCGATGGACCGGGGTGAGAAGAGGAATCAGGCGAAAGCAAACAATATTTTGCATTTTGCGAGAGTCCTGATTCTTCCGTTGCTTTTGCATCTGCTGATCTGTCGGTGACTGTGACTAGTCCACTTCAGAGCTGTGTCGGTTCTTATCATTGGCTCTACAAGCTAATTTGATTCCCGCGTCACTTTTGCGTTTCGTTTTCGTTTCCCCTTTTTTGTTCCAAGCAATTTAGGGTTGGTCACTTGGGCAAATCTGACATCCGAGGATGTTCGGGCTTCGAATTCTTTCCCAATTTGCATAGACATAGATCTAGTAGATCCCCTCTGATATTACATATTGCATTTTCCCACCTACTTCTACCCATTTGCTTTTTTCTCCATTTGCCAAGGCAGAGAAATTTGATGGCCTCGTGGTCTCTACTTGTTGGAATCTGTCGGTGAACGAGTGAACTGCATATTCGATGCAGGTGCTCGTAACTCCTTTCCATAGGGTGATCTTTGTCTGCTTTCATTGCTTTTGAAAATATGCATCCAGCAATCAATATTCGATAATCCATTCCTTGTACGGCCAATTTACATGAAATTCATATCTTGTGGAATCGGGGAGAACGAATAACACAGTGTCCGTGTCTCTATCCATATTCCATGTTCCCTGTCTCGCAGCTGAGCGACCTTCAAGTCCATGTACGGACTCGATAAAACATTGAATATCTATTGCACAGGTTTATATTCATGTTCATTGCATTCGGTCTCGACTCGGTGGCAAACCCGGGATTCAGGATTGATCTGTTTAGAGGATATGGGAATTGGGAAAGGAAGAAGTACAGTCAAGTGCATGTCAGTGACACATATGGTATTGCAGGAGCTGAGCACTGCATAGGTACGGTATACACAGACATATGTGTACACACTGCCACACATGTAAACAGGAAGATCAATGCAAAGATCTAGCCTAGACAACTGTTCGGATTAGGGCTGCGTAGAGATCTGATGCCGGTACGAGAATGCAGGCAGTACCAGGGTATAATGTCAGGGTATAAAATATACGAGAAGTTGATCTAAGAGTAGAAGAGTAGAAGAGTAGAAGAGGAAAAGAGAGCCTTGATACCAAGGGGGTATCAACCCCGCTTATCAAAGGACTATTGTCTCTCCTTAAATCTCTCACCTCTTTTTCTTTTAAACGCCTGTTAAATGTCTAGTGTTCTCTGGCATATCACGTTGTACCACGTTTCGGTGCAGCTAACAAGGATGTCCTTTTCACCGACTTGTCTTTTTATCTCGCATTGACCTCTGCAGTAATTGGACTCGCAGAATCTTCGGAGTTGACCTTTTCCAATATCCAGGCACGTGTGGAGGGTTCCCTCTGACGTGCAGAGTGTCAGCATTCGAAGAGGGGAAAATCGTGTGACAAGAACGTTGCTGGGCTTTGATCTTTTCTGCCCAATGACTAGGCTGATCTACCCTCACGGCTCGGACCGTGTCATTGTACTGATCTCTAGGTACCTAAATAGTCGCCTAAGTGCCGCTGCCTATGTGCCTACATGGCCTGCATGCCTACATGTCTACCTGCCTACCTGCCTAGGATCTACCACATGCCATCCTCGTCACCCTTGAAACCTCTCCACGTCACAGTGGGCTCTGCGGGGGGACTTTAATGATATTGACGTTTGGCCCTGGCGGCTGAAAGCTTTCATATCATCCCCACCTGCTCGATTTCTTTCTTTCTTTTTTCTGTTTTTCTTTTTTACGGCCAAAGCCCTGTCCCTCTCTATCCTCCTAACTCTTGCTCTGTCTCTCTTCCTTCTTTCTCCACCCTTCCTACTCTTGCATTGAAATATCTACCTCCCTTGCGTGCTAGCTAGTGGAGTTTTCAATATGATACAATCAACCATGTCGTGGCAGCCAAAGCTTCGCCCCAAGGGCTTCCCGCATAGCATTGACGACTTTGCGGCGGTGGCTTCATTGTCGGAGCTGGAGCATCGGGCCCGGACTGGCGAAGACAAGCGCGACCAGCGCGTCTTCCGAGTCAAGCGTAAACATGTGCTGAAAGCCTGTGATCGCTGTCGCGTGAAGAAGACCAAGGTATGTCGAACATAGCATGCGAAAAACAATTTAACTAACCCACTGCAGTGTGATGGGAAACAGCCTTGCAACCGCTGCTCGGTATACAACCACCCATGTCTATTCCGTGAACGGAAAGCCACTCAGACCAAAGTATATTCTCGAGGGTGAGTACATACCCAGAATCTCCAACTACGCATATCCTCAGAAGCTCATAGACATACTACACACAGATTCGTCGAGATGCTCGAATCTCACCACTCCCTCGTCGTAAAAGCCCTCCAGAAGCTCTACAAATTATGCATCAACAACGAAGGCTTCCCGGGCGATGCCCTCGCAGAAGCCCCAGACGGACACCCCCTAACACACGCAATCCTCGACCGTCTAGGCCTAATCAAACAAGCCGAAGAAAACGCAGACGAGCCAGACGAAGACTCCGAGGATCTGCGCTACTTACGACTGCTATCAACCTCCACCGAATGCAGCGTCACAGCAGAACCCTCCCCAGAACCAACAACACCCCCAGAACCATCCCCAACAATCTCCCGTCCACCACCAGTCCAAACTCCCATATCCGTCCCCAGCCGGACAACAGCAAGCTGGCAATGGGATCTCCAGCCCGTCCACCAGACGAGCTACAGCTACCCAGACGCAGGGTACCACGATTTAATGGCGCTGCGGCAACGGTCGTCCATGAGCGCACCGGATATGGGCCCTGATATCCCACCCCATGTCGATATGCCCGTGTCTTCTGGACTACCGCATCATTCTCAACATGCCCACCACGAACCGCCGTTCCCGTATGTTCTAGATGGATGTTGTGATACCGGCACACCCCAGCAGGACGTGAAGCCCGTGTTGATGAGGTTACCGTCCGGTCTTATGGCGGAGTCTCATACGCATCCCCACCATCTTGCGGGAGATATTTCTGCGGAGATGATGGGTGAGTTCCATTTCCAGGCGCATGACTCGTCGTTTTATCCTGGGTTTACACCCAATTGGAATTTTCCTTCGGGGTGAATTTGGTATCATATGATGGGAATTGTTTCTCGTTTTTGGGAGATATATGGTCTTTTCGGGTTGGGGTTTTGGTGTAAGCTGTTGAGCAGCTTTTTTTTTCATTTCACTTCTTATTTATATTTCTTAGCATTTGGCTTTCTCTTCTCAGAGTCATTATGACTTCCTTCTTCGACTCTCTTTTTTCTAGCCATTCTTTCTATACCCCCTCACTTCTAAATTTGGATACCGCCACCGGAGCATGGGGCACGACATCCACGCAGGATTATAAGATTGGAAGATGTCTGGCACATTGAGTCCTAATCCTTCTTCGCCTGTTCTTTTCTTCTGCTTCTCGGGTTCAGCCAGGTCTTTCTTTGGATCGTCATCATTGATCTTGGATTTGGATTTCCTTTGGCTCTGGTATCTAGTTTGAAAGAGTATCGCCCTACCAATTTAGGTACTAGTTCTTATACCTTGCTTTCTCTTTTCTTAGCGTTTTGGGTAGACCCTGTTTTTGTATAAAGAGGTTAGAGGCTTACAATCAGATACAGATTTAACATGGTATTACATATAATACCAGCAGCTAAATCCCATAGATATTCTACTTGAAACGGCCAGCCGTACTTCACGTGAATAGATTCTAACAATACAAAATCACAAGAAAGAATATTATGTACACGGTAACATCCCATCCCAACTGACCTACAAAAGATAACACAAGAAAACCCGACTGCCTCACACCAGATCTGGATCTCGCACCAGGTCATACAGTAGTACGATACATGCGCGACCTGACACAGATTCATCCGGCATCAACCCAGGGAAGAAAAGGAGGTCTGGAAAGGGTTAGGAGTGTGTAGACCAGATTATATCAAACGAGATCGGGTTGTACATTGTAGATCATAGCAAGTATAGCAAGTGCGTGTGTCGTCTTGCTTGTTCAGGTTGAGGGCTGGTTGGGGAGGACTGGGGTGGGGAGGGTCGTTTGTGGAACTTGAAGACTTGCGCTTCGGTGGTTGCTAGGGTTGTTTGTGTACCCTGTGTGTACTTCGGTGGATGTACTGGGATCTATGCAGATGTAGAAATAGATGTAGATGATATATGTATATATCTGGGGATGTGTGATGCAGGACAGGGAATAACATGGCATATTGCATATACGTTCCATGTTGAATGATGTATGCTATTTCCTCATTCTTAGAAGCTACGTATTTTGTGTATTTTTGAGGTTTTGTAATTCCCCAAGTCTATCACCGAGGTTCCCTAATTAGGAAGGTGCGTCTAAATGGTACATAGGGTATCGACACTCCATCTATATGACACAGACTAATACAATACATATACATGAATATATAAACACGGGTTGCAAGAACTTGAGAAAGAGAAATAGAGGAATACAGAAGTTTGTGTAGCTTAGCTGTGTTCGTGGGCTAGGGAGTAAATAGAAGTCCAATAATCACTCTTCTATCGGTCCTTTCAAGGTCTTTTCTAAGGTCTTTTAGAACATAATCGCTAACTACCCCCTAATATTGTTAGCAGAACACTCTTGATACGAGCTGCTTCTAGGCCTTCAAGAGACAATATATAAGTATAAAGTTTCATGACAGCTGGCTAACTCTCTGCCGACGAAAAACCCAGTGGGCGCGATGGACCCAAAACCCAAAACCCGTCGTACTCTTTCCTTCATCTACGGATTCTTGAGCCTAATACCTTTCCACAAAGTTCACGTCTTAATAGTCGACTAGAGAGATCTTGACGTCTTTCGATACTCGCTACAGCTCATCCACGTCATTCAGAGAATCCAAATTACGCTCCGGTTGTGTTTTAGGTCGTCCAACAAGCAAAGGCAACACAGAGGATTTCCACAGGATAGTCTTCGCTGGAGATTGCAGTTGCCACAAGCAATCCAATCGACAAAACAGCAACGGCGGCCGGGAGAATTACTGACTGGCGAGAGCCTCCTTTTGGATATTGTTCTTTCACACCAGTACAGCACGCATTCAATGACATCGTTCATGTATGACACAACGCCGAGGTTGAAAGTGTGTACCTGAGTGTATGAGGGAAGCTCATTGCACAAATCTGCGATCATCGGGTTCTGAATCCCAAGAGCCTGTGTGATGTTCTTGCTGTACCATTTCTGGGCAAGCGAGTGAACGTGGCCGTTTGCCCGCTTTGCTGAGCTTCATAGCTAGATTCGTGGGGAACTTGGAGCCCGCCAGGTCCTGTGTAGCTGCAGTTGACGGGGGCTTTGTTGAAGGGAGACAACAAATGAGGAACTCTCATGCAGGTCTGCTTGGTCTGGGATGTGACGTTCTCACATCGACTACAGATACGGATACTCGCAATACTACTCAGTGCTACACACCGGTTTAAGGGGCGTACTTGTCTTAAACAGCCCGCCTAATATTGCAAGCTGCATAGCTGGAACCTCTTGGGGCAATTTTTGCGATGGACCAAAGCAGCTCTAGCGAGCCCTAGGGGCCACGACTCGCTTAATCGAACACTTGTATATCGTAAAGTGGGGTGGAAACCTGATACCGATTCCATTTCAACTGACTCGGGCAAGCAGAGACTGTTACGAGTACAGTTGCCTTCACGATTGTGATAATAATGGAGATGACTGCGTTGGGTGAAATGAGTATTGCCAACGAGCGTAAGGAGTTCCATCCAAATAGGCCAAGAAGCCAATCAAAATAGCTATGCAGACTAGGCCCATGATCCAAGCTCTGATGTCCCAGGCCCAGGAGCCACTCCAGTTGAAAGACTTTGTCTTGGCTTCTGCTGGTAGATTGGAAGCACATGAAGAACCTTTCGGTCTAGCTGAATCGTAGTGTTATGGGCACTCTTCGGGCCAAGTAGGTAGATGACTCTCTATAGCCCTTGGAGAAGTTTCTCCCGTCACTGTTCCTTGAATTGAATATTCAGTGTGATCGAGGTTTGATGGGGTACTAATGGTGGAATAGAGGTGAGACATAATAATGTTGGACTTTGTGCCTGCTGAAATTAGAGTAGACTACCTTGACAAAGGCGGCTTGGAAATTAATAGAGGGCACCGGGCGGATTATAAGCTTGAACAGATCCCTCCTGGGGCCGCCTCTAAAGGCGGGGGCAACAGCGGTTGAAGAAAAATCACCTTGATACTTTTCTCTTGGTCTCTCTTCTTGCTGAACAACTTCTCTGTGGAGTTCAGTGAGCCCAATCTTGAATAGGTTACTGAGGGCATGCTCTTTGAAGTGTTGTTATGTGTGTGATCTACAGTCTTTACATAGCAACACATACTACCAAGTACAGTGTAAGTTTGTCTAAGAATTCAAAAATATACCCTCTATAATACTCCACATGGAGCCAAAGATATCATAAGCTAGGTCAAACACCTTTGACATGTGGAAAGTGGCGCATTCTAGAAATCTGCTCATGTTATTCCTGCGGATGATTGGCTAAAGGGACTATAATACACGTTCCAGATCTTATTTCGAACCAATCTTAAAATAACTGTTGAGTAATCACTGCATCGCGAGAGTCAGAATGATCTAGCCCATTGCCCAGAAGAGTAACGAGTTCGTAGAAGTCGGATTACTTTTAACCCCCGCTTCTTCCGCCTGATTGCCAAGAGATTGGCGCCAAACCTTGGCGCCAAGAATAGCTAGCTCTTCCCTGCACGGATTTGTGCCACTTTCACGAGAGTGCTTTGGTGTCGTCTAATTGTTTAGTCAGAATATTCAGGCCAAGAAAGAACTATCATCTTTGCTCGCGTGACAAGATAAGCTCATCGTCTACGTGAAAACGCTAAAGCTTAGAATATTCCGCAATGCCCCGAAGCTTGGCAATGCTGCGCTTGCAGCTACTATATGTAGCAATACTTGGCAACATCGGACCCAGTATTACTATCAATGGATAGCCCCCAGATTCGTCTATCAAACACGAGGCGACCGGCCCAATATCTTGGCACCAAGACCAAATCCATTCTCTTCCAATGATCCGTACAACGTGCCCGGGTGCCCAGGGATTAAATCTTGGAACCCTGGGCCAAGACTATAATCTGGGGCAGCCATACTAAGTGTCTCATAACAGAGTCTGAGCTACTTTCATCCCCGCTACTTTCCTCCCCGCTACTTTCCTCCCCACACAGAGAGCTACTTTCTGTTCAACTATTCAGCAAGTGATTGCCCCGACAGAAGTTCAGACGGGCAAACAGCTCGGTAGTTACCACAGAAAGTTATATTCTCACCAGAGAACAATCTCCAATGCCAGACGAGAAGCAAGGCATCCCCCCCGACTCCGGGTCGGGTGGTAGTCCACTGAGCCAGCCGGCTCATACGCTTACTTTTGAAGCTGTGATCAGAGAACTCGGTACTGGGCTGGATGAGGGTCTTGCCCCTGATGAAGCGAGTCGTCGTCTGCAGCAATATGGTCCCAATAAACTGGATGAAGGCGAAGGCGTATCGGTGATCAAGATTTTGGTGCGCCAGGTGGCCAACGCAATGATGCTAGTAAGTACCCACTGTCTCGTGTTAATCCGCGAAACTCCTTCAAAGCTCTCCGAATCTAATACATTGTTTCTTGTAGGTATTGATTCTCGCAATGGCAGTCAGTTTCGGAATTCAGTCATGGATTGAGGGCGGAGTAATCTGCGCTGTCATTGTCTTGAATATCATCGTTGGATTCTTCCAGGAATACGCCGCGGAAAAAACAATGGAGTCGTTGCATTCACTGTCGTCCCCGACCGGCACGGTCTCGAGAGGTGGACAGACATTCTCGGTGCCGTCGGCAGACATCGTGCCAGGTGACATGGTCGAGCTTAGGACGGGTGATACCGTTCCAGCGGATATTCGGTGAGTTTCCTATCATGATCCAACCTGCGATTTCGAAGCCTTTGGGGCAGTTGTTGGAATTTACTGACACATATCAGCCTGGTTGAAGCAGTCAATTTTGAAACCGATGAGGCTCTCCTGACTGGCGAGTCTCTTCCCGTCCAGAAGGAATGCGACTTGACGTTCAAAGATGATACTGGCCCTGGAGATCGCCTTAATATTGCCTACAGCTCTAGTACCGTCACTCGTGGTCGTGGACGTGGTGTGGTTATCAGCACAGGCATGTACACTGAAATCGGATCGATTGCCCTCGCCTTGCGGGGCAGTGGTAACAAGCGTCGCCCGGTTAAGCGTGGTCCCAACGGTGAGACCAAGAAGCGTTGGTACGTCCAGGCCTGGAGTCTCACCTCGGCGGACGCCGTGGGTCGATTCCTCGGTGTTAATGTCGGAACGCCTTTGCAGAGGAAGCTCTCAAAGCTGGCCTGTTTACTATTTGGAATTGCCGTTATCTTTGCCATTATTTGTATGGCTGCAAATTCATTCAGTAGCAACACCGAAGTCATCATGTACGCCGTCGCAACTGGTATCAGTATGATTCCAGCGTGCCTAGTGGTCGTGCTTACCATCACTATGGCAGTGGGTACTAAACGCATGGTCGAACGCAACGTGATTGTTCGCAAATTGGACTCGCTGGAGGCGCTCGGTGCGGTCACTGATATCTGCTCCGATAAAACCGGTACATTAACTCAGGGCAAGATGGTTGTTCAAAAGGCATGGATTCCGTCTCGAGGAACGTACTCCGTTGGCCCATCCAACGAGCCTTTTAATCCTACCGTTGGAAATGTCACCTTCACTCCGGTACCTCCTTCGCAATTGAATCATGAGGAGGAGGGTGCCGCTACGGACAACATAGAAGGCCTGGTCTCGGGAAACCGCCAGCTTGAAGACTTTCTGGACGTCGCCTCAATGGCTAATCTCTCTCACGTGTACAAGTCCGAGGAGGGCGAATGGAACGCGCGCGGTGAACCCACAGAAATTGCCATTCATGTGTTTGCATCGAGGTTCAACTGGAACCGCGACCGCTGGACTAAGGGTCAGGGTACGGTCAAAGGCCAGGGTACCGTGTGGCACCAACAGGCTGAATTCCCATTCGACTCAACCGTGAAGAAAATGTCTGTGATTTTCAGCAAAATAACCCAACAAGAGACACGGACAATGGTGTTCACCAAGGGTGCTGTCGAGCGCATCATAGATTCATGCACCTCTGTCATCTGGGACCAAGATTCATCTACGCCCGTGCCAATGACCAACGACCACCGCGAAAAGATCCTCCAGAACATGGAGGAACTCGCCAAACTAGGACTCCGAGTCTTGGCTCTGGCCCATCGACCATACACTGCCAAAACACAATTGCTCGAAGACGCCGACCTGAATCGCGAAGATATAGAGAATGATCTGTGCTTCCTAGGACTGATCGGCTTGTATGATCCTCCACGTCCCGAGACGGCCGGCTCAATCCAGGCCTGCTACCGCGCTGGTATTGTTGTCCACATGGTGACTGGCGATCACCCTGGCACTGCCAAAGCCATTGCTCAGCAAGTAGGAATCCTTCCTATTAATTTCGATGCAGTGGCGGCTGATGTCGCGGACGCTATGGTCATGACTGCTGGGCAATTCGATAAACTCACCGATGAGCAGGTAGATTTGCTTCCGACTCTGCCTTTGGTCATTGCACGCTGTGCTCCGCAGACTAAGGTGCGTATGATTGACGCCCTTCATCGCCGTGGCCGCTTTGCAGCTATGACTGGAGACGGAGTGAATGATTCTCCTTCGCTTAAACATGCCGACGTTGGTATCGCTATGGGACAGGCAGGTTCGGACGTGGCGAAAGATGCATCAGATATCATCCTCACAGATGACAATTTTGCCTCGATTCTCAATGCCGTCGAAGAAGGCCGTCGTATCTTTGATAATATTCAAAAATTCGTGCTTCACCTGTTGTCAGAGAACATCGCTCAGGCCTGCACCCTACTTATCGGATTAGCTTTCAAAGACGCCGATAATCAATCCGTCTTCCCTCTCTCGCCGGTCGAAATTCTCTGGATTATTATGATTACATCAGGCATGCCCGACATGGGCCTCGGAATGGAGGTGGCTGCGTCTGACATCATGAAACGTCCCCCCCAGAGCAAGCAAGGCATTTTCACCTGGGAGGTGATCATCGACATTCTGGTGTATGGTATGTGGACCGCAGCACTCTGCCTAGCAGCATTCTCTATCCGCATGTGGGGATTTGGCGACGGCAATCTAGCCCGCGGCTGTAACCAGGCGTGGTCCAAAGATATCAAAGATTGCGAACTAGTCTTCAAAGCACGTGCGACGACGTTCGTGTGCTTGACCTGGTTTGCGCTGTTCCTGGCTTGGGAAATGGTCAATCTGCGCCGGTCGTTCTTCCGCATGCAACCGAAATCCAAGAAATACTTTACGCAGTGGATATACGACGTCTGGCGGAACAAGTTCCTTTTCTGGTCCATTATGGCCGGATGGATCACCATGTTCCCTATTCTCTATATCCCTGTCTTGAATGACGTCGTCTTCAAACATAAGCCTATCACCTGGGAATGGGGCATCGTGGCGGTCGAAGCTGTTCTGTTCTTCATTGGCGTCGAAGCCTGGAAATGGGCCAAGCGAGTTTTCTTCCGTCGTAGGGCCAGAAACCATCCGGCGCTGAGTACGTTAGGAGGTCAGGTGGACGCCCCGGAGCGCCCCTAACGAATGCTTTCCCTGGTCTGTCATCGAACGGGTCGGGGAACAATTCACTTGGAAACAAAGTCGCTAGAAGAATTGGAAGATGGGAATTGTGAGGATGTGGAAGAGGCACAGAGGAAGTACGGAGGAGGCGGGGAGTAGCAGAGAGTAGACATGGAGCAAGCATGGAGGGATGGGGGAAGCATGGAGGGATGGGGGAAGCACGGAGGGATGGGGGAAGCACGGAGGGATGGGGGAAGCACGGAGGGATGGGGGAAGCACGGAGGACTTGAAATGGATTGTGGAAGTTTGGGCTTATGCATTGGCTTATTGAGGATTGTGTTGCCCTGGGAGGCACTTTCTCACCGAAGGTATACATATAGCAAGAGCATATTCGGCAAGTCAATAATACATGTAGTTGATCGATCAAGTTCTATTGCTGGCCGACTACGGGGCGAGAGGTGAGAGGATGGGGCAAAAGAGTACAATCATTAGTAAAATGCTTTTCTTCTCTCGGTCTCGGATCTATTCTGTTTACCATGTTGGTTTTCAGAATATAGTGCATAGCACATCAATCTCTACTATTTTCGGCTTCCCTGAATATACCATCCCACTAACAACTTGGGTTCGTCCTTCACTAGAGATCGTCAACGTGTCTTGCCCCTCTAAGGCCCTATATGAACGGAAGAATGACTAGAGTGATATATGGAGTTGGTTATCCTCGCCTTGTGACTCGTGTTCGTGTCTAGTTGGTCGATCATTCCCTAGTACGCACTATGTTAGCGCTTAGGTGCTGCGCCTCGGCCCGGGTGCTGGGGGATAATCGCGAGGTTTTGCGCTCGCGCTCCAGGTTTCTTGCTAGGGCCCTCACTTATCTTGGATAGTATATCACTTTACGGAGTACGACTGCCATGGTTTCGACGCCGACGACCAGGAACCTACGATCCTTGGCCTGAAACCTCCCTTGACGAAGTGCGCCGACCGTGCAGCCAAAAATGTCGCTGAATTATTTGAGCCGCGATTCCTACCGGGTGGGATGGATTTGTCCGTTGGAGGTGGAACAGATTGCGGCAATGGAGATGCTAGACGAGGAGCACCAACCTCTTCCGCAACCAAGCGGGGACACAAACGTTTACAACCTCGGCAGCATCAATAACCATAACGTTGTCATCGCTGGTCTTCCTCAGGCGGGGAACTGTCTCGCCGCTACTGTCGTCACCCAAATGAGAATGACATTCCCAAACCTCAAATATGTCCTGCTGGTTGGGATTGGGGGTGGCGTGCCGATAAAGACCGAGTGTGGAATGATCCGTCTAGGGCATGTGGTCGTTAGTGACCCGACTGGTGTACACTCTGGAGCAGTACAGTACGATCACGGAAAGGCGAAGGGGGGTCACTTTGAGCGCAAAGGTTTCCTCGCACCCCCGCCAACAGCCCTTCTTAACGCTGCGCGAGAAGTGGCTGTCCGACGCCAACGGATGGGTTATGATCCAATTTGGAAGAATCTGGAGCGAATCCAAACCAGCAGTCGATCACTTCGTCGCTTTAAGTTCCCTGGAGCCGCGGATGACCATCTCTACCCTTCAGACTATACACATAAGCAGCAAGGGATATCATGTGAAGATGGTGGATGTGACCCGAGGCAGCGTATCAAGCGGCCAACGGATAAGGAAGATGACTCCTTTATTGTTATCCACCGAGGAACAATAGCATCGGGGGAGTTAGTGATAAAGGATGCTGGGTTAAGAGATGATCTGGCGCAGGCGCACGGGGTGCTATGCTTCGAAATGGAGGCAGCAGGAGCCCTGACCGATTTCCCTTGTATGGTGATTCGAGGTATCTCCGACTATTGCGACTCGCATAAGAACGACCAGTGGCATGGTTACGCTGCAGCGGTGGCAGCCGCTTATGCACGGCAGTTGTTTTTCCACATGGCCATTGAAGAGGTGCAACGGTAAATATGTCGCGGTCCTATTATGGAGAAGCCACGAATACATGTGTATATGTCATTAATGCATTACTTAGAAATCCGAATTCAACACCTACTACCTTTGAGCTCCCGCTTGATTTGTCCGAGATATCCGAAGTGACACGGTTCGTCGCACGGGAAGATTCGCTCAAGAGAATGCAAGAGATCCTCGACACAACTGTTGGACGCCGTACTGCTATCGTGCATGGGCTAGGTGGTATTGGCAAAACGCAGCTAGCCATCGCCTATATGAAACAAAATCGGTCTCATTATTCGGCGACAATATGGCTAAATGCAAGAGATGAAACAGCGTTAAAGCAAAGCTTTGCTCGCATGGCTGAGTGGATTGTACGCCACCACCCGTCTGCTACATACATTGCAGTTGCTTTGGGGGGCCGAGACCTAGATGAGACAGTGAAAGCGGTCAAACGATGGTTAGACGAGCCGACGAACGATCGCTGGTTGCTCGTCTATGATAACTATGATAATCCCTTATTAGGCAACCATACGGGGAAGGGCCTAAGCTCTGCTTCCTTTGTTGGGGCAGATACCAACGGCGATGACTACGAAGACCTTACAAAGGCCTTTAATCTTCAGAAGTTCCTCCCCGAGACCGATCATGGTGCCATTATTGTGACCACGCGGTCCTCTATGGTAAAGCTAGGCCAGAGACTGCACTTACGCAAGCTAGAGGATATCAATGATAGCCTCGACGTCCTGGCTTCTGTCTCTGGCCGTGAGGATCTAAGACAAGGTGAGTGTCGAACATATGGTCCGATGTCAAGTACTAATATCAAGCAGACCCCGCAGCCACTAATCTTGCAAGGCAGCTCGATGGACTTCCTCTCGCCCTCGCGACAGCGGGCGCATATTTAGAGCAGGTGTCAATAAGCTGCACTGAGTACCTTCAGCTGTACCGAGAATCATGGCAGCGATTACATGAAGATACGCCACAGCTGGGGGCATACGATCAAACGCTATACTCAGCTTGGAATCTCTCGTATCGATACATTCAGCAGCAGAGCCCAATTGCGGCAATGCTTCTCCGACAATGGGCCTATTTCGCTAATGAAGACCTATGGTACGAGCTGCTAGAAGATAGCGGCCTGGAGAAGCCAGAATGGCTGAGCGCACTGACAGAGAGCAAGCTCACATTTCATGCAAGCTTAAGACTTTTGTGCAGCCACGGGCTCGTTGAAGCTGATCCGACTACCACACTACAGCGTGTGGAGTCACAAGGGTATAGCGTACACGGCTGCGTTCATTCGTGGATGATTCATGTGCTAAATCAGGGGCTTGATAATAGCCTGGCCTGGATGGCAGTCAAATGTGTAGCGACGCATGTCCCTGGGGAAGACGAGCCCGCATTCTGGCTTATACAACGGCGGCTGATTGCACATGCAGATAGATGTCTGGAGATAATAAGAAATCTAAAAGTGGAAGATAAGGACGTGGGAGTTCTGCATTATTTAGGTCGGCTCTACGCGGATCAAGACCGGCTCCAAGAGGCAGAGGCGATGTACGAACGAGCATTAGAAGGCAAGGAGAAGGCGTGGGGACGAGAACACACGTCGACGCTTGATACCGTCAATAACCTCGGCGGCCTCTACGCGGATCAAGGCCGGCTCCAAGAGGCAGAGACGATGTACGAACGAGCATTAGAAGGCAAGGAGAAGGCGTGGGGACGAGAACACACGTCGACGCTTGATACCGTCAATAACCTCGGTAACCTCTACGCGAATCATGGCCGGCTCCAAGAGGCAGAGGCGATGTACGAACGAGCACTAGAAGGCTACGAGAAGGCGTGGGGACGAGAACACACATCGACGCTTGATACCGTCAATAACCTCGGCATCCTCTACGCGGATCAAGGCCGGCTCCAAGAGGCAGAGGCGATGTACGAACGAGCACTAGAAGGCTACGAGAAGGCGTGGGGACGAGAACACACGTCGACGCTTGATACCGTCCATAACCTCGGTAACCTCTACGTGAATCAAGGCCGGCTCCAAGAGGCAGAGGCGATGTACGAACGAGCATTAGAAGGCAAGGAGAAGGCGTGGGGACGAGAACATACGTCGACGCTTGATACCGTCCATAGCCTCGGCATCCTCTACGTGAATCAAGGCCGGCTCCAAGAGGCAGAGGCGATGTACGAACGAGCATTAGAAGGCAAGGAGAAGGCGTGGGGACGAGAACATACGTCGACGCTTGATACCGTCCATAGCCTCGGCATTCTCTACGCGGATCAAGGCCGGCTCCAAGAGGCAGAGGCGATGTACGAACGAGCATTAGAAGGCAAGGAGAAGGCGTGGGGACGAGAACATACGTCGACGCTCGATATCGTCAATAACCTCGGCATCCTCTACGCGAATCAAGGCCGGCTCCAAGAGGCAGAGACGATGTACGAACGAGCATTAGAAGGCAAGGAGAAGACGTGGGGACGAGAACATACGTCGACACTTGATACCGTCAATAACCTCGGCATCCTCTACGCGGATCAAGGCCGGCTCCAAGAGGCAGAGGCGATGTACGAACGAGCATTAGAAGGCAAGGAGAAGGCGTGGGGACGAGAACATACGTCGACGCTTGATACCGTCAATAACCTCGGCATCCTCTACGCGAATCAAGGCCGGCTCCAAGAGGCAGAGACGATGTACGAACGAGCATTAGAAGGCAAGGAGAAGGCGTGGGGACGAGAACACACGTCGACGCTTGATACCGTCAATAACCTCGGTAACCTCTACGCGAATCATGGCCGGCTCCAAGAGGCAGAGGCGATGTACGGGCGAGCATTAGAAGGCTACGAGAAGGCTTTTGGCGCGACCTCACCTTTCACATACACCCCTGCCTTGAGAATCTTTAGGAATTTTGGCCGTTCATGTGAGAAAAACGGGAAAGTCGACACCGCTCTGCTACATTATCAGCGGGGGCTGGTAGGCACTGAGGCTGTTTGGGGCCAGGATAGCGAACAGTATACCTGGTTTTCAAACAGAATAACCTCTCTGCAGCGTGACACGTCTGAGGTTTCTGACAGAGAAGAGTCAGTTCAAAAGAAAACAAAGAAGCAGGGGACAAGATGGAAGAAAGTGAGAGCGAAGCTCTCCGGTAAATACAAGTCTAATTAAGCCATGCAAAGGATCGAGGCATGTCTCCCATGTGGGTTTTAGTCTATCTCGTTATATACATACAGCCTTTCTTCGCCATGATGCAAAAGCGGAGTAGCATGTTGAAACGTACAGTATAGAAACTGGTACAAAGCATGAAAGATGAATTTGATACTCGAAGTATACCAAAGATAAATTGTAAACACTCTGTCTGACCTCTCAATGCTTGGCAAGAAGCCCATATTTATAGACTTCATACCCTTGTAGACACAAATGATAAAGCCCTCATATGTAAGATAGCAGTTTATGATAGAAACATGAATGGGATAGAGAAATAGAGGGAATAATGGATTCCGCCGGTGGAGGCAGTTTAAACGTAGTCCGAATTGAAATCGTTCCATACAACTTTGATGCAGGTCATATACAGGAATGGGTAACGAAGCTATCAAACTGCATCAAAGCCGCATCTCCATTCCGTAGGAGTTCAAGATCCCTTGCCATGCAAGAATATCTTAGCATAATGAATGAGCTTTAGCGTTGAAGCCATCCCAAGCACGTTAGTTGCTGCGAATTAAGTAGGATTCTCAACATTGCACAGCTAGGGATGCGTTTCTGGAACATATCATGCACTTCCATTGGCCGAAACAGCCATACTTTAAAGAGAATCTTCTCGAACATCTGGGTGTTCTGTAAAGTTACAGTGTTGCAGCGTGTGTATCCACAATTAGAAGAGTTATCCAGGTATAGGTGACGGTAGAGATTATCCACTATCTTGGCAGTTGATTATTGTATGAAAATCGGGAATACCTAGCCTTACATTATCTCATTTCCCAGAGTAATGAGTTCTAGACAGCGAAGCTGAATTACATAGCCATGTCTAACCTTAGAAGTCATAACTACCCGATGAATAAGAGTTTAATTTGACAAACTCTAGAAAACGCCATAGTGGCAACAGTAGGTCTAAGCCCAGGGCAAGGGAAAGGCCAAGGCCAATGTCACACATACACAACACACAAGCTGTGAGTACAATCAAATCAAATGCATGAGAAAGGGAATCAATCCTCGTCTTCGGTCTCTGTGTCGGTGTCGCTGGTATCGCCAGCGTCGCCATCGGTATCACTCTCGCTGGAGTCGTCGGAATCCTTATCCTTAGACTTCTTCTTGGGTGCTTGGCCTGTCTTGATCGCTTGCATTTGGCCGGCGATTGAGTCTGAAAAAAGTGTTAGTAAAAGAAACAAGTAGTTTAGTGAGTAGCGGAGATGGACTTACCCTCGTCTGGCTCGCTGATGTCGTCTTCCTCTTCCACAGCGGCTGCCTTGGCAGGATCGTCAATGTGCAGAGTAATTTGAGCCGTGTTGTCAAGACCCAGGTAGCTGTCACAGATCATGTGGAGGATAAAGGTGAAGTCGCCGACCTGCGGGGGAGCCTGGAACTGCATCTTGAGAGTTTGGACGTTGAAGGTGGGCTTGCCGGCCTCGTCGAAGATCGGCTTGTCAAATGTGGTAAAGGTAAACGGTGGCACGGCCATCTTGCCCTGCTTGCCGTCTGCAAGGAAGATGTTCCAGCGTGGGGAGTGGTCGCGCGCTAGGTACGGTGCGTGGGCAAGAGGCGGCTGGATGGTTTCGATCTTCGTCTCGACCTTCTTTCCGTCCTCCATCTTGGTGGCGCGGTTCTTGGCTGGCTTGCGACCCATCAGGGCTTCCAAGTCGTCCTCGTCGGGGTCGATGTCCTCCAGGTCGAGCGGGTTCACTGGCGGCACGGATGTGCTGCCTGGCGGGATGAAGCGGGCCTTGACTACCAGCTGTACCAGACTGCTGGGTGTGATCACCTTTTCTCCCATAACCTTGAAGAAGATCCGCTCGGGTTGGAGCACGGGGAGTTGCTTGGCAACAGACATAGCGTCTGTGTATTGCTTATCAGAGAGAAGACCAGCACCGACAGTAAGACTGCGTCGTCGAGCCTCTGGCAGTTCCATGTACCTTTGAACGGTGAGGTGCTCCTTGGAGTCTTCGCCCTCTACGGACTTGACAATGGCATCGGTGAAGTTGGGAAGTTGCAGCAGTGGGGATGAGCCCGGGGGCACAGCCTGAATGAGGTTCTGGGAAGTTTTGAAAGCACCAACGATCGGTCCAAGGTTACCAAATGCGAGTGAAATAGCTGTGAAAGCTTCAGTGAGAGCAAGGGCGACAGGAGCCGCTTCATATTTTTCTGCGGAAGTGCTGTTAGTGGTATGTTTCACAACATGGGGGATTTTTCTTACCAGCATCCAGAGAGGCATCGTCAAGATCAATGCGGCCAAGATAAGCCCACAGCAAAGCCAAAGCTTTCCGACGAGAGGAGCTATCCAACTGCTTCAGCGCCGCACGGTCCTTGGCCGTAAGGAACGAGTTATCATCTGCCAGCACCCGCTTCTCGAGTTTGGCCAGACCAGACTCGGCCCGAGCACCCTTGAGCATATCATTGAATTCCTCACCGGAGGACAAAGCGCTGATAATTCCACCTTCAGTAATATCATCCTTGTACTCGCGGAAAATGTTTCCAGCGCTGGCAACAAGGACACGCTCCTTTGTGTAGCGCTGAGATCCATACCACCACTTGCCGACGATATAAGGCAGCAGGACACCCAAAAGGGCACCATAGACCATTAAAACATACTTTCCATTACCGTCCATAACAATGAACTTGGGAAGGGCAATACCGATGCTGAAACTCTGCTTGCCATCGGGGTGGCCAAATTGGAGGTAGTTGTTTCGCACCTCCTCGTCAGTGAGAGCTTTATAAGCCTTGGTGAGTTCTACAAAGCGCTCGTTGAGCGTTTCCATAGTCTCATTCTTGGAGGGATCGGGGCGGATTTTATCAGGGTGGTAGATCAAAGACATGCGCTTGTAGTGTCTGGAGATGGCTTTCTCATCTGCGCTCTGTTTTTCGAGAAATTTAGTCAATTAAAATCCTCTGGGCGTAGTAAGCGAGAAACTAGATAACTTACCCTCGAGACACCCAAAATATCATAAGGGTCATATGCCTTAACCACCGACCTGGAGGTGACAGCAATTAAGTAGACCATCCATGCCATTACGGCATATCCAACGATGACCGTGATAATGCGCTTAATTCGGCGCTCTTTGCGCAGGCGCTTGCGCTTCTGCGCGTCGATAAGGTCCGCATCTTTAGGTTTGAAGTCGGATTTGATGCGGGGAGCGGTATTCTCAAGCTCTGTACATCACATAAAGTGGTTAGAACCTATGAAACACATCTGGTATAGACTTGCCAAAGCTCACCTTTGCTAGGTCGGAGGAGGTTATAGGTGAGAGGGAGAGTGACCAGACCGGTCAAGGTGAGGATGAAGAAGGGGAAGAATTGGCCCTGGAAGCCAAAGTTAGCATTACTGTGTCTTTAGCTGATCAAGCCCCATCCCTACCTGCTCATCATAGGTGTAGTCTGACGACATCCTGCGGCGGGTTCAGGGTACAGACAGCGGTGGCCGCTTGCCGCGGAATTTAAAGATCGTGTTGCACAGGGCTGTTAACAGTAGCCACTTTGGACGGTCGAGAGAACGCGTTTGGATTATCGAAATAAAATAAGAGCCGAATTAGAGCCCAAAAGCCTGGCCCACAAGAAACAAAGGAGTGATGAAAGGAGAATCAATATCGCACTTCCTGATCTGGTGATGACCGTGTCCTCAAGCAGTGACCACTTACCGCCTGCCTTAAGTGGGACTCAATACGTGGCAGTTTCTCTTGAGTCAGGCGGTGTGTCACGGAAAGCATCTGATGTCTACGGAGCATACAAAGCACATTATACAAGTTATTCTATCTGTTGTATCTTTTTACATGTATCTTTTATAATGTATTTTTTATCATGTCCGAAATTTGTTCATAAATTTTTTGTAGAATGCGCTCAAGGCTGCATATATACTGATTAAATACACTCTTAATGAGCTACAGTCGTCATATCCAATCGAATCCACATGCTGCAGCCTTATCCATTTTCCTTTCAGTTTAGGAGTAAAGACAGAACAGATCCATCGCACACAATTCTCCCCTCATAACAAAGATAACCAAGACCTCTCCCAGTCTGCCCGGAGAAGGAGTTCAAGCATCAACGACTCGAGGTCGGACGCAAACTCAACTAATCAAGACAAATGGATAGAAAGTATCAGTCAGAAAAAGCCTATGGCTCATTTCTCATGTGTGTGATAGTATCAGTGGGCCGGGATTCACACGGCCGGGTCAAGAGGGACCAATCCGATACCTGAGAGGCATCTTCATTGCTACAAGTCGGGGACCCGGGGTAATCCATGTGATCAGGCGTTCTTGCCACTTTGGTGTGGTGTGGGCGCATTTGCAGTGGGTGACATAAACGCAGGGCGTCACGTTGTCGGTTCATTTTCGATGGCGTTTTTGTTTTGTTTTATTGGTCGAATGCGGATTCATAAACGTCGCAGATTCGTAAAATCGTTTTGGTGTTTTGTCTTTTTTTGTTGACTGGGTAAAAAGAAAAGGGTGGCGAAACAATCCGGTTGAATCTCCAGGCGTAATCTTCAGACATTCAATCTCCAAGGGCATGGCCACTCGTTCTGAGAGGGATGTCAGGATTGATGTTTTCCAGGTGAATCGGAATCGAGTGATACTCACGAGTCGATGTAGTCGAGTCCGCCGAAGTACTCAAGCATGCGGTAACAAAGGCTCACATCGTCGCCGGGCTCTCCGCCGAATAGACGACACTGCGCTTCTTCCATTCCACCTGATTCCAGCCGCAAGGGGCGTTCACGGGTCTGCCAGGCTGTATTCCCATAGTGCCATGATGGGGCGAGGGTGGCGGCCGGAGATTCGCGTAAAATGCATGCGTCAGGAGAGTTGTCGGCAGACACAATATTGCAAAAGCTATTCTGAGGGGTTCGAATAGTTGTTGGATGTTGAGCGAGACCGGTTATAGAGCGATTTGAACGACGAGTGCGGCGTCTGTTATGCCTCTGGCCCATTCTCGGTCGAAGGATTCAAAGGGGGGCAACAACTTTTAATATAGAGGGGAGAGACCATCACCTCCTGGAAAGGATGAGATGAGGTGAGGGAAGAAACCGGAATGGCGTAGAGGTTTCCTTTATACAGTAAGTGAGTCACTTAAAGGAGAAAATTCCAAGGATCCACTTTCCAGGTGGGACCATGCCGAGAGATCACCTTATGGCTTAAAAAAATGGCGCCAGCTCCCACAAGGTCCTACGCTAATTCTTATTGGATCAATTCTTGGAAAGGCGTGCTATATCCCGTCAAATGACAGCTTTACGATCGCGTCATTCGACGACCCTCAGAATGAGTAATAATTTGACTCTAGTACTATATTTTTTAGATGAGATGATTCATAGCCATATAGAATATTGCAATTGAAACAAGGAAAAAAATGAAACAAGAAAAAAAAATTGAAACGTCAAATGACGACAGGCTCCATAATGCTGTGTTAGGAAATTCCAAGGCCTAAAATGCCGGATTTCCTAATAGTGCCGTGCGGACCGAATGGCGATCACATCAGGCAACAAAGAGCCCGATTTTACCCTAAACTACCCTCGGACTACCTACGGACCCTAAAATACCCTATAAAACCACCCTAAATCTTCGACTCATGCAGGGTCCCGGAGCCTTCGTCAGGTCTCCGGTCCATTAGGCAATTTAGGTAGCAAGGGATATTCGAATTTTTGCACCTTGCATAGAACACGTGTGCAACGTGGTGGAAATTTCAGATGCCTAGCCCAGGCAATAAAGAACTTTGAGTCATTATTTTTTTTTCCCCGCGGGTAGTCGGGAAACTGAAAGAATTTTTGACTATTGACTCAGAGTTAAATAATTAAGTGCCTGATCTGTGAGGACCCTAAATATAGCCTGAAACTCCTTTTGACACGAGACAAACAGAACAAACACTAAACAAATGCAAACATCTTGATTTCTAGACTCTCCCTTGCAGCAGAGGCACTATATTCCGGGTCAACAAATGCAGTATGCGGTACTGTGAAGCCTCCCTTGTCCATTTTGGAGCTATCAAATTGCGTGAAGAGGAGAGGCTCATTGGGTTGTTGACCGTTGAGATAACACCATCTCTGACTCGGACTAAACGCATACCGACCGAGTTCATTCCACCCACTTGACAGCTTTAAACGAGTGGGAACACCCTCATCTTGGATATTAACGGAACTCCAATCACAAACCGTGAGAGGATCTCGCTGAATAGTCTGTAACGGCCGCCAGACATTGATAATCAAGACCCGGCCAGCGAGGAGTCGGTTGCGCTCCTGCTCGTCCGGAACAACCGTCTTCAGGTAGTGGAGTGCACCTGTTGGCGTGAAATCCGAGTGCACGTTGTGCGCGGGGGCGCAATTGTTAGCGAGCAAGGATGTGTCTGCGACGAGACATCGTACCCGATGTACAAATGTCACGGTCTGAGTAGCCCCGGTTCTGTGGAAACGTTCAGCTGCTCCAATCACCAGACATGCATGTTTATTCTAGGAGTGCTACTGACATTTTGCGAACTAACTCTTCGGTCTGGGGGATGATGGTTTTCTTGGTATGCTCTTTGTCCGAAACCTTGTCGAGATCGGGCATTTCGTGCGACAGATACACGAATCCGTTCTTGTCAAGTGTGTAGGATGATTCCTGTCCTCGGATATCTTCTATTTGCACCCGGTGCGTTTCATGTGACATGATATTATCCTCTGGTTTATCGTTGGCAAAGTCGACATCTGGGCGTCTCCAGAAGTGGAGGTCTGTATCAATGTGCTTCGCTATATATTCGGTGTGATCTCCCATGTTGGATATTGCATATCGATGTCGACAGCGATTGATATATTTGTTCGAAGAGAACAATCCTCGGGTCCACAGTTGGGAGGCAGGCTTATAAGTACCTGCGTTGTGGAGAGAGCCAAGCCGCCAATGAAGCCACTCGAGTGATTTTAGATCTGATTAATGTGCATAAACCGAGGTTACATGGAAATTGACGATGTGTACTATGTATAGGGGTTGAGAGGGGCGTTATGTTCGCTTCCAGTTTAATCGGCGCTCAATAGAGGCATGTATACGAATACGAGCCCGAGGGGGAGATCAGGATTTTTGACTGCGCAACTCCGGGGTTCATCTCTGCACAACACTCCTTCTGATGGTAATGTAGTTCGTATTTCGTTATTTGCTACTCTATCTAGGGCTTGCATGTCTCGACTCAATATATATAAAGTCATTGATGCTGGAATAAGAATAGCATCAAACTATATATAAACAGCTAGTTATGGAAACCTCGGGCTTGTACTAGAAACCCATCGATAAGTAGTGCTATAACCTGATGTATATTCACCCTAACTAAGGAGCCCTAAATGACAGGAAGAACAAGAAAGCAGTATATAGAGTCATGCAACTTGAATGAATTAATTGGAGTAGGTTGACTCATCCCATCACTCGGCCTTGATCTACAAGCCTTGCTCTTTCCCAAAGTCAAATTGTTGCGGCTCTGGCTTGGGCAGAACTATACTCCTTCATCGATCTTGCTTCCCTTCTCCTTTTCCCCAATCATCCATCTTTCTTTACATATCTACCAGTTTGGCTCAATTCATCCAGCCATGACGGTTTCCCTCCCCTTTCTTCTCCATCACCAGAAACACATATTAACCCGTCCTAGTATCTATCTCTAGCCCGCAAGAGTGATCATCCTCCCCGCAAACGAGAATACCGGCCAGGGAGCGGCGCCTGAATTCTCAAAGGCCACAGAGGAGCGTGTTGGCAATGAGACACTCCCATGATGCACGGTGCAGAGTGTAAGAGGGTTTCCTAGTGGTCTATGGAGCTGCTCCCCTACCCATTCTGTCATTATTGGATGGAAAACAGCAAATGGATACCGAGCAGGCGCGATAGTCACCTGCTTAGGAAAGAATTATGACATCTCGCCAACTATCTTGATATAACCAAGGACAGCTACGAGGGCATCAACATATGACTTGGTCCTATGTCTCGTCTCCAACTTCATCAATCTGCCATCAATTGAACACAAAGCACCACCGGATGTCTTTGAACCAGATATCTTAACCCAATGCCCTTATCGAAAAAGGCTGCTTAAATTGATATATGTTCCTAAAACCGAAGGGCAATGGCAAGAAGAATAAAGACAAGGACGTGTTCCTCAAAAGAGTGACGGACTTGAAGGATCTGATTACTCGTTTACCGAATTCCTACATGCTTGCTAATCGACTTAGAAGAGGGAAATTCCAACTTTACAGCCTTGGAACATCTGGGTGTTTTCTTTTGCTTTTAGGAATCCATATCATACATACGCATGTACACATGTTGTATGATTCTTCTTCTACCATATTATGGCAATCTTTTGTCTATGTATGTACGATGCGAGGATCTTAGACCCCAAATAAGGACTTGGAAAAGCGCAATAGCTGAAACCAAAGGGACCAGTCTCCCTTGGAAAAAGGACAAGAAATCGGTAGTAGCAAGTATCGGTAGCAAGGTTCCACGACTATCACTGACTAGGTTCTCCAGCCAGTCATAAGTAGAGTCAAATACAAGAGCAATGCATTAAATGATGTATAACGGCGTTAATGATGAAAGACCGGCAGGGGCAATGAGTAAAGAGAAGACAAATCAAAGAACCAGGCCGTAGACACAGCCCGAAAGAGAAGGAGAAAAAAGGTAAATGAAAAGGAAGAAAAGCGAAAGGAAGAATAAGAGAGAACAAATGGCAAGAAAAAAAGAAAAACACAACCCGCGTGTGTACTGTACAGGGTCCCAGGATCGGATCCGGACTATGCCTGGCCACCAAAAGCCATCATTCCTGTCCAAGGCACGTATGAACATGATCTAACTACCAGATCAACCACTCCCCTAGGGAGGAAGGGACAGCTTCTAGCGCTGTCTACTTGAGCATCCCTCAAAACGCAGACCGTAGCTCCAAAGATATGCATGACAAGTAGGAAGGAAATCGGATTTATCGGCTAGCTACCATGTAGCTTTCACGCCGTACTTCCAGCCATTTACTTCTTGCGGTTGGACCGGCGCGCAGCGAGATCGCCCTCAGCGAGCCACTTGCTGGCGTTCACCATCTGGACGATGTTGACGAACTGCTTGAAGGCCATGATGGGGAACGAGATGCCGGTGATGATCCAGGGCCAGGTGCTCTCAAGCTTGTTCGCACGCGCCATTTCAAGGGCACCGGCGCTCCAGGGGCTGGCGAAGAGGCTGGCTGGCTCGGGGTGGGCGGGGTTTCCGGGCTGAGCGGAGGATAGCTGGGAGTCGGAGACAGGCTGCAGGAGGGAGGGAGATAGGGTCGGCGAGGAGAAAGACAGGAGATACAGGCCGATGAAGAAGGCTTCGTTGGCGGTGCAGCAAATAAACAGAACGAGCTAATAAATTATTTCGGATAAGCTTGGAAAATGCAAAATCAGTTCACTGTGGAGGGGTCTTACCTTGCTGGTGTAGTACTGGTACATAATCCAGCTACGGTTGGGATCGACCTTCTTATGGCTCTGGCCGGATCCGCCCATACTCAGAGTAGCGTACATGTGCATGTAGTGACTGGCCAGGTCCAAGCTGATGAGACCTTGGAAGATGATGGCCCACCGGGGCCAGGCGGAGCTCAGGAAGACTAGGAGACACGCGGTGGTGCATCGGTCGGTCACCATGTCCAGCACTGCACCGAAGGTGGTGGATTGGTGGAAGTGTCGTGCTGCATAACCATCCAGGCCGTCCAGCAGACAGGACACCGTGTAGAGGAAGGAGCAGGTCCGGGGGTGGAGAGGCATGTAGTATAGGGAGGCGAAGGTCAAAAAGACCCGGGAATATCCTGTAAACGTGTTAGATGTTAGAACTATATGGCAACTTGAAGCTTCAAGCCACATCAGCGGGGCATCCTACCGATAAGATTCGGAATGAAAAGGAAGATATTTTCCTTCTCTTCCTTGCTTTCTTCCCGTGCGGCGGATCTGGCTCTCTTCTTGGAGGAGGCGCGCTTTGAAGGTGTCGATACGGAGCCATTACCAGGTGAATCTTCGCTCTCCTCAGCGGCGAGGGAAGCCTTTTGTCGTCGTGTTCTTGCGCTCATTGTGAAAGGGATGTGCCTGGCGAAGTGTTTTCGTATAGGGAGGGAGGTGTGGATAGCGAACGGTCTAGGAGCTGTCAGCTTTGGACGGGTTGTACGGATGCAGCAGAGATCTCGGGAGAGAAAACACACCGTGTCAGCGAGATAAGAATAAAGGAATTCCCTCGGGGATAAGGATAGGAGATGTTTAGGGAACAAGGAGAAATTTCAACGATAAGAGATAAGCACGTTTCGTTCACACCTGGACCCCTTCAAAGAAACGAAGGAAAAAAAGAAATGTATAAAAAGAAGGGGATGAAAGGAAGAAAGAGAAATTGTGGAATGCGGATTACGCGGAACCTTGGAAGACTCCAGTGAGCTTTCCCCACGCGGTCCACCTGGAGATGTGACATTTGAAACATTATGGTCTTGGGACTTGCAACATGTCAAAATTATTTGCTGCTAGCTTTTAAAGATTATATATATTTAGTGTGAGCTATAATCCCAGGTTAGACATTTGAAGCTTGTATAATCTTGTATTGCGTCGCTTTCTTATAGACCACCATGGATTATATACAACCAGTTTAGAGGTTGAAAAAAATATGTACAGAACGTAACTCCCAAATATACAAAGAGACCCATTCACGTCCGTGACCTGCGCGGATCAGTGGCATCCTGTCGACGCCACTCGCGAGACTCCTTAGTACCCATACTACCAACGCCGCCCTCTTGACGACGCTCCCAACCACCAAGGCGAATGACAAGACAAGTGGCATTGTCACCTTCCCTGCTCACCTCGGTCGAGAAATTGACCACATCATGCGCCCCCTGTTCCGGCGTCTTGGATTCCTTAATGATATCAACGACTTCCTGGTCAAGCAGTGTCCCGCTGATACCATCGGATACCATAACTAAGAATGAGTACTCGGCCGGGCCGATCTCTATACGGTTGAGTTCGGGCTCGGCAGAGACTCCAATGCGCTTGGACTGGACGTCGCCGAAAGAGCGCGTGTTGGCTAGCCCGCTCATGCGTTCTTCGCCAAAGGAGTCTGTTACAAAGGTTGTGGCATACCGTCGGAGTCGGGTTGCCTCGATCGGGGAGGAGGGGTGGTGGTTTGATGTGATGGGAATGGCTTCTCCAGTTTCTGTTGAGCAGAGGATTATGCGCGTGTCGCCGACATGGGCAACTAGGAGGCTTGATGAGGCGATGGGGTGCCAGAAGGGGGTTGGCGTCGGGGTCGAGATCATAGCGACACTTCCGGTGCTGCCGCCCTTGAACCGGGCGCTTCCACCGATCTGGGGAGATCGGGTCATACTAGGTCGGTAGAAGATTTCATCGTCGTTCAGAGGTCTCTCGGCTTGGACTAGATCGTCGTCTCGCTTGGCTGCTTGAGCATTGACAAAGTCTAGATCCGCACGCAAGAAGGCGTACTCCACGACTTCCTCTATGGAGATGTGATTTTCAATACTTGGATCGGTGGACTCGGTACCATTGTAGGCGAAATGCGGCGGCCTGAATCGCTTGAAGTAGCCACCAACTACCCGTCTCCAGGTCTGCACAAGGTATTTCTCTAGGTCTCCGATTCTGCGTCGGTCGCCCTCTTGCATCACAGGTAGTTCGCTAGTGGCGGGTGGCACTTCAGCACCAGGTTGTAGGCTTGACCGTAGTTCGATATCAAATGCCACATTCTGGATATATTCGTGTAGATAGTCCCTCAAGAATGAACTACACTCGGATCCGCCATGGCCATCAAAGACACCGAAATAGAAGACTTGTGGGTCTCCACTAGCTGTTTCGGCACCGCGCGACTCCCGGGGGTGGGCTAAAGGGTCTTGTTTGTTGGATCGTCTAATCGTTAGCGAAGTTGGAGGTCGCTTCGCAAAGGCGGGGATATCAATGACGCCGGCTTGGTACGTGTCTTCATTTGACCGGCGGGTTCCGCGGGAAGTGACGGCGCCGAAATGGTGCTTCGCGTTACGGAGTGGAATCCGGACGACTGTTGTCTCACGATTTGTTAAAGCTTGGAAGGCAGCTGGCGAGTGTGGAGTATCTCCGGTGTGAGGTATAGAGGCGGAGCGAGGTAGCTTGTGAAATGACGAGGACGGACCACGGGGGTCCGGGTGAAGCGAGGACGACGGCAGGTGGGTGACAAAGTAATCGCGAAACTGTGGCTGCTTCCTAACTGTCGACTGGCCAGGCGGCACAGACTCGGTACTGTAGCATCGCGCTCGACGAGGGAGAGCGAAGCCTGGGTTGTATTAGATCAAGGATATTCGTAGATAAGCAGGTAGCTTGTACGTACTGTAACAGTCGGCCGAGGTCCAAACCCGGCCTGTTACTCGCCTCGCTGAAAGGAGAGTCATTGGCCCATCGAAGTACAGTCAAGTAGCAGGGAAGAATTGAGAGTTGAAAGGACTGTGGGGAGAACACATCTGGCCCGAGCGTCGGTAGATAAGAAGATTCGGACCGGCACATTCGTTCCGTCGGATAGCTCTTTTAGTGCATTAAAGGGAACATATGTATTTACCGATTGAAACTATATACACAGGTTACGATTCTTGACTAAAGTAGTCTTTACACAATTCCTGTTTGAAGATCTACGGAACTGTGAAAGAGTGAATGAAAAACATCTATACAAGAAGTGAAATGTCTTTCTTCTTTGAGCTCCACTTATGATTACACGTACTACAAGCAGGGCAAAATCTTCAATATTTGACGTAACTCCATTGACAACCTTGAAACTAAACAAACAGGGCAACAAGATGCTAAATCACGCTGCTAAAAACGATCATATCGGTAGCAAGGTCCACTTCTACTCACAGAAGTGGAAGAAGAGACAAATGGCACACGGGAGTGGCCGAGCAAGAAAAAAAACAAACGCTGAAAGAGTGGCACCTACCGGGTAGCAGAGCCGTCCACAAGTCCAAGAAAGACGTCAGGGGGGGATCTGCCTTCGAATAATGTGCCATGTTAGATATCGAATATCAAAAGTTGAATGTACTCGGGGATGAGCATCTAGATAGCCTTAGTCCGGGAGAAAAGACTGCTGTAGACGGCGTCCACGACGGGTTGGGCGGTGATCTGTCTTCCGCCAAAGTATCGGCCATTGAGGCCCTTGATGGCATTCTCACCACCTTGAACGCGGTCGAACTTCAAGTAGATATCTCCCTGGGAACTGACATCTAGTGAAATGTGAACAACGTGGCCGTATTTCTCCTCACACTCCGAACGAACGTCCTCCTCGAGTTCCTTGATCCAGGATTCACCGGTCTCTCTGTAAATGGGTTAGCGTTCATTCTCTCATGATGAAGTCAAGGAAACTTACTCGGCGGGGTCAAACATGTTACGAAGCAAAACACAACGACTAGCCATGTTGACATTGATGGGGAGTGGCTTAGTCTCGGTCTTGGGTCGGAGGAACTTCTGACGGTCGTCGACAGAAGGCTGGGGGTCATCTGTTCTTGCAAGCTTGCGCATCAATGCATCCCTAGAGTAGTTGTTGAAGTTTACACCAGCAACATCTGTGTCGTCGAGTGCACTGGCACCGGCACCTTTCTCGGATTCCCTGCCGCCAGCACGGTCAAAGTTGTTGGAGCCTCCGGCTTGAACGCCACGACCTCCCTGGCCGGAGAATGAGGATCCCTGGAAGTTTGATTGGTTTGTAGACGAAGCACCTGAGGGACGATTGGCGTGCGAGTCGGGGGTGAACTTATCATTGCCGAGACCAACCCGAATAGCTCGTCCAGCAAGTTCGAAGCCGTTCATCTTTTCCAAAGCGTCTCGAGCTTGTTCGGGGTTGGCGAATCTGGTTAAAGTCAGTTAGTGGAAATGCCAAGAACTTGGAGGGACGGAGGGACAACGTACTGAACGAAGGCATAACCTTTGCTTCTGCCGGTTTCATCCTTTTGCAACTGAACAAATTCGAGCTCGCCGAATGGTTCGAAGACATTGGTGAGATCGTCTTCAGTAATGCTGAAATGGACGTTACCAACATAGAGTCTGTGAAATGGTGCGGTGTGCTGATTGCCTGCAGTAGCCTCGGGGTTGCGAGCTTGGCGGTTCTTCTCCGCTTCAGTCAGTTGCGCAATGATGGGAATTCCTAAGAGCATTTGGCCGGTGAGTCGGATAGCGGCGGTGACAGACTCCTCGTTTTTAAACTCGACGTAACCGACACTATACATATGTTAGCAAGTACTTGTACGGAGCGATCATGTGAAAACATACCCTTTGGAGCGTCCGCTGACACGATCCTTGACGATTTGAGCATCTTTAACGGGGCCGGCCTTTTCAAAGAAGTTAAACAGATCTTTGATTCTCAGACGAGCGGCAAGCTGCTGCACAAAGATAGTACGCCTGTCACGTTCATCCTCATTAAGTTCGGGAGACTTGCGGCTAGAAGATCCACGACGAGCATCATTGTCACCGCGGGGGCGTCTTTCTTCCTCACGCTGGCGGCGATTGGGCCGGTAGTGGCGATCATCATAGGGAGAACGGGAACGGGAACGAGCGCGACCTCCACCACGATAGAAGTCGCCGCTGGAGCGGTAGTCGTCACGGTCACGGCGAGGGCGGCGCCGCTCAGATTCGCGACTCTTGCTCCTCTTTCGGCTTCTAAGGCTTCCGTTAGCACTAACAGTGTCGCTCTTCATGACTTCATCGCCTTCCAGGTCTCGATCGGGGCGGCGATCACGGCTGTGGTCGCGGCGACGGCGTCTGTCGCGGGAACGATCACGGCGCTCGCTGGTGCCGGCGCGAGACTGGTCGTCACGGCCTTCCGAAGTGGTTGGGGCCTCGGCGGGGGCGGCCACAGTGGACTCAAGGAGAGCCTCTACATCAAGTCCAGACATTTTTGGAGGTAGCCTGTCGTTGATCGGGGTAGGGATATTGTCACTTTGTAGGGGTCAGATGGCGAAAGGAGACGCAGAGTTGGCTTTCGAACCCTTATGATGGGATGGATCAGCGAAATGTTCCGTTGGTTTTCGGGACCTTTACGCGCGTTACGCTTCTTTCTTGCAAAGCCACGAACGCGGCAAATTCTCGAGGGAGTTGTTGAGACACTTGAATGTTGGTATATTATTTAAATAGTTTGGTTGATCGCAAAGCTCAAGAGGCTCGAGGCGGTGAGCATCGGATGAGATTTTCTTCGCCTTGAATCCAAGGCATAAATAATTGGCCTGAGGCAAACTCCCTGTACGCCAACTGGCAACCTTAATTAGTACATCTACAACTAGTTAACTACTTAGCCTGAAATTTTTTACGGTTAGATTGACATATAATAAATAGACCCCCAGAAGAGTCTATCCATTATTCTCTCTGCACTTCCCTCTGACTGTCTGATGCTCTAGAGGGTTGCCGTTTCTTTTGGGATCATCTGCACCCTTCAATGGCAACAAATGGCCGCTTGTATTTATGCCTACGTAAATGCTTGTATTTATGCCTACGTAAAGTTCACCCAAGCAACTGGAGAGCAACTGCATCTAGCAGGCATAGGATACCATGGAGATAAAGATATTATTTTCTTGCATTATGATTAACGTTCATATACACTGATAAGTGATGTGTGTAAAAAAAGGTATCAACTCCGCCTCGCATCTAGCACCATCACAATGACATGACGAAGGTATTGATTGTACAAGAAGTGGACCCTTAAGACCAACCAGAAACTCCAGTAGCCAATGTACTTGAAGAGTACCAGAGAGTAGTGACTTGATCGTGGTCGGCGTTAAATCGTGACTTGAGGACTAGTGACAGTCCCATATTAAGCCTGGGTTGGGCTCACTGAGCCTTGGTGCCCTTCGGGGCTGGGGACACCAACTCAGTGCCGAAGACCCGATCCCAGAATCGACTGGTCACGCCAAAGCCATTCTCGAAATCGGCGAAATGGTGCGCGAGGTGGTACTTCTTGAGCTCCTTGTAGTACGAAGGGAGACTGGATTGATATTAGTGTGGATTCATTGCATCGGAGTCAAGAGTTCAACTTACTTGCGGTGGTGCAGGAAGTAATGGGTGAGATCATAGCAAATATAGCCGAAAACGCCGCCACAGAATACCGACGTTGCCGCGTACCAGTTGTAATAGAAGACAGCGTGTGCCAGCTTCCAGAAAGGAGCAGCTAGGACCACAAACAGTGTCGGTGGCATAACTAGACGATACTTGTCCATCGGGAGATAGTGGTGGATACCGTGGAGCAGGAAGTGCAGGGTCAGACCGACACGGTTGTCCGGAAGGTAGTGGTCAATGTGGAAGAGGAATCGGTGCATCAAATACTCAATCAGAGTCCAGAGGAACAAGCCACCAAGGAAATAGGAGCCAGCCACAATGGAGCTCCCCAGCCCGGCAGCTCCGACCGTAATTCCGTAGCCAACCAGTGGCAACCAAATCATTGGCACGACGTACCACGCCGTTTTGCTGAGAGGCTCGAGGAAGTTGCCGAACAGAGGAGCGGATTCTCCTCCCCGGTAGTGACGAGGCCGATGAATCTGCTCCAAGTAGAACTCCTTGGAGAAGCCGCTGAAGAACAGCTGCATCAGAAGCGGCTTGTTCAAGTCTAGGAACTTGTGGGTCTTGTAGTCCTGAGTATAGTCGGTGTCTATCGACAGATCCTCCGCCCGTGACATTCCGGTTGTTGTGTAAATGGGGCCAGACTCGGTTTCAGTCACGGTTTCGACGATGGTTGTCGTTGTCGTAGTTTTGGCAGACGTTGGAACCTCGGAGACAAAACCAATGTGGTACTCGTCCAAGATTTCATAGGCAGCATCGCTGTGTTCATGGGAGATCTCATCCTTCAGGATCTCTTTCACATCCTGACCGGCATACTCCAAGATGAGATCACCGCCACCGGGGTGGGCGTCGATGAAATCGGTGATATCGTAAACGTTAGCCCCCAAAGTGATGTAGCATGACTTGGCGGTATTGTGAGATTGGACTTCAGCTGAGGTAAACGTCGGCATTACTCTCCCAGGCATATTGGCAGAGATGTAAATAGGGAAAAATAGGAAGAGTAGAGAAAAAACCGGCGAGGCGGCAATAATAAGAATTAAGGGGAGGCGTGGCGTGACAAAAAAAGGAACCAGGGATCCGCCCGCTCCGGAGCCTTGGAAATTTTCGAATCGTCGACTTACAATTGGATCATACCACTTTAAAAGATCCACCTCGGACTTGGGATAGCCTACTTGCTACATAATTCCCTATTCAAGTGGAAAATGCAAGATAGTTATGTACTTATGCACATTCTAGGTAACTCCATATTCTACTTTTCATCGGTGGGGCTTCTCTAAGCCGCATTGAGGCGCTGACCTCGGTCCCGGCTTAGCTAGCTAAGCCGTTATGGTCCATTCTAATCTGTTCTGTAGTAATCTACCAGTGTCCTGTTTAGCTTGCTTTTCGGTGTTTCTATACCAAGAGCGAGTAATATCGGTTACAAACAGCAGTTGTGTATTGCGAGATGGAAAAGAAGATTAGAAGATACGAAGCCAGAATCATCAGAATGCACAGAATTGTTTTAAAGTTTGTCAAATTAACTTTTGTTATGTAACAAAGGATAGCAAAATGCAATCAAAGCCCAGACAGACCTAAAACCGAAGTATTCTGATCTATCATATTTTCGACGCAGACAGCAATAGTAAGCGAAATTGATTGAATAGTAGTCACATTCAACCTTGTGCTTTCCTATACTCAGAAGCTTGTAAGATGAGCGAGGGATCTTGGATGCTCATCTAAAAAAGATAAAGGATTGTTGAAGAGTGTACACTTAGGTAAGGATATGGTGCTTGTGCCGAAGCAGAAGTTTAGCATGGATGAGATATAACTAGAATGTGATCTTTAGCTCTCCAATGATAGAAAGCACCCATTACTAAGAAGCTATCTGGTATAGCTTTATAGGGGCTAATCAACAGACCATCAGAGCGCCGTTAGCGCTCTTATCAAGAGGCAAGGAAAGGGGAAGAGATCGCCGACAAACACTGCGTGAGTCCATACAGGTGTGAAAAACATTACTTGATAACAGGGACAAAAATCAATGCCATTAGAGTAGTCAAAATCATACCATGAGGTGATAAAGGTCATGCAGGTAGATCAGCAGCGTACCTTACAATGGCTATCAAGTACCAGTCACCGATGGATGTAGCAGGTTCATACTCCGTATGTACGTGATAGTCTAATAGGTAACATGCAATCTATCCGAACAAGAATAAAGATCATCGACTGTTGTAGTCCCGAGGTCAGATATAGGGTCTGCACACACAGGCTATACCCAAATAGGCTAGACTTGTGTTAAACTGTTAAGCAGCCGAATAGCCTAAGCTAGCTCCTTCGACGGGTTTCTGAACAATCCTCCCTAATTTTGGGGGCCCATTTATCAGACTTGTTTCTCGTTTGCCACCCGGTCGATCGGTTTAATATAAATACGAAAACCCGCAGTTAGACCCCATATTGGCTCCATTTATGGAGACGCGCCCCATAAGTACATCTGACAGGAACAGCAAGTCGGGGTGGAAACGAAACCCGAAATTGTCCAGAAAAGACCTGTTAATGCCAAAGGCCACCCTAGCATATACACAAAGTACATGGCAAAATATATTCCTTCGTACTTTTCATAGCACAATCTCTCTGTACGCGCCCGGCTCTCGGCCTATATATCCACTGAGAGATTAGTGTTATCCTACGAGGGACGCGGGGCTATTGCCGGAAAGATTCCCTACGATATTATGGGTTATTTATCGGCATCTGCATGGTCAATTTCAATTTGAAGCAGGGATTAAACACACTAGTCAGAGTGGAGAATTCAGCCCCTCTTCCCAAATTCTTTACCTTTGCTTTTCTCATCTTTCTTGTAATCTTCTCCTTTCCATTATCTGATGCATTCCTCTCTCAGTCCTCCTCGATCCACAATGTCAATTACAGCAGACTGGTCCCCGGAAAACCCCATTTTGGCCTACCTGCAAACATTGATAGCTACCAAAAAGACCCTTCCTTATGGACAGCCCGTGATCGCCCACGCCTCCGTCAGCCAAATCGACTCGGCTTCACTCCTGCGGCTGGCCGCAGATATCGGCCCATACATCGCCATACTACAAATTCCGGCCGATGCCATCGACGATTGGTCCAGCGATACCATCGAACAGCTTCAGCATTTGTCCAGGAAACATAGATTTTTACTGTGGGAAGCAAGCAAGATTCTGAACCCTCTAGTAAATTTCATCAGCAGAGCGGATACGCCGTTGGAGACAAGGCAGGTATTGGCAGACTTGATCAAAAAGTCATACACCAGTGGCCCATTGAGGACGGCAACATGGTCCAACCTGGCCACCTGTTGGGCCCCCGCGGCTCCAATCGACCAACAAGAAAACGATATATTGATCCCAACCTTGAGATTGGCAGCCCGCGAGGCAGTCGCAACAACCGCAAAGATAATCCAAACTGAGATTTCGGCCGAAACAAATAATCACTCGTCTAGCGATGAAGTGGAAATGGTTATCCCCTATACGGAAACAAGCAATGGTTGGAAAGAATTCAGTCCGAATAATACGGGCTCAGTATTACGGAAATCGTCAACCATCTCGGTCACAACCGAGTCTGTGATTCCGCACGCACACATTCACACAGATGACGGTGTGCCAATCCCCCCGCTACTGGCCCGCAGCGTTGCACTCTCTCTACCCAGCACCACTGAATACGCATTTACCTCCGAATTCCGCCAAAGTACGATAGTCGCTGCATGTGCCAACTCCGACTTTGTCGCCGGATTCGCAACAAGCGAGCCCTTTTTCGTGAATCACCGAGGAAATGATATTTGTGATTTGGCATTATTCGACGGTACCGGAAACCCCCAATTAGACATCAGCGCTGCCAAACTCGCTACCTTGCCTTACGTCAATGGACAACAAAAATCACTCGGTGTATTCTCCTTTGTACCACCTAGTCTTAGCCTTGGCTTTGAGTTTGATCCTACCGTCAAGCCTGATGGAATTACACCATCCGACTCCGACTATGAAACTCCATACACTGCGCAATACCTATATCATCTCGTCGGGCAAGCGGTAGCCCTTCGAGAAAAGAACCGACAAGAGCAAGAAGCCAGCGGTCCTCGAAAGCAATCGGTAGGCCCCAAACTCATACATCTTCCTGTGGTTGTTGTTGTATAATGTCACGCAATAGCGCTTGTATTCTGCATACTCGCTGGCTGTTGACGAGTTTTGGTGGCCTCATTTTGGCAACTTTGGGACTTGAGTTTGCTATACGCCCATTGTATTTTACTTTTTGCGAATATTTCCAAGACTTGCGCCGGTATTTGCAACAAAAAGTGTCTTATATATATACCAATGAAGTTGATGAACAAATAAATAGCTAGCCTAACTTGTGTACGAATTCTATCTAGTAACTAAGAAACCCCTCCATTGTATTGATGCCTATATTATCAGGCCAAAGCATGTGCCCGTTCTTAGTCATCTTGTGGGAATCGCCTCCAGGGTCTAGGTGGGCTTGGATATCAACTGTGAAAGTGCTTTCAACTGTATAGCTATCCTGCTCTATCTTTTCCCAAGCCTTTATACATTAAAGTTTTGTCTTTTATCTTTATCTTTATAAATCTGATCATGGGATTGGATTAGTGCTTGATTGCCAAACAGTCGACCTCATTGATATCGAACACCAATCGTCATCTTCATGATGAACGCGTTTTGAGACTGTTACTATGACAGTACATAACACACCTTTTGGACAATCCCCATGGTTCTTTCACTTCCAATGTGTTACCTTCACAACCACAGTTTAACGCCATATCATAACCAAAGAGACCTTCGGGGAACTCGTCATGAACCCAACCAAAACCCCAGGCCATCACAATGGGCTTTCTACTCACAATGACCCCCAAGAGGATAACAAGGAATCACCCATTAAAATAATCTCTGCAAATGGGGACTTGATCCTCGAGTACATCGCTCCCGGCGACTCTCCATCGTCACCAACCAGGCGCAAATGGCGGGTGGCAAGTGAGCACCTTACCTCCCACAGTCCATATTTCCAAGCACTGCTGGACCCCACAAAGTTCTCCGAGGGAAGGCAATTCAGTGCCCAAAAGCAAGCTTGGAATGAAACCCAAATACAAGACTCAGCCTCACAGCATGCGCTACCAACAGTCAGGCTTCCCGGTGTCCAATCTACCAACATGTGCGGAGAAGATGCCATTGAGTTATTTTTGAAAATTCTATGCCTTGATTCTTTCGAACAAACCGAAAGGACTGCGTTTGAAAATGAGTTGAAGACCCAGTCTACATCGCTTGTTGCGAGAATGATCGACCTTGCCGATTCACTGAATTCTCCTCGTGCTGTCCAAGACGTCCTGCAGAGGATTGGATATCTATATGGCAAGACCAAGCCTGCACTCCTTGCCAGGTTTAATTCAGCTTTGTTGTCAATGAAGGAAGATCGGATTCGACAGATCATCTTTATATCCGTCTTCCTTAATGATTCAAGGCTCACTAGAACCATGACCCATGTCTTGCTAGTTGTGGGCTCAAGATTCTGGGTAAACGGGCTAGAAGGCCCCGAGGAAAAATCTTTGCGCTGGAGATATCTGCCAAACGGGTTAGAAGGTGGGTTTCTGGAGAGTGAACCCCAATTAGTTCCAGTTAGCTAAATCATCTTTCTGCAGAGGAAATCTATTGTCGTCGTCAATATGTCCTGAACACCATCACCGACCTACAAGCTCATTTTCTTCGAGTCTATGGGGGCATGGAGGGAACTGACAGTGCAAAGCCCGTAGCAAACAGGACATTGGGTGCGGCCTTCACTGCATCTGCACATTCGCTTCTTCAATCTCGTCACTTCCAATGCCGAGGCGGATTCAACAACGCCAGCCAATGCGACCTCTTCCAACTCGGTCAAATGATCCGATTTTTCTCAATGCGCGCGAAAACGATATTTCTAGGATCAACATTGATAGACCCGGATTTCGACTCAACTCTCAACGATGACGATCACACAGCTGGCGAATCCAGGAACGACCAACCCCCAGGCCCACCGTCTGATGTTACAGCTATCATCGCCTCTATCAAACAGTATCCTGATTATGCTGTCGACGAAGCCCACACCGGCTGTGGTGTACGACGTCGAATTATGCCTGCTTTAGAGTGCATTGAGAAATTCGTTTGGGATGACCGTGGTCTCCTTGGTATCGCCCCCGCAGTCTCGGATACTGCTGCTTCAGACCCATCTCGACCCTCGAAATGGATGCGGTGGGCAGATTTCACGCGCAAGAAACACGCGGTCGATATTTCTTTTGCGAGGGTTACAGCTGTGTACTACCCTTCAGCACCATCGAAAAACCAAGTCACCCGTTCCACGCCACACGAAGAACTCGCACAGCTGTTGTTTACTGCTACTCGGAGGGATTGGAGTGCAGCGGGCTCAAGCTGATGTTCCAACCACTATATATAAATTATTGGACTATCTACATCGCAATTCATGTATTAAAAAAAGCTCTAGGGTGCCTCTGTACGAGCCTAAGCCGATTTACAACTCCATCGGATAGCCTACTATATTATGACTTCGACACTTTCCGAGAAACGGGCCTTGTCATTCCCAAACTCTAGAAGTCTACTGCAGTTTTAGATTGTGTCCTGATCATAAACGAGTTAACCCTGAACTATCATCTCGCACACTGGAACCAGTCATCAAGTGGAGATAGCGTGTATCTGGGCCTTACATTTCACCAATTCAGGACAGAAAACCTGCCCGACATGGCTCTATATATTACCAATATATGGACCCAGACGAAGTACACTCTTCGGTGCCGACTGCTCCCTTGACAAAAATAAGAGAGCACATGCCTAGTTACCCAGTTCAGTTGATTTCCAACTCTGATTCGTACAGGTACTCAACGTCACAATGATTGAAGAACCACGATAAGGTCCGTTTCCCCCTAGCGGCGAGTCCGAGGATACGACAAAATGATCCAAGAATTAGAAGATAAGAATTAATTTCGACCGGTCTAGACTCGCATTTTATATCTAGGGGTGGCTTCCGGCTGGCTCTAGACATCCAGACTTTGGGAGTACATGGGCTTGGAGGTTCTGGTTCTGGGAGAAGCTTAATATTGGAGGTTCTATGGAAGTATATGTGGACGATAGACGATGGACTTGCATTGTAGTGTTTGTAGTGAGATATAGTATTAGTGTACATAGAATTATCAGATGCCAATGGATATGATCAAAGTTTCGAGATGGATAACAAGCTATCACAATACAATGTATCGAATTGTGACTCGTAGAGAAATTCAGAGAAACAAGAATCACTTTTCTCTATGGTGTCTATATGAAGACAGGTGTGGAATTTTCTCTTTCTTTTGATGGCATGCAAATGAAGCGACAGAAGAAAAGAACCCGAATCCAGATAAATGCAGAGATATTTTCCAATTTGATTTGCTTTTCTATTATTTCAATGTTGTCCCATCCAGCCACATGGATGCCAAGCGTTCAACACACTGGATCACCCCAGAAGTACCCCATATCAAGTTCCATATTCGGACCAGATGGGAAGAAAGAGCCCGTGATCTGCCCAGTGGCTGGGTCATACGGGAAACATTCATCATACGAGCTCGGGCCTGAGAGATCCTTCTCCTGCTTGATAAACTGGTCGAGTAGATCCGGTGTCTCGAGAGCGTAGGGGTCCTGCATGCCAAGAGGAGTAGTGTTGGCTTGATCCATCGGAGAGCAAGCGATTGAGTCCAACTCGGCGGAGATAGCATCAACGGCCACTGCTGCAGGGATAGTTGCGGATGGGTCAAATGCCACATCATCCGCTGCTGGCTCTTCTAGCACTGCAGCAGTGTCTGCAGTATCAGGGACATCAAAGAGGGAGTCTGGCTCTTCGGTGGTAGGGAAATCATTCACGTTGATTCCAATATGTGGTGCCAAGCGGCGGAGGAATCCGTCACAGAGCTTCCAGGCCCTTTCTGACGCCATATTGGTTTTTGATAGCGTCCACAGCCAGTCCAGGGCTTTCTTTGCGGCTTTGGATACCATTGTCGCTTTCTCGGGAACGTGCTGGGCCCGGAATGCCAGTTCGAGTAGGAGAACAGTAACTGCCTGCATCAGATAATGTAATGTGCACCACCATGGTGACATGCGGTATAGCAGTACTGAGTCTGGGGTATCCGGGAATAGCGTAAGCATGTGGCATGCAGCCTCGACACATTCCGCCGCGGTCTTGTTGCAGAACTCGTAAGTCTTGTCCTCTTCGGAAGGGGACTGATCCAAGCGGCAGAGGCATGGCCGGGTGATTCCGATTCTGGTGCTGTAGAATAGAAAGGCAAGACCCATTCGCTGGCTGATGGGGCATTGGGATGTCTGTGTCGAAGTGAAATCGTATGCAGCAGGGAGATTCATGAACCACGAGTCAATTTCCAGCATCAGGCTTTTGATGGTAAATTCAGTGCTTGCCCATGGGGACTGCAACGCCTCCGGACTGTAGAGTTTCACTGTCATCCGCTTGGAAATGCTGGTCAGGGAGGCCAACTGCAGGAAGTAAAGTGAAGTGCAAGGCGGAAGAGACTTGAGATACTCGGTGCGGCTCATTTTTGTCTCGCCCTCAGTAGGCACATCATTCGAATCAGAATCAGCCGTTGATTCTAGGTCCTCTGCGCTGTTGTTGGCGGGAATCCGCTCGGAACCACTAGATGTACGGAGTACAGCTGTGCCTATCAGCCGAGCCACCTCGTCTTTTTGGAAATCAGTCTCATCAAAAGGAACAGGCATTGGTGTGGTGCAAGAGCTGTCGATGATACATGGAGGACGCCCAGTCATGATGGTAAGTAGATGATCCAGTGTATACAATGACCACCACACCCGGTAGCGTATCTCCTTGGAAGTGTCGGATATGCTCGCACCCACGTTGCGCAAATGCAATCCAAGAGCCAGCGCTCCTCGAACTGCACTTCCGGAAAGTTTCCAGGCCCTGCATGAAACAATGTCGTGAGTATATTATTGCAAGATGTGCACCGCAGGCTGTCAACTTACCGATTGATATGCCCTGACGCAATCAGATAGAATGAAGTAAGCCCCTCGACTTGCAACTGCTGTAGGTCAGGATGATGGAGAATCTGATCTTCTAAGCTCAAGGCCCGCGCCCTTGAGAAGTACATTTGATGATCATCGTCTTCTTCATTCCAGTCCGAGTTCGTCAATTGCTGGTATTTAGCCGCAATAGCAAAAATCAGGTTGAGTATAGCGAGCCACTTGTTTCCTGGTTTGAGAGAGGGTTGACTGAAAAAGACCTGGAATTGGGGGACAAAGGTTGAAACCCCAATGATCGGGAAGGAAGGATGCACCGAAGTCAGATAGGCATTGAGCATTTTGCCTGCCATCTCCCGTGATGGGACTCCATACATATCACTTTGATCTGCAGTTGGAATATCCAGGTCATCAAGGTAATAGTTGGAGGCCACTACCCATGGCTCGCTTGGATTCTCCAGCCGAGGCGTCAGAGTTGGAGAGGGCAGACCGTTATCGTCATCTGTGTTGGGAATAGTTGCTGGCCAGGCCTCACATTCACTGTTGATCTCTTTGCTAAGCCTTTGAAGCCAAGTGATCTCAGAGCTTTTTCCAATGAAGCCCGTTGCTCGTGCAGTTTCGTCTCTGTTGAAGTCCTCTTCTGTCTGGTCGCCCGATTCCAGGGGACTAACGGATGATGCTCGGGAGGGCGGTGGCTCAGAACCCGCATGCCATGAAATTCTTCGTTCTCCAGCTGCTGCAAGGCACGTCTCTGGATTGAATGCCAAATCCGGGGCCGATCCCTGTTGGTGTTAGATAACATAGTTATCGGATGGGGGTCAAACTTCATACCGCTGCCAGGGCAATGTTCACGAGTTGCTCATCAGACACGCCAAACCGATTGCTCAGCTTGCTAATGACATCTTCGTATGCCTGCACCTTTGCGGACAAGCTTGCCAATTGTCTTTTTTAATTAATTGTAGACGTCAGCTCTTGCAATAACGCCGACGTGCTTTTGTATTGGCTCTGCATACCGTTTGGACTTCTCCCTTTTACCATCGGTATAGCAGCAGATGATTCCAGCCTCTCGACAATTGCGGCATCCGGACTTGTCTCCGGTGCATTTCGTCTTCCGTTGTCTGCACGACTCGCATGCTCGACGAACGTGTCGACGATGAAACCTACCAGGAGAGGTGAAGGCAGCTTCGGCCCCCTCCGCTAGTCGCGGGATGGCCATTTTCTTGGTGCCCACTTCAGATTCACCTCGTTGAAAATGAGGAACTGGGTTATCCTATAGATGCTTTATCAGATAGCACGTCCTTGGGGTGATCATGATTTCACACTTACCACACTGGACAACTGATTACACGTGTCTGCATCAGCACACGAAAATTTGAAGAGGCTCTGTTGATCATTCCACGAGGGAAATGGAATATTACTCATGGTGAACCACAAAAAAGTATGATCACTGAAGCTGTTTTCACTGCATGTCAGTGGAATTCGTAACTACATCTTCATTCTTTACTTACTTGGAGTAAATTGAGTTTGGAAAATGTGTAGGTCCCCCAAAGCTTTTGATATATATTGAAATGACGATATCAGCAATTGCTTATTACCGTGATATCTGTCAAGTCAAGTAGTCTAATGGTGTGAGACAAGGAGGTCATTGGATTTTATAAAACACCCTAGGATTTGACCCATGAGAAGCATAGATCGGGGAAAGATGAAGGAAAAGAGGTTCGGGTTTCGGGCACCGTTGGGAATCGTGGGCTGGTCAAGCTCGATACTCTGTGATGACATCTAGTGCTTGTTTAGGGTAATGAGTAGACGCGCACCATTGGCCGGCCACCCGTTGGCCAAATCAGGAATAGCTATGTGCGGGTTTGCCTCAGTCTCCTTGTAGGGCATGGGGCGAAAGTTCAACGTTTTCATGAGCAAAATAACTTCTTTTGGTTATTGATCACGCTATTTGCCATCAACCAAACAGCCTCTGTGGTCTTGCATTGGATTACTCCAGAGAGCCTGAGGTATTGGTTTAACCATCAGATTACCTCCCCCGGTGATCCATCTTTTGACAGGGTCAGCTTTCGGTTGTTGGTACCGGCTGGCTCTGGACTCCGATGCAGAGACCAAGGGTCGTGGATATCGGATTCAAGAAGATGATGCCCAGATGTAAGCTTCGACCCATGCAGCGCCCCTTCAGCCCTAAGGCCTTGGAACTCTGAATTGTGTGTTCCAAGAAGCCCATGAACACTGAACTTCCTCTCGAACCAGCTTCAGCAGAAAGAATATGAAGACTTGCCGGGTCAGCAAACAGCTCTGGAGTGTCCAATGGCCCAGACCCCTTCGAAGTTAATCTGACGTTAGACGGTGGCGGCACAAACTTTGCAGTTCGTCCCTGGTTGGCATTCAGGCCAGGACCTCATTCGGGAAAATGATGATAATCCCCAAGGGGGGAAAAGCTTAACGGCAATTCTCACCAACCTCTCCCGTCTTGTCTTGAGTTAATTTGCGACACGAAGACCATAATCCTGACGTTCCATTACGTTCGGATGATTATTGTGAGCTGGCCTTGTCTGTCAGGCCCCAACCCTGATAGTTAACTTGGATGTTTCAAAAGGTTATACTATTGTAAGTTAAAAATCAAACAAGTCATTGGCTCAACACGATCTTGGTAATCAAAGAACACCACAGTCCGAACATCATTAGGAACTCTATACAGTAGTCCAAGCCCATTTTTACTCAATGAGGAAGTTCTCCGCAACACTTCGAATATCCTTCGAGAACGCAACCTCTTCACCCTCCATCTCCAACAGGGAAACACTGTTGATGTCGACATCCACGAAAGGCTTGGTCTTTGTGAAGCGTACACTCATCGGGAAGAACTCATTCTCATCGGCATCAATCGCCTCAAACTCAAAGCTGCCAGAGGCGTTCGACTCATCAACAGTGCCCAGGTTCCAGTCCAGACTGTCACCGGAGACCTCGTAGACCGCATCAAAGCTAGATACAGCAGGCTCTGTTGTGCCGTATGGAATAGTAACAACCACATCGCGGAGACTGTCATCGCCGGTGAGCTCATACTCCACGGTCACGGTGGTGGAGTCGGAACCCTTGTTTACCCAAACGGTGAATGTGATGGGGAGAATATCGGCATTATCAGCCGAGCTGGCAACACGCCACCGGAGGACGCCGATGGAGTTGTTGGCAGGGAAGCGCTTAGTAGTGTCCTTCAGTTGGATCACGGAAGAATTGGTGAATAGAGCTTTGTCGACATTGGGGTGGGTACGGAACTGTGCGCCATGTGTGGGAATGGCTTGGCAGTCAAGTCGAAGTTTGGTAAGTGAGGGATCGGTGATACGGAGCTGCATATCACCCTTAACCTCGAAAGACTTCAAGGCTCCCTCCCGAGTAAGCGTGGCTGAGATAGCCTCGGCGATTGTGAGTTGGATGGGCTCCCGGTCCGCACTGAGAGACTCGCGGGCTGAGGGAATGTCGTGCACCGGAACCGAAGCTTGTGGAGCTACTAGTGGGCTCTCCTCTTCGATTTCGGGGCCCATATCACCCCGGACCTTCTCGTAGATATCCGTTGCCTTTGATTTCTTGCCCAGCTGCATGCCCTTGCCGCGAGTGGGGATGGGCCTAGTTACCACACAGTTAGTAGAAGTCTCGCAACGGTTAAACCAGGAATTCACCGAACGTACTTGGCAAAGGACTGTTTCTTCTCGGCCTCGTATGAATCATAAGTGTCAGGCACAGAGGGACGCGCTGGGGGTGTGTAGACGGGGTATGATGGAGTTCTTGCGGCTGCGGCACGGCCTGTGCGAGCAACCTCTTTGCGTTGCATCTCCAGCTGCTTCGCCTTCCTCTTGCGCTCCTCGGTGGCCTCCAGCTCTTTGTTCTATCGATGTATGTCAGCCAAGAACTAACCTCGCCGGGGGCTTCACAACATACCCGCTCAATGATCTCCTGGATTCTCTCTTCATGACTCTCCATTTCCAGGAAGGTCTTGATCTGAGAGAGAGAAAGGTTCTCCCGGTATCCCATAGTCACCAATTCATCGAAGGCACTCAGGAGCTCAAAGGCATTGCGAAGAATCTCCCGCTCGTCTAGGCTCTTGCAGATGCTGGTGGTGACTTGCGCAAAGAGATGGAGACTATCGATGTCTTGGAGAATGTTCGATTGACGGTTGGTGATCAGCACGATGTACATCTCATCCAATGGCTGGTACACAAAGCGCACGTTGTCTTGCTCAACGGTGGTATGCTGGGTTCCGGAGTCCGCTAGCTTGGGGAAGGAGGCGAGAAGGGCTTCGATTCGGGACCGAGAGATCTCCCGGAACTGGCGCGAGAGGACCGCTTTACCTCCGCGGGTGCATATCGACGCTGCGAGAACGACCTGTTGTGTGTTGATTAGTGTAATTCCCCCGCAAATTGGATTGAACAAAGGCTTACCATGGTGAGAAATCAGCACAAAAGGGGCACACAGATGGCAATAAAAGAGTGATTAGAGAACAGAGTATAGAAAATGTTAGAGAAGTGTAGGGTTGACTAGAAGCGTACACCCTGGTGTTGATGGTTGGAAGCGGTAGGGAGCTACTCTGTTCACTTCGGCGGTTGGCCCGTGCATTCCTTTCGCTTAGTCGTCGACCAGACACTTTCTCTTCACTTCATCTTTTTCTCACGCGTTGAATACACTCTACCAGCACTCAGTTCATCGTTTCTTTTGCTTTACTCATAGCCTTTTGCTCTGAATATCGCCGAGGAATCTTTTTATTTCATTTTCAACCCTCATTTCAACCGCTTTCATGGAACGTCATTGCTGAACATTCCAATACTACCTACGACCCTCAGCGCCCATTTTTACGCGTTTTCTTGCTATGACAGCAGATCCTTTGATTGCATACTCCATGATGGAAATCCCAGCTACGGGTGATTCTATGGAGATGGCCTCGCCTTATCAGGGGCAGGCTGACGACTTTGACATCGACATCGACCTGATGGAGGACAATGTCTCGAATATGGACAGTGATATGATGGGTGCAGATGAATTTACAACTACTTCTCAGCATAACGAACTCAACAATGACGCGATCTACGATGCTGATATGGCCGATGAACCCTCCGAAGGGTCGATGATCGACGCTGACAACTACGCCGATGAAGACAACGATATTGACGTACAGTTTGAGGAAGAGCCGTACGAACAAGAAATGATTGAACCCGATCAGACCGAAGACGTCAGTATTGCCGCTCCCGTTATTCATCTTGAACCTGCGGGCAGTAATGAAGACGCCGCCAGCCCCATTGAGGAGGATGCCACAATCACAACCGTGGAACACCTCGAAGCGGTACCTCAAGGCTCAAGTGGCTCTGTCGAACTTGCTCCCGTTCAAGACGAAGTCCAGGCCGCCGGAGTTGAGGCCCCAGAGACTCAGGCTGAGCCGAACACGGCTGCTGCTGATGACCTTGTTGAGGAACCATCCGAAAACGTCATCAGCCCCGAAACTAGCGATCATCACGTAAAGGCAGATATTGGTGAAGAGGCTAACAAGATATCGCAACCTTCTGTGTCAGAGACTGAGGTACCCGAAGTTCCCAACGAAGGCCTAAAGACCAGTGAAATCAAACCTTCCGCCGAAGATTCCCACGCTGATACCGCTGCGGACCCAGAGGCGCAGCCTGTGCCTGAGGGAAACCATAAAGTTTCAGATGTGGATGAATCTCTTCAACGGGTCACATACATAGATGAACCTCTTCATCCAGTGAAAATTCTCTATCAGGACTGCGAAATCGCTCTGTTCCCTCCCCTGGAGGGAGACTTGGCGGATACATTCTTTATTGAAGATGAAGGTTTAGCATACGACAACATTGGTCAAATATTCAAGGCTCTGCGACAGGTGCTTCAAAGAACCATGACAGGCAATGAGGTCTTGGTCATCGATATTGACACCCTCGGTATCCAAATGACAGAGGTAAGTACCTTCTCAAATATCCCCCATCGGCAAACATACTGACTAATCCGCTCAGGACTCATTCCATACATCTCAAGTAACCCTGCATCAGATCCTAGATCTTTACCTTAGACTTTGTCGTAACGATGGCACTACCGAGCCCGATGCTCTTTATCTTACACTGAGCACCAAGCGTGCGTTCCCGGCTGAAATCGCAGATCTCAATGATGCCGCAATTGACGGCAAAAAGCTTTCCGAACTTCATGCCGAAATTCAGTCATGGGATGAATATGATGAAGCCGAGCCAGGTTCTGAGGGGGATCTTGACGCCCATGGGGCCGAAGAGCACGAAGACGAAGTCTACTACACCGCCGAGGCCCAAAAAGAGCTTTCGACCGCGGAAGTGCAAACGGCTCCAGGGCCCGAAGAAGAGCAGGCGCTAGATAGCGAACCTTCTCAGGTCCAGCCCGAAGTTGTCTCTGACCCTCAACCAGAGATCGTGCATGTGCAGGATGAGAATAGATCTACTTCCAGTGAGCAGAGTGCCGAGGCTGCACCTGAGTTTGAATCTCATCTAGCCCAGCCCGAGAGCAAAGAACCAGATCACTCTGATGTGTCTCGCCAGCTCGAAAGAGCCCAAGACCAAGATGAAGGATACGATCATGACCATGGCGATACGAACGAAGAGCACTATGATTCTGAGGGCCCACAAAGTGATTCTACTGCTACTGTAGCTGCACTGCCTGGCGCAAGCGAGGTCAAAGAGCGCACCCAGCATGTCCCTCCGGATGTTGCTGTGGACACCGGCACAGATCAAAACGAGGAGGACTATTACGGAGAGGACCACGAGAACGATGGTCTTGGAACCGAAGAATACTACGAGCATGAAGACATCGGCTCGGCCGATGATTCAGAGGCTTTCCAAAAAGATATCACTGGCAGTGAACATGCTGATGCTGATGCTCAAGAACCAGTTGATCATGCGTCTGTCCTTGATGAAGAGGACACAGATGAGTTAGATGCCCCGCCGACGGACGAAGTTGTCTCGGAAATTCCTCTGCAGGATCATACCACTCGCCCTTCCCTTGACCAGCCGGCGCCGCCGCGTGACAGCGGCTTGCATGACGCCTCTGATAGGAAGGAGCAAACACCAGAGCCTGCAGATGATCTACTCGGAATCGCTGTAGACCTGATGCAGACTCCTCCGAGGGATACAGAGAACGATTCCCTCGATCACTTTGAGGGCATAGACTACGACGACCCTGAGGATGAGCTCGATGCTCATGTTTCAGCTGATGATGAGGGTGCGGATGATCACGAGTTTGACGAGAACCATTTTGGCGACTATGACACCCATTTTGAAGAATCGGAGACTGTAGAGCCGGTTGGAACAGACCCTTCCCTGACCGACCCCCAAACCAACCAGATCCCGTCTGCCAAACGGTCCCGCGAAGATGAAGACGGATGGGACCTGGTGGAAACCACTGTTGACACCAAACGTCGCCGCTCTTCGTAAACCACGTTCCCAATTTCCTTTACCCCTGGAGCCATTTCTACCATTTCTCTCATCTGTCATGTCTGGTGCCCAGCGAGCCTGACCCTTGGCTCGTTCCGCGCGACTATTACCCTCCACCATACTAATCATACTTACCAGCAACGACCTCGACCGATGGACACAGTGTCTCGTTCGACTACTAACAAGAAACAGGTATGTTCGACCCCTTTCCCCAGCACGCGCATGCCTTCAACTCGGGGTGTGCGCTTTCTCTTATCCATCTGGATACAACCCCGGATGCTCTCGAGGCATTCGATTACCCATCTATTCTTACTTTTTTTTTCTCTCTTTTTTGTTTGATTTTTTCCCATTGCGATTCAAGATACCACGGGCTTTCGGCCAAAAATCTTTGTTCGGTGTTGAGGGGGCGTGTTTTTCGAATGCATTTTCCTCCGGATATGGCGTATCGGCGCGATGGGTTAGGCCACGTGTTTGTAGTATTCAAATAAATCTTTATTCAACCTGCTTCTGCTATCTACGTACTTCCTAAGATTTCTTGTCTGATTCTCAACTACAAATTAACAAGAATTGGTCTGATCGCATACCCCTAGCCTAGTTTCGTGTAAATTATGGGGTACAAAGGACAAACATTCCGGGGATAGCGGATCGGGATATTGTCTTATGTTTTGCAGGGTATACATGTACAACTTACGGAGTTGGTAGTTTTATACTCAATAACTCAGCCACCGAGAGTCATGTGTAGTGGATCCCAATTTTGAAGTCTCTGGGGATTCCAGGCTAAGTATAGAAATGCCGCATTCGGGGGGAGCTGAAACGCCGATCTTGGCTTCATTTCAGGGTCCAAGGTCTTTTGACTTGTATTTTAATAAAAGATCTCCATGGTACATGTAGGGTTATGTACATAAAAGGACCGTGAAGATAGAGACAGTGACACATAATAGTATGATGTACTCCCTAGTAACCAACCTACATACTGATGGGGCCACCTATTGTATTTCTGCATATCTAGCATAGGCGTATTTCTCATATGAAGGGAATTTTAAAATTAAAATTTTTTACCTAAAGCACCTCGGCCCTTCGAAAGCCTCCCAAGCCCCTCAAGCCCTTCCAAGCCGTTGTGCTCTTACGCGTCCCCCGATCGGGCTTGAAACGGAACCCCACCGCACGCATCTCTGGCCTTTGGCTTCTTCTGGCTTGCCTTCCTAACATCCTCCTTACTCATCAGAAATCTCACGCTGGCTCGTCTTTCTGTTTACTTCCCCCTAGTCAATTTCTTGGCCTATTACCTTGATCCCTTCCTTCCCGCTCACAGTCTCTTGCGCCCATTCCCTGATCCATTGCCGGCACTGGAGGTCTTTCGACAGTAGGAGCACTCGGCTCCTAACAGAGGAATTACGTCAAAATGCTTCCAGATAAGTATGGTTCTCCCAACAGCTCAAATTGGCCCCCAAGGGCAAGCTTGACCAGCTCTAACGTGGTTGCGCGCTGCGCCCCTATAGATATGTCGGGCTTATTTTAGCCATTGTATCTACCATGGCCATCGGTACGAGTTTCGTTATCACCAAAAAGGTTGGTGTGCCACAAATCCTAGGAAACGAGCGATTGGACCCCGGGCGCCGAACAAATACCACGGCGATTCGGTCCAAAACAATCATCGGAGCGAAATCGCTAATACGTCTGAATACAGGGCTTGATGCAAGCCACAGAACGACATGGGTTTGAAGGCGAAGGATTCTCATACTTGAAGAGTCCGGTGTGGTGGGGCGGTATAGTGACACGTACGAAATCCAATGGTCAGATTTGACATCCGGGAGATGCTAACAGATTCATAGTCGCCCTTGGTGAAGTCGCCAACTTTGCTGCGTATGCCTTTGCGCCTGCCATCCTGGTTACGCCCTTGGGTGCGCTGAGTGTTCTGATTGGGTAGGGATATCTCTTCGTGGCCTGCGTAATCACACAGCTAATATGACACAGTGCGGTCCTGAGCTCGTACTTCCTTAACGAGATACTTGGTGTATTAGGAAAATTGGGCTGTGCACTGTGCTTGCTGGGATCGGTCGTCATCGTTCTTCATGCGCCTCCAGACAAGCAGGTGGAGACAGTCGATGAGATTCTGGGATATGCGGTTCAGCCAGGTACGAATACTTGATCGGTGTCCGCCCGACAACCACCGCTGACTTTGCGACCAGGATTCCTTTTCTACTGTATCACAGTTGCGGTGTTCTCGACTCTGATGATCTACCGGGTTGCGCCAGTCTATGGCAAGAAGAACCCGCTCATCTACATCTCGATTTGCTCAACTGTCGGATCAGTTTCCGTCATGTCCGTCAAGGCCTTTGGTATTGCAGTGAAATTGACCATTGGGGGCAACAACCAATTTGTCCACGCATCCACCTACGTCTTTGCCATTGTGACCTTGTTCTGCATTCTGACGCAGATGAACTACTTCAACAAGGCATTGAACTCTTTCTCGACTTCGATGTGAGTGTAGACATCAATCAATATGAAGATGCGAAGCTAACATGATTCCTTCAATAGCGTGAATCCCCTCTACTATGTCACCTTCACAACCGCGACCCTCTGTGCCTCCTTCATCCTTTTCAAGGGATTTAATACCACCGACGCCGTCAACACCATATCTCTACTTTGTGGATTCCTTATCATCTTCACTGGCGTGTACCTCCTGAACCTCTCGCGACATGACCCTGATGGACATACCATGGTGAATTCCAAGCTTGATGAGGATGGAGTGCCAACAGACGGTCTGGCGAGCTTCCAGACCCGGCGCTCAATGCAGTCCCGCCGAAGCTCCTCGAGCGCATATTTCAATGGGAACGGTGACCGCGAAGGCCTCATCCACGCATACGATGCGGAGCACGGGATTGGCATGAACACCTTGACCGAAGCAAATGAGGGAGAGCCAGGTCCAACTTTCCCAACCGAAACACAGACTGCAATGCACACCAAGCGGAATAGTCAGATCTGATCGGTGTAAGGTCTGATTCCAATCCTCACCTTATAACAAAGTCTTCGAAATGATTCTCCTTCTCTACTCGATGGCAAGCTTCCCTTCCACGGGCTTGATCTCCACTTGTATTTTTACTGTTCCCCGAAAATGCCAGAGTTGCATTGAAACTCGGGCGAACTCATCAGGCACTGGACATGTCTGTATGAACGACTGAATATGACTCTGGGTTTCTCTGGATGGTTGCGATTTGTCTTTACTGTTTTCTTTTCTTTTCTTTTCTATCTGGGTGAGAAATACTTGTATATAGTTCAAGTTGGGATTTTTGAATAGACGTATCCGGGTGGGGCAGGACCGATGATGTATTTGCAGGTCAGCTGTTTATGGACCATACCCATCCGAGATTCTTGCTTTTTCAAATTCAACATCTTTAAATTGTCCACTGTTAATGCCTTACCTTCGCGAGGGGCCCAAAGACGACTGGTGTGATCTTGTTCTCAAACGCGGGGAACTTGCGCAATGCCCGCTTTATTGCGCAAATTGGCCATCGTCGCCGCAGTCGACGGCCTAGTCCTACATGCTCAAGCCGCCGGACCACGACAAAATGCCGGTAGTAACAATGTGGCATCCTCCATCCGCATCGACTATAAGACGAACAAAATCACTGCGTTGCCCGCTTCCCCCTCGGAGCCCCTCGACGGCGAGGACGCCCTAGAGGCCTACGGTCTCGTAGGTATGTTGATGAACTAAGTGAGCGTTGAAACAAAGAAACTAATCCCAGGGTATTGCTGCTGCAGGTCTCTTATCTATCGCTTCATATTCATTTCTCGTTTCCATTACACAGCGCGAGCAAGTAGCGCAGATCCAAGGCGGCCCGATCTACACCGTAACCAACGTCGCAATCATTCCGGTCTCATCGCAAGCAGATGCTTCCCGCGCGATTACACAAGCCAGGAAAGAATTCTCGCAGGAGGAAGTCACTATTGAATCCTCCTCCGAAGAAGATGACCTCCCCGATAACGAAACCGACAGAGCCGAGGCGGGAGCGGAGATCGGCAGCCTGCCCGCATCACCTACTCGTGATACATCTCATGCCCGCGGCACCGGTGTTGGCAGTATCGCAGAAGACGTCATCGCGAAGAAAGTCCCCTTCGGCAGATTTGCGGCTAATTGGCTGTCGCGCAAAAACCTGGGCTTGCCCAGGCCCGGTGCTCTAGAGCAGGACGCGACAGAGTCTCCCTTTGACGAACCTTCCAGCCGTCCGAGTGACTCCAGTGAGGTAAAGCATGCAGTTGCGGATGAAGCTTTGTCCAAAGAGACTGGGGCTCAGAGCGAGCCTGATCGGCCTAGTCAGGTTGCGGAGTTGCTACCGAAACTGCTTCGTTATGCAAAACTATTGTTTGCATCGCATAATTTTTTCTTTGCATATGATTATGACCTTACGCGCTCTTTACATATGCAGGAAGCTCGGAAAGATCAACTTCCCCTCCACAAAGTTGTGGATCCATTGGTATGCGCGAACTGAGGGCTCGTATGTTTTCTGTGGAGCTTGCTTGCTAACTCGTTGGCAGTATTTTTGGAATAAACATTTGATGAGCACATTCATTGATAATGGGGCTCATGGCTTTGTCTTGCCTTTGATTCAAGGCTTTGTCGGCCAACGAGAATTCACAATCGCTGGCGCTGAAAGGAAACAATCTTCCAAGGACTCAGTGGAACTCGCAGACGGCCGAATCCTCGGTGAAAAAAACGCGGCCGAAGCTGTTGAGACTAATACCACCAAACGCGATTATCTTTTGACTCTCATCTCTCGACGCTCTGTGAAACGACCAGGTCTTCGTTACCTGCGCCGTGGTGTCGATGATGAGGGCAACACAGCCAACACAGTCGAAACCGAGCAGATTCTCTCGGTTCCGCATTGGGCTCCGTCTCATCCTGCCTACTCATATTTGCAAGTCCGGGGCTCCGTACCTCTGTACTTCTCTCAGTCGCCATATGCCTTGAAGCCAGTTCCAGTACTACATCATTCTGCGGA